GGTGCTTCTGCAGATGACTTAAAAGACTAGATAAATCTATAAATTAGAGCACTACTCAGATATTCATAAAGAGTCTCTTGCTTAGCTTGTAAAAGTCTGTATATTCTTTCAAATTCTGACTGCTTCTCTAATTCAAGATCTATAGTCAAATCATCTTTACAGTGTGGTAGCAACTTTCAAGCTCTCTTGTCACTAAACACTTTCACAAGTTTGTGATAGACTTCTGGTATCTGAAGATCTAGGTCTACTGTCACCATCTGTTCTGATTTACAGAGAGTTATTATATAGATAGACTTTTCTTCTTTCACAAGCTCTGAGAGATTAACTGATTTAATCTTTGTGAGTGAGTCACAACACACAGTTTGAAACTCTAGTTTTAGTTTCTTAAAATACATCTTGAGATTGTGTCACTGCAGCCAGCTCAAACTCACTAGCATCTTATCTCTTATATTTGTGATCATTACTTGTTTATGAAACAACTGCCAGTTTCTCTGAGAGTCACAGACTTTAAAGAATATATTTGCAATCTCTTCTGCAAGAGTGACATTCTTATAATCTATAGCAGTTTTAATCTCTATAGATATCTTGTGCACCACTAGATCTAGCTTCATGGCCAATCATAAACTGATCACTAGAGATTGACAGTCTGAATCTATTAGTGCTGACCAGGTAATACTTCTATTAGTTAGGCTTTGTGTACCTAGAACAATAAAGAGAAGAGCAAGAAGACTATTCTTGAACAACTTTATTATATTGATTCTATCTACTTGCAGCCCTCTAACTTTCTATTCACTACTCTTCTTCTTCTTGAGACAGTCTTTTATAAGATAGCTCTTTTGGCCACACTCAAAGCATCTCTCATTCTTTTTCAAGACTTTATAATTCTTGGTAAGATTCTTTCTTATCTTCTGAGCAAGCCTCTGAGATTAACTTCTCTTATTTATTTACAGTCTTGAGTCATTAATCTTTATATCTCTGTAAGCACTTTTAACTGGATTAATAGACTTTGCATATGAGGCATTTTTTGCATAAGCTACTGACACACTTGATCAGAGCTGGGTGGCCAGTGCTACTATATTATTAATGTTATCTGGTATCTCCAGCTGTTCATCTAGTTTGATTTGCATGAGCTTATTCAAGCCCCATATAAACAGATTCTTTTTTATTTTTATAAAATCTTTAAATTCTTTGCCAATCTCTGTTATGAGCTCTAGAAATCATTGATAATAGATATAATTAGTTTCATCCAAACTTTTATGAAGATTAAAAATTGCTTGTCAAGAGTTTTGCATGTAGTTTGCTGAGTCTTCTAGTCTTGTGTGTAGAAATTCTTTAAGGCCAGTCCAGTTGTTTTTTAATAAATTATCTTCATGATGGATCTTTTAAAGATCTTTCTCAATATAACCAAGTTCTGTAAGAGCATATGTGAGGGTATTCTCATTATTCAGTTTGCTTGTATCACAAATGAATTCAATATCTGAGATGAACTAGCAATATTCTGTATAGGTTCCAGTCTGATAGCACTTTGTGTGTTGTGGTGGTCTCAAGATCAACAAATGCTTTACAGATGTTGAGTTGAAGATAATTATATTAAGAAATTCACTTTGTGAGTGCTTTTGGGTGTTCTGAAGAGCATTTAACTTCTCTTGCCATTTCACTATTTTCTTTAGTAGTTTGGTCTTCTTACAAAGCTGTTGGATTTTGTCTTTTGATGTTGAGGTAGACTCTCTCTCTGAGTTTATAATGCTTGTTTCATCAACAGTTAAGAGAGATGAGATGTCAAGATTAGTTGTCTCTTTGTGAACTTGGGTTTGTTCTTCAGGTAGGTTTTCAGCTGGTGTCCCAGGTTTGCAAGTTTCAGAAGATTGGCTTTTTTGTGTTAATACTATTGTCAGGCATTATCAAAGAAGAGTGGTAAAATGTGAGGATTGTATGTGTGGATCAGCATAACAATGAATCTCTAGAAGAAATATACATAAGAAAAAGAGTATGCAAGATAAAAAGTCTGTATTCTAGTAACTATATACAACTTGTAAACAAGATTATTACTGACTCTCAGCAAGAGATTTGTGCAGTAATAGTCTTTTATGTGTGCTTGTGAGCATGTGACTTAGTGCCTTGTGAGAACACATGCAACTTCCAGCAGCTTGCAAGCTGAGGCCTCTAGCTCTCATAGATGCTGTTTGTCTGTGTAAGGGGTTTGTGGTGAATTCTTACAGTGGAAGATGCTTCTAGATTAGATCAGTCAAAGAAAATAAGCATCAAAAAAGCTGGAATCATTGTCTCTGTAACTAAGAGCCACTCAGAAAGAGAGAAATCTACTGAAATTCTGGTATTTGAAGCTGGTATATCTCATTCAAGTGTTTTGCAAATTCTTAAGAAATATGGCTTTGTTATTGCCAAACTAACTTGGAAACTAGATCTAACTGAATCTGTAAGAAAAAAAAGACTCAGATTCTGCCTTATCTATAAGAACTGAACTCTAGAGAATTAGAAAAATATTGTCTGAACTGATAAAACTTCTGTGGTTCTTAAGTATAAAAGAGAAGCACTTTATCTATAAAAAAGATTCTCAGAAGCTTATAATTCTATCTGTATACACTAATAATAAAAAAAGTCCTCAGATTTCATGTTTTGAAACTGCTTTATGTATGAGAAGAAGAGACTCTGTTATATTTGGAAATCAGAGACTGCAGCAGCCAAATATTAAGCTCAAAAGAAACTGAATATCTTGAATATTAATTATGAGATAAAGACAAGAGAGAAATGAGAGCTTATCAATAAGATTCACCATCTATAAATTTGCTCAAATCATGGAAGAAAGCCAACTTTCAAATTCACTGTGAAAACTAGCAAGCTTGTTTAATGAGACAAGAGGGGAGTTAATTAATATAGATATCAGAAGGTGTTAAGATTCTATTATCTTACTATTGAATTCTCTAGCTAATCTGATACTTCTTTCATTTCAGAAGATTCTTCTTGCCAAATTATTCTCTTTTATCAAGAAATGTCTTGAATCTCAATCTAATACTGTTGTTCTAGAAGATGAAGCTCCAGCATATACTTATTTTTACTAACAAGAGCTCTACAATATACACAAGATTAATCACTTACTTTGGTCTGGTAATTCACCAGATTTAAATATAATTAAGTCTGTCTGAATATGGCTCAAGTAATATACAACTGCTAAAGATATCCCATAAGAATCTAAGACTGCTGAATATAAATGAAAGAAAGTCTGAAAAGAGCTGTCACAAGCAAAGATTCAACAGTGAATTAAGTAGATTCCACATTATATTCAAGAGATTATATGCTTGGAAGGAGGTAATGAGTATAGAGAGAGTAGTTATAAGATGTCTTGTGTATAGAAGAATCAATAGCTTAAGAGAAAGCTCTCTCAACAGCAGAATCTTGAAGCAGATTCTTAAACAGCTGATCTAGAGACTTTGGAAGCTGCTGAAGCTCTAGCTGCTCTATATAATTTGGGTAGAGAGGATTCTTGGGAGGATTTGGAACAGGATTCAGATGAGAGTAACTAGTTAATTTCAGGGGTACTTTGAGTTTCCTAGCAAATTTGGTGGGGTAGTAGGTATTTGTAAAACAGTATTGTCTGTATAAGCTTTCCGGGAACTTTTGTTCCACACCTCAGTAGATCTTGTAGAATTAGTTTTAATTTTTAAAATTTAGTAGAAAATTGAAAAGAATATTGTATAGAAGTTATAGTGCCCAATTTCTTCTAATATTTTATATATCATTATTTAGCTTCTAACACTGTATTTATCTGATAGTTCATGCTTGATACTTCTTATTAGTTTTTCTTGAATATTCTCAGCAATACAAGTTCAAGACTGACTTTAAAGCTTTTCAAAGCTGCTTTTTCTCCTTCTCAACACAGTTAACATTAATAAGGCACAGAGGAGCAATATACAGAAGAAAGCTAGTGTTCAACTTAGGTATACAGGGTACTAAGAGGACGAATTTCAAGAAGAGGCTGCGTTATTGTTCAATTGTGACATTGTTGTCTTCTGTGTAGTGTTTTGGATTAGATGTCTTCCATCCCAACAGCGTCTAATCCCTATACCAGATTGGCGTTTTGAAAAACACCTAGTCTAACATTCCCAGGGACTGACATAATTCAGATATTTTCAGGGTAAGGAGGTATTTTCTTTCTATATTGCTAAATGCTTCATGGATTGTTTTCCCGACAGCTTCTGTCTCATTCAAAGATTGTATCATATGTAATTCTGGAAATCCTATGTTGTCATTAGGTTGTTCGCACTTGATTAGTATTCCAGAATTTCCTCCTTGCCAACTTTTGTCAACTTCTATAGACAGATCCATTTGTGATGCAATAATTCTGCTGCAGACTTTCGAGTCTCCGGGTCAATTTCTAGCATGCCTTTTAATGAGATCAATAAAGATATGGACTTCAGAATCGGGCACATCACTAGTTTTCAGGAAAGGCTTCGTTCTGCCGTTTATCAGGCGCTCAAGTCTCGTGGGTTCAAGTTAGAGATTCGGAGAAGATTCCCTGGAACCAAGGCGCATTAGGATGGTAACAGGATATCAATGGCATCAATAGAATGAATGTACAGTACCTTGTTTGTCAAAAAGTTCTGCGCCTCGATTCCCTTTTTTTATGAAGTCAAGTGGGAACGGGCCGAGGATTTCAATAATTCTTGCTAGATGATCATCTTCAGCGGTCCATGTCCCGTTCTCTGATGCTTCACCGGAGAACAGAACTATCCCTTGGACAAACTCCATAAACCTATCAATATCAGGTGTATATGTCAGGATAATTCGCGCCATAGACCAACGAACAATAAAATTTTCTTACAAGACATCCGAGGCTCCATATATCGACACCAGTATCCCAAGGGGCGCCGATAGTCACCTCAGGAGCCCTCAGAGCTGGCGACTGGATTAGGTTTGACAGACGATCTTCCCCCCAAGTCGCTATAATCAAGATACGTTTCGTGTGTGAAGAAATGCGACGTAACCTACGTACCAATGCCGAAATCAATTATTCTGATGCGAGGGTTTATCATCTCCGAGACCAGCGGTGTTGTGATAACCTCTCGAAGCGGCACTGTAATCCCACGTTGACAATCGGCCCGCGCGGGAACTTCCGACAAATACTGAGAAATAGCATGATTCGGGTTTTCCAGCTCTAGAAGTATATTTGTTGGTTTCAGATCTATCGATGGTAAGGATGTCAGCATTGAAGCAAAAGGCCAGAAATTTATGCGGTATCTTATGTCATACCTGTATGAATGATGCCACACTCTCGGTGCAGGAAATCAAGCCCAAGAAGAAGCTGTCGTGTTATCACTTTCACAGATTTCAAAGGTAGCTGTCCGTCTTCGTATTTGGCGGCTTGAAAGTCCAGATGGTGTCCAAGTACGTCAAGTACAAAACAGACATGATCTCCATTGGGTCCCGTATGCTTAAATTGATCGAGAAGACTCAACACATGGTTGCGCCCTCCGTGAGAACTTTTATTAGAAACTTCTAAAATTCTCGAAAGAATCTCTTTCTCAAATATGTCATGGGAGCCGCCGTAACAGTCGGCTCTCAACACCTTGAGTGCTGGGTATCTCTGATATCTACATGACGAGTTAGTTTGGTGTACGACGGCGACGGGCAACGTACTTCGAATCTCTAGCTAGCCAAACCGTGGAATATTGCCCATAACCCAATTTTCCCAGGACAGTGTACTTAACAGAATGAAAAGTATCGCCTAGGGAAATGGGATGAAAACCCCTAGTTTTGTAATAGTCCGGTTCTCTGCGACTGGATAAGGATTCAGAGGATCCGACGATGCTAGCTGAGATGCTGAACCAAAGAACTTTGAGATTCGAAGCCGAGTTTTTGCCAGAGGTTTTTATTGTATTCATTATCTCAGTGAAGACCGCGCAATATAGTGGCACGCAGTATGGAGGTCTCGTACAGATCGCCGGGGCGCTGGTTATGTATTATACGTTCGCGGACAGGAGGAGTAGGACAGGACGTTGGTCCTGACCGAGTAGCGCTGTAATCTGACCATTTTAGTTTTCTCACAAATGCTTATTTATACAAGTGACCAACTCTTTATAAACATAATCTTGCCTTGTTGACTTGTCACTTTGGCTGATGTCTTACCTTACTTACTACAAATTACTTGTATCTGTCTGCTGATTACTGTGTGATGCAAGACAATGTGGTTTAGACTGCGCCATATCAAATTCACCACTTTCCTTGATAATTTCATAGTCTAGTGATCACCTTTAGGGTCGAGATTCTTGGAGTCGTCACGTTTTGATCCTCTAGTCAGCATGAGCAGCAAGTTCCACGTCTAGCATTCCATTGGGCCCCGGGGCCAGACTCACTTGACAATTGTCTCAGTAACACCCCATCAATCCATGTCGGCTTTGTTTGCATCAAAGAAATTTTTTATTGCCTTCTCTGCTTCCATGCGCTTTTCAGGATTGCTTTTATATATGCCTTCTCTAAACCATCCAAAGGCTTTAATTGACGAACATAGTACGGAACATGATGATAGGAATGGCGCAGAAGCTAAGCCTCTGAAACAAGCTTGTGGTAAACTGTAAGCAGAACAAGAGAGGAGAGAAGATGTTTGGGCTATGTATGGAAGTAATGGTAGCAAGAAATTGAGGAAATTGAAGCCTCTTTTATAAGTGGAAGAGCACGGAGTGCAATGTGACACAGTAAGGTGCTTTACCAAGACAATTGGCTGGTAGAGCCTTTCCTTTCTTTTCTCTCCTTGGGAGTAGGTGTTGAATGGGAACGCCGAGTTTCATACTTGGAAGCAAGAATCTTCCTCTGGTCCATAGTTCATTGGCGAGATATCCTATTAAGATTGACCACAAGCAACTTGTGGTCATTGAGCCCATATGTGGTGACGAGCGCTGCAGTATAAAATGATTGAATATAGGCTCCGCAAGGCTGTAATGTCTCATGTGCTTGAGAAGGCGATACGCTGCTGAAGACCATCAAATCCCGAGGCGCAGCAGCAGCATCGGCTGCTAACATATCTTGTCTGGCTTTCGAAGCGCTGGTACATGCAATGTGCAATTGCATAGCATTTGGCAAAAGCAGCATTTTTGGTCAATGCTTCATAACAGCCACTGGATTTCGAGGGATACCCTGCTACATTTATAAATCATGCATGATCATGGTGTTGTTCAAGACTGATGTTGTTGCAAACAGGGGAAAGGAGAAAAGTTTGAAGTGGTTTAATTTTTGACTTATCTGAATTAACTACGGAGTAGGTTAGTTAACCAGTTAATTAACTAATGAATTTGTGGCCATGTTTTTACAAGCTAGTACTTGTACAAGAACCTTTCAATTCTTTGTATTTGTGTATATTATATATGTAAGGGGAAGTAGATGGCCCTGAGCCTCCTCGCCAAGTTCAGCCCTACCGCCAGCAGGTCTTTCAATGTGTCTTGTTTAATGTGCTATCGTGTAGCGAAGAATGCTAAAGAACAAGCATTTGCATAGCAGCTAGCTAGTTGAATGCTTGATGCTGTAGTATAGAGAGTGATATGTAAGTAGATTCAATCTAATTTCACAGTATATCAAAAATAGAGGACTGAATCACTGACTGCTTGGATCCTGGAAGGAGGCAAGCAATTCCAGGATCCAAGCGATTGACCTATACTACATAGATCTCACACTAAGATGTCACCTTCTGTTGTGTTCTGTGAAGCTTTGGCGATCAAGTGGTTATTTGTAGCTACTCTGTAGTTTGTAACAATATACTATACAGTGTATAAATTTAAACAATAATTTTTATAGGTTTTAACTGTATAGATAATAATAATAACTAGTTGACTAACTAACTAGTTAGCAATAAAACTGATTACAGTTGAGATGAGAGGACTTGAGCAATGAGGAGATTTGGACTGGCCATTGTTCTGAAACTAGAAACTACATTTATAGTAATTTGGTTGCGGATTCTGTACTCCGTACTTTTGATACAGTTATCATTACTAGTGTGGTAAACCTCTGTATTGGTTGACAATACTCAAAAATCCCAACCAGCACAACAATTTCCGTCTATATCCCTCAACACCCTTTCATAGTTGGATTTAACACAAGGACGTTGGCGGGGGCCTGGGTCGTACTATGAATAATAGATTTCAAAATTTGGTCCTGGCCCAGTGGCAGCAATACACTCAACGCCAGGCGAGCATCCAGTTCGTGAATCGTGAATCGTGAATCGAAAATTCAGGTACCGTATTAAAGACGAAAAATAAGTGAAGTGCGGAGTCTCGCAGGCGGCTCGTAGTAGATCTCACCATAGCTTGTACCCGATAACAAGTCGGACATAGGTAATCAAGATATTGAGCCTCGGTGCTGACATCTCGTATTAAAGAGCAAAAGGAAAGAAGAAACGCGTGAACGAAGGAGAATGGGATACCAAGGACTGATTCGGAGCAGAACTGATATATTTGGAGCCGGAGAGCTGGGATCTCGTATTGCCCTCTTTCATATGAACCAAAAGTGCGTTTACGGACGTCGGTGAAAGCGACTGTTCAGATCGGAATGGAGAACGTAGTTACGTCCCAGAGGCCATCGGCAACACCCAATAACGGGTTATTAGCGCCCACCACACAAGATAAATTCGTCAATATCAGAGGGTGCCCCTCGGAAATTGTTCCAAAACCGCTCCACCGCACGTTGAGCTATTGGGGAATCGCGAAATCGGTCCCGGAAATAGTTGAAGAGTGCAAACTCGTCGCGACTCAATACATACGTATCAGGCTGTGATTGTAATTTCCGCCAAAGCTCACCGATAGCTGTTTCAAGGATAGCGCTCACCCTGGGATCTATCTGGCCATCTTCGCTGTTTCTGGCTGACTCTAACGCTCGTCGAACTGCTTCACGGTTTGGAATATTAGGGCTGTTTGCCATTGTGACTTTGAGTGGAATCTGGCTCATCGATTTTGCTTTCATCAGAAGCAGGATGGGGCTCCCCCGTGCTTTTGTACCATCCCAGCTGGTTGCTATTTTCAATCTCGGAGATGAGGCTCATGAAATTTGCGCCGGCGATGACGCTGACTCCTCTCACATTGATTATTCGGACAAGGAGAGTAATTTATGTGGCAGCGAGTGTGAGGGAGCCTGTTAGGCATCAAGGCGGCCCCCTTTCTGCTGACGGTACGGAGTAACTACTTTACCATAAAGATAACCGGCGACCACTATTTGCAAACGGTTATTTTGGGCTTATAGTTGGTTGACGTTCCCTGCTCCTGGCCTTGTGCCCCGCTCCTCCATTCTAGAGGGTGAGTTAGCCCAATAGAAATATCTGAGAGCACACAGTTGTGAATTGGTATTGCGCTGCCAATTCAAAATAACCATGTGGCGGGCCGGTGGGGCATTTGATGGCGCCCCTGCATCATGGCTTTTTGGATGAACGAAATACCTGGATCAGCTTTCACCGCCCACAGTTCGAGTCAGGCGTTGTTCAGTAGCTTGACAGGTAAATGCGTGTACCGACTGGGATAGCCATCCCTGAACGCAAGCCTGCCCATGACCCCATCGAAAGCTGGGTAGATTTACAGACGCGGCAAATACATCAGTAACATAACACTAACCCAAAAAAGGAGGAAATTCTCACGTCCGTTTGGATGTGAATAGCGGAAAGAAGTGCAGGATAAAGGAGTTGGTCCTCCCTTGACAACGCCGTCGGCGAAGATCACCTCCTGCTAAAAGACGCCAGAACGATGAGATCGTGCACGAGTCGCGCAGGGAGACCCATACAGCATCCGTCCGCACAATTTTCCGAATGTTTGGATCCACAAAAAGCTGTGTATCCACTGGGCTATCATTCCTGGTCATGAGCCTAAAATAGTTTCATGCACAGCGGAAGCAATCTGCACGAAACGATGCTGGGCACTATCAAGACGAGCTGAGGGGCCATTTGCATCCAGGTTGTCTCCAGCGCGGCTCTCATCAAAATAAAACAACACCCAATTCTGATTAAATTGGATTTCTTCACATACCTGGTTACTCATAGTCCTGACATATAACAAATCGCCATGCCAGGAGAAGAGACGCTGCCCGAATTCTATGGAATGGAAAAGTGAGAGTGGAGTTGAGCCAGCAAGCGTCGGACCGCGTCTCACTCATGAATTCAGTTCAGATAGGTCGCGGTTACCTCCGCGGCATGTTATTCCCTATTAGACGTGCAGCTGAACCTATTAGCTGGTTTTTTGATGAAGCACTTGCCACAGGAACGCTGCCATATTTCGCCTGACGTCTTCGAATCCCAGTTCAATATACCAAGCAAACGACGCGTTATCGCACGGACCAACGGATATCAACTGAACACCGCTCCAGTAATGTTTGCTGAACATACAAGGACCCAGCGTAGGGGGAAATTCCTGTCATTCCTCCTCAGCGTGTTGAGCAGAGACAACAAGGGCGAGCGCGAATTCCAAAGGGTTGCCTTCACGTTTATGACGACATGAATGTCAGCCCAATCCGCTTCGAAGGAGGAAAGAAAACATGACAGCTACCTTCATGTTAGTTTGGATGGTAGTCGAAGATACTGGGCTCTAGATCGGGCGATAGCGGCATCTGGCGTAGAGCGTTATGCTCCTTTCTTGAAGAGAACATTAACTATCGTTCCAAACCAACACCGAATCATTATTGAGAGTCAGATTGATTTTGTTCCGACTCGTGGCACCACACCCTCGCATGACAGATTTGTAATGCGGAAGGGTTTTGAAAACCTAAACACCGGGAGCGATGCTGCATTGCTGCGTGGAGGAACGGAGGGAGGAGAGAGAGAGAGAGATGAGATTTGCGGGATAAACTCTATCTTTTCGCGATAACGCTCCTGGTTCCGTGTGTTGACTCAGCGTCACAACATTGAGATCGGCTTGTGTTTCGCCGCTGTTTCCTTTTCTCTTATCCAGAGGGTTGGTTTCTTCTTACACCGTTCTTAATACGGGAGCGGCATTTGGTTTCTTCCAGATAACCCCGATGCCTTCTAAAGCATGAATTGTCCACGTAAGAGCCACCGTGTTGACGGCTGCAGACGAGCTGTTAGAGCACCACGATGACGTCTTTAGTGGAAACTTTACCATCCACGTTAAGATCCTTGGACCTCGGGCAAGTCTATACATGTCGGGTCATTTAAAGTCAACATTGGAGATGATGAAGCCACATTGACACGCCAACGGAAGGCTTGAGTCTGTTCCATCCTAGGAAATCATTGCGGCTAGTCGGAATCGAGCCCATAGATCACTCATTGTCTCTGGCAAAGGAATCGGAAACCATTCAACAAAAAAGACCTGCAAAGTGATAATAGTTGCCTGTGAACATGTTTGACTTTGAGATGGAGACCGGATTATACAGCGACAACAAAGACCATATGGGTCCTATTTACGAATCCTTTCCCGCGACCTCTCTCCACGATACGGGAAACATCCTAACCCTACCACCAATGCATTCTCAGCTTTGGAATTGACAACTCCTTGTACAGGGAATTCCAAAGGCATGTGGTGAGACCCGGCCGGAGAGGACACCTTGCTACCAAATTCACCGAGTCTCTACTTATTTGGAAGCTGGTCGTGGTGCCATCATCTGCGCAATATAGGAAGTTTGATAGGCAGGTAGTATAGTTACCATTTTATGGCGCTAGACGCTCGTGCGTGCAGAGTATAGTTAATCATGCATGTTGTGACTTACCATTTATCTAGATCGTAGGGTCCTTAGCATCTCAACTATCCGCCGGTGGTCACTCGCGCCTAGAGATTTTATAGGTGGATATGTAGGTACTTGATTTGCAAACATCATTTCTGGATGGTCAACGAGTTGGTTTGCAACCCCAACGCCAATGCAGTACATTACATGGCTCATTGTGTGGAGCTAGTGGGTTGATAGCGCGTGTTGGGGCTCTCCTGCTCAGGAATTGTGCCTGAAAATAGCTCTGGTGCAGATCGAGGACCCAGATTATCGGGCTGGCCGGGGAGGCGCCAAACAACCATGTCGTTGCGTCCTTACACACTCCAGACGGTGCACAGTTCAACAAGACCTTGTCCGGCGAGCATGGGCTTTCCGGGGGAGTCGGTTATAGCCTACGAGACCAAGGCGCTCAGAGCACACGTCAGTCACGTGGCACACGTGTATGCCGCGCGGAGCCCCTTGACTCTACAGGAGATGTCTAATTAAAGCCGACAAGAATAGCAAGGTGCTCCGTACTCGATATTGAAAACATATGTGCGTAGGTCTTGAGTCCTCGAAATTTGGTAGTTAGTGGCTTGCGGAGCACTCGTCTCCGTACTGAAGATACAGTGAGCCGGGAAGGCTCGACGTGGTCACGGGCAACTTAGCAACTTAACTAACTAGCTACTCCCGGGCGCACAAGCTGTTAGTTAACCAGCCAGCCAATTGCGGAGTACCAGCTAATCGATAAGGAAGGACGAGGGGCGGCTGAGGAAAACCATCGACTCCGACCACAAGACGAAAAGGTCCAGGCACCTGTTGTTAATAGCGTTTGAGACAGCGTCACCCTCTTTGTTGTGTGCATTGTTTCTTTTTGGCTCCTTTTGTTTTTTGAAATGGTTTACTACTTCACATCTAACGTTGTTGAGCCGGCCGCGTTCATTTATGTCGGCAGGGACAAGGAGGAAAGTATGCAAATCTCAACGATTTTCTTCTAATTGGCTTTACTTTGCTGATATGAGTGCCGTAGATGAGGACTTGATAAAATATGGACTGGAGAGTGATGTCTGGTAAGCTGGTCTAAGACGATTCTCCTCCCATTTTTTCTGAGCCCTGTTTAAACTGACTCGCCAGGGTTCGTACACCCCCGCGTTCCCAACAATCCGCCATTCTCGGATGTGCGTTGTTTCCTGACAGACTCCTAGTTCCATGTCGACAATCTGTCGAGTGCACATGTCTACCTTCGCCTTAATGAAGGCCAAAGTTGGGAAAATATCCCCCAGGACTTGCTCGAAGATTGCGCGCAACTCACAAAGGCCAACTCTATTGAAGGTGTGACGATACCGAAAATCTCCAAGGCTGCAGTGTCTATTCTCTAATAACGACAATCTCATGAGAGGACAGGAAACAAAAAGGATAATGTAACGATCATATATACGCCATGGTCAAATCTATTAAAGACGGCTTCGATGGCGACCGGCCAGGTCTCTTTCCACAACCCGAAGTTGACCCGGAAAATATTTGTCCCTGCACGCCAGAATCCAATCGTAAACCGACTAAATAAGACTAAAATTGAGAAGTTTCCCGATCTCAGAGCTGAAAAGGAAGAATATCTTTCGAAAATTAGGAGAGAAGAGCGAAAGCGAAGAGAGGAGAAACGTGCCACTGAGAAGAGAGAACGCAAAGAGAGGGAAGAGCTGAAGTGGCAAAAGGAACATGCCTACGATGACTTAATGAACGAAGAGAACGTTCAGCAAAGCAGCAACCAGAATCGTGACGAAAGCTATCTGGATGATTTTATGTGATAGGGGCTATACCAGCAAATTATTTTCCTTGTGGCTTTTCTCAACCGCCTCATCCTCGTGCAATGTCGGAGGAGCGAAAGTTGAATAACCGCATTTCGAAATGGATGTATGCAAGACCACCGGGCAGTTTTTCAATCTAGAGCCCTCTACTCTAGGGCTACAGAATGCATAGATATATCCAACGTCCCAACCTATCTCCTTTCTTATTTCTTCGCTATGTATACCCCTCTGGTCTTCCTTGAAAGGAGCTATACCTGGATTGCTGCACAGCCAATCCAATATATGGATGCTACCTAAAGCCGAAGTGATAATCGAGCAATCAGGATCACGAGTATACTGCTCAGTTTCATGCAATATCTGTGCATGCTGTTGAGGCTGGGGGGTTACTGGGGATGTGCTAGAGGAGTAGATCGGGGAGAGCACACGGTTTTGATATATGTTGCTTTCTCAACAAATGGTGCCCACAAAAGCTGGAAGGTCTCCTGTAAATGGGATGGATTCTTTGGTGAGAATATATTGATCTCGGCTGCAATTTTTAGTGTCACTCTCTGGGATTTTTAATGCCTATAAAGGTGGTCATCGCTGTGTGCCTCGACCTTTTGAGCCTAGCTTGCATCTTTATTTATATATTTTATACATTATGCCTGCATATTCAGAATTGGATCGCTGCTGTAGTAGTGTGAGCTGACTGTTAACGCCGACGGGCGATGCATAATATTTGGCTTGAATAAGCTTGAGACAAAGGAGAGCCGACGGAGAACAGGTCTTGGGTAATGAAGCGGTAAAAGGCGAGCTTTCCAGGCTGCACAAGCATGCTGTCTCAACTCATGCACTGCGAATTGCTTTTCTCAAATCTTGCAAATCTCAAGAGTCTAGTTGGATGTAATAATCGAGCAGACGGGAAGAGTGGAGAGACATCTGAACTGGGTAAAGGATGTATAGATATAGATTATACCGTCATCAAGTGGCGCCTTGGGAACAAGGTGCTAAAACCCCGGGTAATCCGTCAGCCCCCCCTCCTCGTCGGGGGGTCAGGCTATCGGGACAGTAAGTTCATGCACCAAGGCACTGGAACGGCATAAGGCACATCACATTTAAGACCCATGTGTTCTTGATGATAGTGAATATCCGCTATTTGGCGCCAAATGCCTTATGATCAAAGTCATAGCTACAGGGCATTCTCGCCATTTTAGTTACGTGATGTCGCAATCCACCGAGCCGGAAAATGCCATGCTGCGGTAAGCTGGGCTCCAAGACTGGCTGAATGAGTCTGGACAAGGCGCGGGTTACGCAATAGTTGGATACCAAACCCATGTGCCTGAAGCGCACGAGTCCGCAGCACGGATCCCCGGTCAGCCGTGTATGATTCGGGTCGGGAAGATCTTTGTTCCTCTGCAACTTTGGTTGGCTAGGTTTAACTACTAAGTTACGTACTATGCTGTTGAAGACTATGAGAATACGTCCTCGACAGCGGCTCCACCCTAGCCATTTCGTTCTTCCTCCAGAACTCCAATAATAAGCCGACATTCTCATTATTTGCCTAATGGATGCAATTGTCGTCGTCCCGATACACAAGAAATTTCGCTAAACAGAATGCCGACAGACACAGTTTCTACCCCTCCTCAAGGTTGGTTTCCGCTTCATCGCTACAGAGCGTCCCAAGACTAATCTAACTCGCTTCTTCGGGGCAAAAAAGCCACGGGAAGGTCTAAGAAAAACAAGAAGAAAAAAGGCGCTGGGAAATCGAATGTTAACGGAGAAGATGATCGCAAGTTTCAAGTGTCTCATCAGAGCGCTGCGGCGAAGTCCGATGAGGCCTCCGAGTCCACGACGAAGGTAGCTCCATTGACAATAGCACTGATTTTACGGTGATGTGGCTCTAATTCTAATCCAATTGCATATCTAGACGCCTGCTGAGGATCTAGCAAATGGTTCACAGCGCGAGGACACGGAAAGTCAGTTGGAGAAGACGGACGATGAGGAAGAAAACCAGCCCACAAAGGAGGTTCTACCACCCACAAGAAATGACGAAATATGTTCGGAAAATTCTTTCAAGCAGCAGATGCCATCAGGTATCGAATCAGATACACGGTTTGAAGCTCTCGTACGAGATCGCGACTCACTCCGAGTGGAGGTTTCAGAGATGCGAAGGACCCTCGAGAAGATACAGTCAAAACATGATCAAGAGATGGAAACCCTTCAGAATAAACTGCAAGAGACACACAATGAGAAGAATAACGCGGAAACGCAATTTCGAAATCTTCTGGGCAAGGTCAACACCATCAAGTCCCAGCTAGGAGAAAGGCTGAAAGCCGACGCTGTATGTCTCGCTCAGAGATTTCAATGTCAATATGCCCGCTAATCCTTCGAGCAGGAAGAGTTAAGCCAGGCAAGAAGCCAAATTGAAGAACTAGAGGGCCAAAACGAAACACTTAAGTCCGAAGTTGAAGCTAAATCAGCGCAGATTGAGTCGTTGGAGAAGGAGGGTGAGCAGAGATCTAAAGAACTTTCAAGCCTGAGAAATAGAACGAACCTTTCTCAGCAGAATTGGTTGAAAGAAAGGGAAGAATTGCTAGAACAGGAGTCGTATCTACGTGCAGAATTCGAAGAGGCCAAACAGGCCATGCATAACTGGGAGATTCTTGCTATGGAGGAACGATCCGTTCGAGAGGGGCTTGGGGATAAGGTGGTAGACTTGGAAGAACAGCTAAATGCTCTCAAAATTGACTATGAGAGAGTATCGAAGGAAAGCAGAGATCAGGAAAATACGATCGAGGGTCTTCAGAAAGCTCTACAGGAGATCCAGAGAGGTGAGCGCTCCCATACAGGCATTGGGCTTAAGAAGCATCCTGCGTACTAATATTCCGGTGTAGCTCGAAAGCAAGAGTTGCGAGAGCTGGTCGAAAGCTCTGATCTCCAAGCTGAAGATCTCCGGAAGAAGGTTCAAACTGCTGAAAAATCAGCTGCCCAGGCCACTGCGGAGCTGGAAAAAACAAAAATGGAGTTAGAAAGAGCGCTGCCCTTTGAGAAGGAAGTGAAGGAGAAGAACCTCCTGATAGGAAAGCTTCGGCACGAGGCAGTCACGTTGAATGAGCATCTTACAAAGGCTTTACGTTTCCTTAAGAAAGGGCGGCCTGAGGACAATGTGGATAGGTGTGTCGTAAACGATTGTAAGAGCATCGCGATAGCTTCTAACCGTGGGATAGGAATCTTGTGACAAACCATTTCCTTCATTTCCTCGCACTTGATAGGTCAGACCCGAAGAAATTTCAGGTCCTACAACTTATAGCTGCACTTCTGGGGTGGACGGATGGTCAGTCGACTTCCTCTTTTGTTCGTCAAAAATTATACTGACATACGTAGAACAACGTGAGCAAGCTGGCCTTGCTCGGCCCGGAAGCACTGCATCGCTTAGCCTTCGAGTCCCTGGCGCCTCACTCGTGCAGCGGACCCCCAGCTCTCCTGCACTTGCAACGGATTATTTCTCCGAATCCACCCCTTCCCGTAAGGAATCGCTGGCAGAATTATGGTCAAGTTTCCTAGAGCAAGAGGCCCAGACTGGAAAGGAACAAAAGGACTCCAAAGCTGGAGGTGAATGACGATGCTTGATGACTTGTGCTGGCTCACGCTTTCATTGTCGGAGTTTCTTTTGCAACATTCTGTATTTTATATATCCATGAGAGAACAGGGTATCTCGGCTAGCAATAGATACATGAAAAAAAAGGCCAGACCTGTGGAAACTCAAAGTGTTGCGCCAAAATTGCCATTATCCACGATCCAATCTCTCACACTCTTGTAAGCTATGTCAAAATCATCATTGACTACGATTTTGTCATGAGCTCCCGGCTGCTTGGCATATTCTAGTTCATTGCTTGCTTGCGCCAACCGTTTACTGAGGCTATCTTCCGTCTCTGTTCCGCGGCCACGGAGTCTGCGCTCTAGTTCTTCGATAGATGGAGGGGCGAGGAATAGGAATCGGGCATTAAGGTCGGTCTTTTTGACTTGCTTGACTCCCTATTGTTCTCGACTCATTAGCCAAAACACTGCTTTCGGCTAGTGTGCTGTTTGAATCCCAAGCCCAAAGAGCCAAGAGAAGGAAGTAAAATCATACCTCCATTTCAATATCCAATATACAAACCCTCCCTTTTTCGCTAATATTTTTCACCGCCATGGTGCTCGTTCCATAGTAATTGCCACCGAATTGAGCATATTCGATAAAGCCGCCTTCGTCAACAAGATTTAAAAAGGCTTCCTTGCTTGTAAAGTAGTATTCGCGACCATCGACTTCGCCAGCACGAGGGCCTCGGGTGGTATCTATGTGCCCGATTAGCTGCTGCTCCCCTGTCTCTTTAGAGCCGGAAATGACAGGCGGTGTTGCCCATAAGCTTCTAGCTGGTGCTAGCTTATACTCACGAGATACGGAGAAGCTGAACTTATCAGGAAACTCGGCAAAGAGCCGCTTAAGGATCGTGGACTTGCCCGTCCCTGATGGCCCGGAAATCACCACAGGGCGAAACTTGCGCACTGCAATGCGGCAGGGCACGAACATGGCGGTTAGCCCAGGTAGCGAACAGAATTCGCAGAGGACCTACCTGTAGCGGCCATTTTTAAAAATCGATACCGCTCACAGGAGCCAAGGCTTCGTAGTAGCAAAGTCTGTCGAGCAGCGGGGAGGGAAAAAAGAAACGAACCTGGGGCGTGAGTTGCGACCATGGTACAGCCCTCAAGGGGGGTTTGGTTGTTCTTGGCAACGTTATTTCCTCCTGGGGTTGAAAGTTCACACTGGGGAACAGATGAACCACGCGAACCGCCAAGGATGCCCAACTTAAGAGCTAATCCAGATGAAGATACCGATGACAATCTTATTCGCCATCTTTTCTACGGAGTACTCCATATGGATTCTCATGGACATAGGCCAGACCTTGATTTATCTCAGGAAGGTCCTCTAGTGAATCTTTTGGAGTTGGATACTGTTTTCATTTACGATGGAAGCCACCAAAAAATTGAAGACAAAATGGGTCTGGAGGAGTTATAGATTAAACAAAATATCAAGTCCGAACTTAGCAAAGTAAGAAGACATGCTTCTGTGGACGACCTGCAATCTCGAATCTATCCCTGTAAGCGATGCGAACAAGCAGTGGAGAAAAAAAAAATACTAATTCACTGATTAGAAAAGGAAACCATAACAACTGCAATAGGATATCTGGAAAATGTAGCACTAGCTTGCTCGCAGGAACGAAATTGCTTGTATTGTATTCGCATATCCGGCCAATGCAGATCGAGTGGCTCGACATGACCTAGCCAGCAAGAAGTTGGAGGTGTTCACCTCAGTAGCCATTCATCGTCATTCTTTGCGAATTGCGGCTTAGCTCCCTGTCCGCCGAAGGGCTTATGGGTCGACTGCCATGGCCGGTAGCACTGCTTTCTTTCAATGCAAGCAGCTGCTTAGCGCGGAAAGTTTCGTAGTGAATCTGGCTTGTGGTCTCAATTAAGTCTTGAAGGTGGGTTCGTGTAAGGAAATTGCGGAGGTAGACAAATTCGCAATGGCTCTCGTCTTCGACATTGATTACACCCCAACGGTTCTGGCGACCACGAACTTGTTTGCCATTAACAATGATTGACTTCTCACTTCCAACAACGGCGAATGGAATTATGTCCTGCATACCGTGTAAGTATGGTGGCTAGAAATGCGATGAGATACCCCGAGACAACGATGACTCACTTTAATCTGGGCATTGACAGCCCGTTCTTCATCATCCAGCTCATCATTGTCATATGGATACATTTTGAGGTTGTGGAAGGCAAACTCCTCCTTGATTCTTTCCTTGAACGCAGAACGCTCCTCCAGAGTCAGGGAATCGGACTTGGCGATCACCGGCACAACATTAACAACATCGGAAAGTTTCTTGAGGACAACGATGTCAATAGGTTTCAGGCTGCAGGCTCTAGTTAGCATATGTTGAGCTCCTATTCCTCAACTGATACTCTACGTACGCATGTCCGGAAGGCTGGATGAAGAAGAGACAGCAATGGATTCGAGTGTCCTGAATATAGCGCTCTCTCTGTGCAGTGAGTTCCTTTCGGAGGAATGCGGAGTGTTGGTCTTTGATGTACTTGACGATCGGATCCCAGCTATAGAGAGCCGAAGAGTCAGTACTGTGCCCATGTTCCTGTTCACCACATACACGAACCAGCGATCATTATTAACTTGGTCACCGTAGCCGGGAGTATCAACGATATTCAATCGCAAGCGGACACCATTTTCCTCAATAACTGGTTTGGTGTTAGCCTGGGTAAATGACCTTTACGAGATATGGGACGTACTGTGTGAGACGGTTTGGATTTCCGTCGTGGAACGCACAGGCTCATCTGGTGTCAAACGGCCCTTGGAATCAATTAAGTGCGAAGCAAAAATGGTATTGATTAGAGTGGATTTGCCGAGCCCGGTTTGACCTGAAGGAGGACCGAGTTGGTCAGAATGCGATAAACCCTCAGGATGATACCTCGGGGGCACGAACCAACACACATGACGTTGAACTGAAAGCCACGCTTCAGCAGCTTCCGCTCGATCTGCGAAGTGATGCTGTCGAAACCGACATGGCTTCGAGGATAAACCGTATTATTGGCTTGCTGTTGGGCAGACTGGGGAGTCGGGGATGCCATTTCGACTGCTCTCCGCGTTGGTTTCAGCAAGCAAAGCGAATCGATGGAGAAAATCCGTCTAGATCTGTTCGACAACCGATTCAAGGATCAGATCGAGTGAAGGAAGGGATCGGGCTGGCCAACTGAACGGTGGGAGTGGTAGTGAGTCTTCTCTTGACGAACAAGAAACCCCTTAAATTTCTCAGTCCTGCCGATGGACAGCTTGGTTCGGTTTGCTGCGTGAAGGCCAATCGTGGATCAGGGGCTCAAAGAACAACATTAGCCCGCTTCCGGTTTAGCGCTGTTTCCCAAAGCTCCACGAAATTGGGCCAATCAGGGTCCTTTGCGCTCGGTTTCTTCACGAACCCAAATCGGCTGCTTATATAATGATCTTGAGTTTTGCAGCATCTCGCTCCCCAAAGGCTCTGAAGCGGAAGGCGATACCAATCTGTTGCTCTCTGCCGGAGATATATACAGCATTCGCGGCGCGTCTACCAGGTTGCTCGAAATGGCTGCGATAAGACCGATTTGGGCTTCGCCCTTGCCCCATCTCTTCATACGAGCTATCCCTTCCCTCACACTCTTCCAATCTTCAACATCGAGCCGACTGCTGCAATATCTCCCACGCTCTTTTGCCCTATCCTCCAAGACCATTGCCCCGGGTGCCATAGTGCTAGGCCTTCCTTCCATCCTCTCTGGACTTTGGGAATCTATCCTCCGTGCGGTTCCCAAGAAGAAAACCTCTCATATGAAGAAAAGACACCGACAAATGGCTGGCAAGGCTCTAAAAGATGTGAAAAACATGACCAATTGCCCCGGCTGCGGCCAGCCAAAGAGAGCACATCTACTGTGTCCTACATGTGTTAGCGGTACGTTTATAGTTATTATCTGCGGTTTTGATCCCGATGGATAAAGAGAAATCGACTGACAATTCCGTCTCCAGAGGTCAAGCAACGTTGGCGAGAAGAGGAAAAACCGGCAATATCAGCCTGACCTTTATCTATGTTTGGATTTTGCGGAGCTGTTAAAGACCTTGGATGTATAAAACAATTAAAGGGGGCATGGCATGCGAATTGGCGTTTAAGCGGGTGTTTGCACTATTGATTCCTTGATGATTCATCAGTTGTATATTAGTTTGTATGACAAAATCAATTCTAGATTCCTTTTTGCAATATAAAATATATCTATAATATCTTGTTTTTTGTTTCCTGGTGAAGAACTCTTCTGCATCACATGGTTTGCTCATGCTTTTATGAAGCCTGAGCTTTTGGAGTGATTGTTGCGGCCTTAATTTTATGAATCAACCATACACAACACTTTCAACACATAGCATAGTCATCACTCCATATTAAAACTCTGAACGCCAGGAGAACAAATTGGATGTGTTAGAATACAGGGATATCATTGTGCAGATATGGTAAGAAATCCTAGAGGGACGTTTTTGAGGTGCAAGACAACTTCTAACACGAAGACAGTCGAAGCAATATCTAACATTGCACACTATTGACAATGGTGCTGAACCACAAAGACCCCAGAAAGGGCCTCATGCTTACTGAGAATTACAAATAGCCCATCCTGTCGATATATTTTCTTTGGCAGTCACACCGACCCAGATCCTATCAGCCTCAGGCTCATCATCCCTCAATGTTCATTCAACTACAGAGGCAGAGTTTCCCATTGCCCAATCAATGACAAAAGCTCACAAAATTGGTTGCCACCACATAGTAGCAACTCAGGATGGACTAAGGGCAGCCAGTGCGGGTTTCAGCGGTGAAGTCAAACTGTGGGCATATGAAAATGGGATGTGGAGCGAGGATACAAACTGTACGTGTGAAGTCCCTTTGAATGTTGACTGCCTGCCATGCGAGAAATGCTCTCTGCTCATAGCATAACTACAAAGATACTGGAAAAATCTGCAATGTCTGGGCCATAATTCTGTCTAGTGATGGGCATTATCTCGCTGGAACTACCCATGACGGCCACATCAAAGTTTGGGACCTTCAGAATGGCGCTCACCAGATCCATGACTTTGAGACGAAAGGAAGTTTCGGCATGTGTATAGATATTGTATGCGCTGACAATATTTTTCGATGGCGAAAATCTGACAATATCTTCCCAGTCACCCGATGGACGATTTACGGCTTCTGGCCATCAAAGTGGAAGCGTTTATATTTTTGATAATAGCACTGGCCGGATGCCTTATTCTCTATCAGGTCCGTTCCATTATGTAGTGCGCCCCGACTGTCGCCAACTAACTGTCCGTAGGCCTTGTTGGGCCGGTTCGGGCTGTGGCCTTTTCGCCGGGAGGGAAATTGCTGGCCGCTGCTGGAGATTCAAGGGTGATTATGCTCTACGAAACATCGTCGGGCGAGCAGGTGGCAAACTTTAGCGGACATTCGGCATGGATTATGTCTCTAGACTGGAGTCACACCGGGGAATATCTTCTCAGTGGGTAAGTATTTTAAGGAATATCTGGGATTTTTTTTGTCAGGCCGAATGCCTCTGACACTTTAGGTAGATCGTTTGACGGAAAGGTAAAAGTATGGTCAATTGAGCGGAAAACTTGCGTTGCGACTCTTTCGGAGTCTGACAAGGCGCTGTGGTGTGTCAAATGGCTACCAAAAATGGGAAAAGCAGAAGGTTTCGCGACAGCTGGTGCAAATCGAAGCATTGCATTCTATCGTGAGGCTACGGGGGGGTTGAAAAGAGCCAGCGCTCAGTCTCTGAATCACACTCAAGCTTGGGAAATAGCGGGTTTGTAGTTCATAATCATGATGTTAGAATGAGGGGTATCTCTAATGCTCAAAGAAAAATATATCAAAGAATGGCATAACCCGGTGTTTCGTTCACTTCATTGTTGCCACGAATAATTTTCGCATCCGTTTAAGGAAGGCCCCAAAATCCCTGTCTTCGTTGACAATGTCAAGTTCACGTTCGATGACCGTCCTCTCCAACTTGGGCCGGCAATGGAATACCTCGTAATCCCGGGAGGCGGTCCCAAGCTCAAACCAGGCCTCTCTCTCCCAGTCCTTTTCCAACAAATGAGTATATACAATCTTTAGCCGATCATCCCTCCCTGCACCTTCGATCCTTAAGCATAGATAGTCCTGCCAAAATTCTAGCTCGGGAGTGTTCAGGCGTGATTGGGCTTCAAGCTGTCTCGCGTGCGCTCTCTGAGCTTCCAATCTCTGATTGATGGCCTTTTGTGTCTCTTCAATCTGCTGTTTTAATCGGTCTCGCGTTGCCTGGCGGGCGTCACGTTCTTGAGTTACTGTCGCAATCGCCTCATGCATTTCTGCCGCTTCCACAGCCTCTTTTTGCAATGTTTGCGCGTGGGTTTGTGCCTTTAAATTAAATATTTCAATATCTTTTTGCTTCATACGTCGGTCCTCTGTAACTATTCATTAGAATCTGGTGGGAAGGGGAACCGGTTGCCGTCATGCAATCAGTTTTAAGGAATAGTACCTTGGAGCTCTGCAAGATTCACCCGAAATTGATTTTTCTCCTCTAAAACTTGCTTCCTTCCTCTCTCAATAAACGCGTCAAATCTTGCGGTAAACTGTGCCATCCGCGCACGTAAATCGTCGAATCCAAAATTGAGAACTGGAAGTTGGTCGGCCATGGATGGCGCATCTGCCGATGTCAGAGGTGGGCGCATGCCCGACACTGACATCGAGGGATCAAATGTTGAGGCCATGATATATCGCTAATTTATCAATCCCCCCAAAAATGTATGTATGTATGTATGCTCCGTGGTGATTTGCCCTTTGATCAATGGGAACGAACTTCGCTGGTGTTTTTCCAGGTGTCAAGAATATTGGTTGCGCAGCAACATCCGGTCTAGCCCCAAGGTTACTTCGATCTGGCTACGGAGTACGGAGTACTGAAACCCCAAATAGGTTGGCGCAAACTGAATATGGCGCTAAACTCAAAATAAGCTTGGCCCTTTCGCCGAACAAGACGAATTTCTGCATGGAGCACTCTTTTGAGCTCTCAAGCCAGCACTATGACCATGCCGCTACTTTTCAATCCATAGCTCCTCACAAACGATTGCTATCTAAATCATTGACACACGTAGTGTGTGCATGTTGATTTTCTCCGCAATGAATACCAGTTTTCTTCAAGTTTTCTTGCTGCGTACCACGCCTCGATCCAAACCAGATGGATGACCACTGTCGTCGAACTACCCTGCAGTATGGGCACCTTGGAACACCATTCTACCTTCCAGGGACGCAAAATTGGGAGTTTACGCGTGTTCCTAAGCGAAGTTGGTATAATCATTACTAATGCTGAATAGCAACACGCTGATGTATCGCTAGGTCCGCCCTTTACTGCTTTGAGGGAAACTTTTGTCACCTCCCTTGAACCCGATTCCACTTTCTCGAGTCCTACAACTCAGCATGAAGCTTCTCGAGTTGCAAGAAAGGAACATTCATTGTTGAAAGCATATCCGGAATTGGCCCCAAGCTTGGGGTTAGTGAACTCTCACGACAGGTCCTCCCAAGTCATCACTGCAACTGTGACGAATTTTGACCCCTTGGTTTCTACGCGTTTGGCATTTGGAAGAGCGGTCAACGAGAATCATGCCGGTAGTCAGTCAGTTCCGATAGTAGTAACTGCTTCTGGTGATCCAGCAACATCCATTGCCGTTATCCCCCTCGATCTCAAAACTAAGAGTACGCTAGCCGGTTCGAAGCGAATGCTCTCTAGTCCGAACCTCGCATACAGCGATGGCGCATGGTGGAAATGCCCTGGAGGCCCAGTGCAGCAAATTTGTTTCGCAGAATCTATTGATGAAGAAAACACGTACTTCGCGGCGAGATTTTCCCAGAGCACTATGATATTTCGCCCTTTGCGCCATAGAATGCCATTACTCTCATCCTTTGGAATGAGAGGTTTTATGCTGGAGCCGCACTCGAAGACCCATCTCAATGCAAATCCATTGGTTGATATACCGATTTCGTTAACTGGTGGCCAGCCGCATGCCGATGTTACTTTTAATCCATGGTACCAACGGCAGGTCGCGATTATTGATCGTTGTGGGAAATGGAGCGTTTGGGATATACGTGGCAAGCACCAGCTTCAAGCTGATTGGATTGCTGATCGAGGTCCCTGTGGATCTCTGTCGCGTGCGTCTGGGTTAGGAATCTCTGAACCCACAAAGGAAGATCATTTTGATGGCTGGGCTGCAGTCATTTGGGTTGGAGATGTGCATCAATTACTGGTCTGTAACCGTCGCAATCTGGCCCTATGCAGACTTAGCATGCAGCCGCCTGAACAGCACCTCATATCCCTTGGGTTACAGCGACCTTCTGAGTGGATTTTGGATATTTCTAGAAGCAAACATAATCCTTCCCACTTTTTTGTTCTTACCACAACCAAAGTCCTGTGGTTGAATGTTCTTCCAGTTGAAGCATCCCCGGATGGCCATGGTGTATCCACATTGCTGAGTTGGAAGCATTTCCGGGATACAGAAGACACAAGCCTCCGCCTCGCACAGGTGCTGGTACAGAACGGTACAATCTCTCTCTGAGTTTCCCTCATTTTCTATGATGGCATATCTAATGAATTGTAGCATTATATATAATTATATTTTCTCATTTTAACGACTTGACTGAAGCCTTTCGGTTCTCGCTCTCGGCGGAAGAATCGTCAATTCCACTATCCATATCCGATCCATTCCTTCTCTCTACCCCTTGGCCCACGAATGGAGCCGAACATCCAGAAGATAGGCAGAAGAGTTTCTGCTTTTCGTCCATGCTATTTGAAGAAATTGATGCCCCCCCGGGTTTCAGCGACGAAGATAGGGGAAGTCCAACACTAATTAAATTTATTGGCCAACGTGCAGATCTTGCAATAGTTGAAGGGTTATATTCCATGGCTCTACCCTTCGAATCTCCAGAAGCAAGTTATCCGCGCCCTAACTCTATTCTGCCTCAAAGAAGACGCAAGTTGGCTAGCTTGGCTCGGGTTGACGACTTTGACTTTGTAGTAGATGATGTGGATGAACCAGTAATCCAGCTAGAGATTGGGATGAAGCAGAACAACAGCCTCCACCGATCGTTCCGCCGAGATTTTCAGCCACACCAACGGACTGAGCAATGGACATCTCTGCATGTTCGAGTGATTACTAGTGCTAGCCAACCAGTTCCACGACAGGATGAGATCGAGATTCAAATACAAGGATTTGACGATTGGATTCGCCTGGCTACCAGCAGACTCCAAGACCAAATAGCTCATGATTCAATGCCTGCGGTATCTCAGACACTGTTAGTGATTGTATTTCTCTGTGTCTTGGTATGTGGTGCTAATGAGCTTGCTAGACTTGAAGCACTCGGTGTCCCACCGGCTCTAAATGCAATTGATAGTAACGCAAGGAACTTTGCACGATTTATTCAGACCATGTCCAGTCCAGTACTAGAGCCCCGCCACCGTCGTTGGTTATCAGGGTTGCCGTTGCCATTTTCCGCTACATCACGGCTACCTGTTTTCACTCCAACGCAGCAAAATGATATGTCCCTTGCAGCACTGTATGACTCCCTTGTCTACGATTGGCTTTCTCCGCTGTCAGATCATGTTCCCAATCGGGTTCGGATGTCAAAAGAAAGAATGATTCGATGCATGGTTGCAGAGATAATGTTTTCGAGAATTAGCCTTGTGCAAATGATGCCAGAAAAGAGAGAGTCCACCAGTCTTGAGGACCAGGTAATGACCTCGTCAGGACCAGCCAATGAGCCGCCGTTTAAAGGGGGACGGCGTGGTGCATCACATGACGGTATATTACCAAGTCAAGGTGCAAGTTTTACACCTATGCTTTACCAATCTCATGAGCCAACAGCGCCAGCATCTCTCGCTTTGCACCGTTATACTACCGTAAATCCCCAACCTGACCCCTTAAAGCGTGTCATGACAACATTATCCCATTGGAAAGTCGGCACTGATCCGGCGGATTACGACTGGCAGAAAACAGTTCACGCGATTCAAGATGAACAGTCACTGTCCGGGGACCATCCAACCGTCCAGAGACGTCGTAGGCGTGAAGAGCGCAAACGACGCCAGCTGGAAAAAGCTCAAAAGCAGGCGTCATTAACGCCGTCAACACCGAAATTAGTTGACGGCGGGAGAATGTGGGGAAGCCAACCAGACAGGGCCATTCGTATCTCTCCGGTCGAACCCGAGCTCTGGAGCAGCCAAATCAAAGAAGAAAATATACCCCTGACACAGGTAGAAAGAGGAGTATTTGGTAGCAGAGAAGTGGCGCGAAAGAAGATGGGTAAGGAAAGGAGAAAAAGGCGAGCAGCCGGATTTTGACATTTCGAGCTTTTTTGGGAATATGCATGTATGAGCCAACACACTGATATGTTTGTATCTTTTTACACACCATGTCAACTAAATACAGACACCGGAGAGAGTGTCATTGTAAAAATACCAAAGGCAGACATATTTCAACCTGCATTCTCTAGTGAGATATCTAAGTAGCACCAAAACACAGCTGATTCCGGGTCTCAATCTTGGCGCCCCCAAGACTATTTAAAGGGTAATCTAAACCGAAATTCTTGCTCGATATTCGAACCCGATATGAACTCCATGTCGATAAAACGCCAATAAAGATGTATGCAATCACTAGCATGGCTGTCACGCACCTCCATTACGAACTAGCGAGAAAGAAAAGTAACCCTCGTTCGTTCGTGGTTGTGCATTTGCAAGAAGGGGTGTTGATGGTGTATTTACACCTACTATTTGCCTTTTTTTTTGAGGTGGAATTCTCCCTGTCAAGGAGAAGAGGTTGGTCTCAGGCCTCAGATTTAGCTTCTGATTTCAGGGTTTCATCGGTGGCCGAAAATATCGATTATATCGTCAATGTCTTCATCATCTTCCCCATCCTCTAGCTCCTCCTCTTGATCATTGGCGGGGTCTTCGTCTTCGCAATCGTCTTGTTCTTCGTCATCATCTTTTTCCTCCTCGCTGTCATACTCTCTGCTTCCCAAAAAGCCTAGCGTCGCTCTTTTAAGCGCAGAGACGGGCCAGAAACTACCTCTTTCGTCATTTTCGCTGTCTGAATGTATCACCTCGGGTTGCGAAATCGTTGTCCATATTGATCCTCGTCGTCGACTAAGGCCAAAATAGTTACTAACAGTCGGGGATACGGATCGTGCATTATAGCTCTGCGGCAATGCAGGAATCGCCCGGCTTCCTGATCCTATTATCGAGCCTAGAGCATCTGATGACCCATCTGCTGTCGGTATCGATCGAGCTACGGTTCTATTTTCAACAGATAAGTCGTTTGGTGTTCTGGGTATAGATATCGGTATACCGCTACCCTGTCGGGAGACAGGTTCATCGTTTTGGTCGTTATTTGTGGAAAACAATCGAATTTGGGACGTATTGTAGGAATCGCATCTAGCATCGTTAGCGAGTTCCAAACAAATGGAGGTAAATTCCAGCATACGTATCGCATTTCAGACCCAGCCAGTGGTATTGCACAACGCTCTTTGCATGGCAATCGTTGCAATTTATGACAGCTTTGGTATTTCTAAACTCTGCAGGCATCGGCTGGCTCCCTATCGTGCGGTCGAGATTTCTAAAATGGGCTTCCATGTTCGCGACAGTTTTGTTACAGATTGGACAACGGTATGATGTCTTGGAGTATTTATCAAAGCATTTTTGGTGAATGCTATGCCCGCATTTCATGAATATGACTGGGTCAGGAGAGGTGAACATGTATTCGCCGCATATAGGACAGTCGCATTGGGTAGCGCGCTCAATGCATCGATGGCTGGTTTCGATCTTAATGGGTAAACATACACTACATGTCTATGGCACCGTCAGCGATTGTCACGATCATTCTCTTTATAGAATTCTAGCTCATTGGATACCTTGCAGTGGAAAAAATCTTTCCCAAGTCCTTCCCCGCGACGACAGATCCCGCAGTCGTGGCAGTGGTATATACTCTTCGAAGCATCGTTGTCCCAAAGTTTGCAAATTCCGCAATAATAACAGGCGGCTTGGGTGCCACACGATTTACACCACTGGTTAGCTTGTTGAGGTGTTTGGCACATCATGCATAGCATATTCTCTGTCTTTCGTCGAATGAGGGTATGATCCTCGATATCATCATGACAGAACCTGCATGTATACCACCTTTTGCATGTAAAGCATTGGAGTTTGACATTTCTCCTGTAATGCTTGCATCCCAATATCTGTTGTGCTTCCTCATCCAGCAAATTTCCTGCTGCCAAGGCAGAAAGAACAAAGTCGTCATGATCGTAGGGTTGGGCTAATGTTGCGGTACCGGGATAATATGTCGGGGTAAGGTCATCCATCGAGAGATAATAAGGATTACCAGAAGTATAAGAGGTGATTGAGGAAGTGGAAGCTGGGGTAAGGGTAAACTGGTCAGACGAGTGTTTACTCCGCGGCGATAACGGAGTCCAAGGCCTATCATGAGGTTGAATAGTAGCTCCACGCTGCAGCATGGGCTGGGGAGATCCAGAAACCCCGAGCGAGGAACGGTAGCTCTCGGTCATGATCGCATGTATTTGCTGAGCCTTTTCGGCGTTGGATGCACCGCCTTCCCGAATCGCGTGGATACGTTGTCTGAGGATGCGCATGCCGTCGTCGGCAGGGAGAGACTGGCCATTGTCAATCCAACGTTCGTTTTCAACGGTCAGGCCTAGATTGCCATCTCCAATGAGGTCATCACCATCGGTCGCGATTCGGCTCTGCAGCAACGTAGTCATGGCGGAGCTTTCGTCCCACGACGCCCCGGCCAGCATTGATCGGGGCTCATCATTCTGCTGCAATGCATGATAAATGCCGCTTCTCGTACTATTTGATAGTATTCCCGATTGTCGCCGGCTTAGGTACCCATCATGGCTTCTAGAAGATTGGAGCGATTCGGAACTGGAGGAAGGCCAAGGCGGTGATAGTTCAAATTGGGGAAACGGCAATCCCGATTCTGTGACCCGCACGGAAACCGACTCCAGGTCGTTTACGTTTTCTGGTGCATCATGGTTGTTATTCTCGTTTCGAGGCTGGATAACTTCGGGGCTGGCGTCCCGCGACTTGGATTCGGCCTGGTTCGAGGGCAAGGATTGCATGTCGAGCGGTCAGCGTGAGAAGTCCCGAAGATATTCATTGATCAATCAGGCAGGAGATCACTGGAAATAGCAATGAGATTATTTCGTCTCATGCTTTTCAGTGTTGAAACAAACATAAGTGTCTGTATGAGGGCTTGACTGTGGGGGTTCATAATGGATTTGGGTGTTTCTCAGTCAGCCCACGCCTGATGTTACTCCACGAAGTGACATCTCGACATAACAAGCATTCATTTATACGAAAATGGTTGACAAACACACATTCAAGTGAAGTAAGTTTGTATAGATATTACTGAAAATGCGATTTTTATTTGAAAGATATGTGGCACACGGATCATCCATACCAAAAGACCAAAAGATAGGACCTGTCAGTGGGGTTTGCAACTATGTATGTACGTTAATGAGCTGAGCTTCCCATCGGGATTCAAAGCCCTCGAACCGTGTGTGGAAACTGATCACTCTTAGCCGATGTAGCAGCTTGAGTCTGATCGATAACCAGGTGCTCCATATGCGACATTGCACCGCGAAATAAAGGTCCCTGTGGTCACTATTTCCACCCGTGGCTCGCCCGCTTTGGATTTTGTTTTATTTTGTTTATTTCTTTTTTGTCAATAGCTTTCTATCAATAATTTGTGACTATATCGGATTCATCAACATCGCAGGCACAGTTCCAAGCTTTCGTTCAGTAGATGTAGGGCGTTATCAAAATGGACGTAAGGAATTGAACGGAATTTGTAATCGGCGTTGGTTCTCTTCTTTGAGAAGCTACCATTAAATCAGTGTCGTGCAACACAAGCTGAGGGGATGAGCACTTACAATGGTGGGTTCCACACCATTGAAGGGCCTCGATAGAAATTGACTCGTGTCAAGTTCTTCAAAATCTTGCGCTCCGTGGTGCCTGGCTGTTTGCCCCGATCGATGAATCTAATGGTATTGATGATCCTTTGAGGGCTGAAGTCCTCTGAGGATCCGGATCGAAAAGCAGATCGAAGGATATTCCGCACGTTGACTCGTTCGGGTTTGGTATACCTCACGGTGCGCAAGGCCGTTCGGTACAAGTGTCTGTAGGAAAGGACAACAGCATGGCGGTAGCTTACTGACCGGAGAGTATCGACGGTAAGTGACATCTGCAGTAACTATCGCTGCTCGGCCTGTTTATGGCTCTCTGTCGCGATTGAGCGGTGGGGACTTCAGAGAACGGCTGGCTGTTGTGGACGAAAACTGGGTACCAAGACCAAAGTGTTGACTTATTCGACTCAGGCCTTCTGCAAGGCTCACCCCGTCTGGCTCATGGCAATTGCGGTGAAGCCTGCAAACGCGACTGCTGGCCTCTAGAGCAATGCTCTTCCGACGAGCCCTGGGGCCAGCTGGAATCCAGAAGGGAAGCGCAAAGGAGAGCGCGAGCTGCTTATGTCATACTCCTAGGTGCGCACAATCCTCAGGCTATTGTAATCAATACATGCCCGGAATAGGGAAATGGACTCTGGTTATACACGATGAAGTGATTTTCTTCAAGATGTACGCTGATGCGCTATGAACGCGGTGTTTTCACGTACTCCTTAAAGTATATCCCGCCAGTTCTTAATCGCGAGGTTGAAGTCGGTTGAACGGACTTTATTCAAGGCATACCGCGGTGCCTCGTACTCTCTACTCATATAATAATTACATATTGGGAAAACATTGCAGGGCGCCTATATACACTGGATGAGTTGTACGTTACAAAGAAAAGAGCAGACATGATAGGCACAGGGATCTTGAAACAAATAAAAGGCTTGGCTAGCTCATGATAGGTATCGTCTTCCCAACCATGGCATATCAGTACTAGTACTAGAGATATCTACCAGAAAACACCATTTGTTATTGTTTTCAGCAGTCCTGAAGAGCTCTTCGATTTGTGATCTGTTGTCAGTAATTACTTGATCATAAGTACTAGGAGATCCTCATACCGTGAAGCAATATTCTTTCGGTAGAACCTGTGTCTGGATTGAATGCTCTCTACGCCTCTATATGCGCAGGATACTGCCTCTTCGAGACTGGGGCCGTAGGTAGAAACCGAGAAAACCCGTCCTTCGGCTGTTGTGAGTTCACCATCGCTGCTTCTGTTATTTCTGGCATAAAATATCTGTATATCAAGAGGCATAACAGGACTTAGCGGCGAAGATTAGTCAATCAAAGAGAAGTAAACAGCTACCTTCAGGGGGCTGAGCAAGGTAATGATGTTTCCTTTAGAAAGAGATTGCGGGTAACCGTCTGCAGGATCAACAATGCTGCATGCATATCCAGGCAAGACTGGTATAGATACTGTGTTTAGTTTCCCCGTTGAACAAGCAAGTAACACAGCTGCAAGATCACATTCCGGCGCGAGAAGCATCATCATTGTTTGCGTTTAAGTATCTCTAAATCTTGCATCGTATTCCAGGACTTTGGGCCCATTTCTCGCCATCATAATACCTGTGAAAAGTATGCCAGTAAATTGCCGCCCTGATGCCATGTTAGCGGCCCGCATGCCATTTTAGAAGGTCATGGCATATACTCTCAAGCCTTAAGCCAATCCAGTATAGGCTGAATGATGTCACAGTCAATTTCTCTTGATTGCTCCTGTCCTACAAAAGATAAGGATGCGTAGACTCCCATGCTCCCAGTATTTTGGTCCTTTGTTGCAATCCAAGATCCATTAGTGATCCTGGCCTTGTGGAAGCAATATGAAGGTTTTTCCATTACTGAAAGTCAATATACTAATTTTATCACCCTCTAGGTATTCTTCAATGACAACAAACTGCCCAGCAATTAGGGAGTCCACAGCTACCGCCATTGCCTCGAAATACATAAACATGTCTGACCAACGGGCTCTGTGTCAATTTCCAGGCTAAGCTGTGATCGCGGCCTCCTTTTCCAACATGGAATATCCTCTATCGCAAATTGGATGAGGAATTTAAGAGATCGAGCATTGCTGTTGATTGATGAGAGGAAAATTGGGTGGCCAGGAGGATGGGATTTTTCAAATCTAGAAATGTGACGGAAGTTTTGCTTCGCGAAATTACATCGTTTTGTGAGTCTACCATACAGAAGAATATAGGGGTCGGACTGACTATTCAATATGTATGGAGGACGGAGTAGCTACTCCGTATACTTCTCGAAATATCTTCTGAATCTAGGCCATAGTTATAATATCTTTAAAAGTAGTTGGATAATAAATGGTCACTTCTCACCTCAACATCGAGACAAAAGTCGCATGAATACTATGTAATATTTACATCATTTACGAAGAACTCCCTACTCCGTAGGTAGTTTGGTGGTTTGGTGTTGGTAGGATCTACGTTTAGAGAAGCTTTACGGTACGGAGTACCCCGTAATTTGCTAGTATTGAAAAAATTCCTAAAATCCGCTATGCCTAGAGTACTAGTAGTGTCACATGACTGGTCAGGTGCAACCTTGGCCCGAAACGCTGCACCCGGAAAGGCCCTTAATAACGAGGCTTCCCACCTGTTCCACCTCGCTTCTTCTTCTGCCCAACGCACCCTGAAAAAACAGCACTGAACACCGCCCTCGTCAACGCAAACTGCGTCCTGAATTAGACAAAAAGAAGTCCATGACTGCTTAGGCACCTAGACTCTTGTCTTGCATAACTCCTTCCTTGTCCCCAGGATCTACTTCTGGGCCTGCTTAGATCACTGCTAAGCTTAATTGAGAGTTCTCAAATAAGATACTTTGTGTGCTTAGGAAATAAGCACACTGATTCTCTTTTTGCGAGCAATAGTCCTTTGATCCTAACTGGTGTTCTTCTTTCCTTTCTTTTTTTTTAAAAAAAAATTAACCACACATGAAACAGGCAGATATGCAGATGATTCTCCCTATTGGAAATAATATTTTCTGTGAGACGATGTACCTTTAAGCCTTGGAGGTGCTATCTTTCCAGTGACGTCGCCCCTCGTGCTAGGTGCGGTTGTCGGCAACGGTCACCAGAATGACTCGTGTACTTCATCGGGCCGGGTCGGCGCAAGCCGCTCGTGCTCGCAGCAAAGTCCCCAGAACCAGTCTTCGCAAGCACAAAATAATTATGGAAACTGTCACTCAGGAAAAGAAGAAGCTTCGGAGTGTTGTACGACTTTCAAATCATGCAATCTCTAAAACAATCCCTTTATCGATTATCGCGTGTATTACTGACTGCCAGTAGATTTCCTTCGAAGCAAAGGCGCCGCCTGGCTACACGTTTATACCGGCCGGGAATCCCAAATTTACTACTGCATGCAAGGAAATATGTCGAAAAGATGGCCTCAAAGTGTATACTGTTTCGGTGAGTGCATATCAGCTTGCTTCTCCATCAATGCAAATCACTAATGCCCCTTGTTCTCGCTAGACCACACCTCATCAAGGCATGCACAATCTTTCCCAACAAGTTCATAGGATCGGCTATCACTTTCCGAGTGTTGTAGTGGCCACGGTATGCATGGACCGAGGTGTCTTCCTGTCATCGACCGGGAAAGTTATGCCCTATCGGCACTTACCTAGTCACGGACATGTTAGAGAGTTGATGCGCGAACGAAGAGCAGATTCGGAGATATCGCAAACGACAATCAATGCCGAGGCCCGCGATGCGATCAAGGACTTATTTCCTAATATTCCAGATAAAGACTTGAATCAGATCATCAAAACCGCGTTCCGAAAGGTATGTCAACTTCGCACTTCAATACTCTGCTAATAAAAACATAGGGTAAACGGAAAGTTGGGACTGCTGTTGAACTCCCCCTAGCACGTCGCGTCCAGTTAGCCGTGGTCGCGCATATACGTCATGTGTACACCGATTATGATCGTCTACTCAGATTAATGTCTTTTCAAGAAGCTCGAGCTGCAGTTGAAGAACCCTGCCTTGCGAAGCTTGTACAATGGAGAGGTGATGATGAGAGCGGTGAAACCGTTCTTGAAGACGTATTTCGCGAAGTTATTGTTATCTCCGATGATGAGGATGATGATGTCAGTGAAGACAATGAGCAGACACAAGCAGAACGGGATTCAAGTGTCGAATTTGTGTGCAGCAATACTGTGGTCAAAGAACTTCAGACTTGGCCATTACAATACGGTAATTCGTGCACTGTGGATAGGAGCAATGTCCCTGAGCCTTCTGAAGATGAAGCGCCTCCAGGTGTTCGCTTTATTCCAGACCCTCCAAGGAAACGGAAAACAGGGGATAAGAAAAAGATTGATCGTAGAGGCTTCAGCAGATACCAAGCCTGGGATCGAGCCAGAGATCGTTATAAGGATATGTTAAATACGCGTCCTGGCCATCAACCGGCCGGACAGTCGTCTGGACATGATTCCTTACCCATGTCCACAGAGGCGCGGCTGCATGAGATGCAACCAACCCGACAGTTGCCCTATACCGGAGAATTACAACCCCGACCTTTACATATACTTCACCCTGTGGACGCACCTGTTTCAGTCGCCCAACGTTCGTACCGAGATGTAGACGACGCCGCGTCACAACTATATGTGAGGCATCTGAGTCCTGCAATGCAGGCCGCCTAGGTCTAGCCGGGAGTTACAAGTACGTTTACGCTAACTGTTACAATTTGCAGATGAGACGACCCGAACCTCCCAAGATAATCCGTTTGTCCGACGGCTCCATATTTGAAAGAGCCGATAAAATTACGAGACCAGGTTATGATATGCGACCGGGTTTCATTCCTCCTTCATCGCTTCATCCCCGCGGGTATATACCATCTGAACAGGTGAAGTATAACCCAACTAGTAGTAATCCTTACGCTCCCATGCAGGAGACGATCCATAGTGATAGTGAATTCCGTGGACGCACCACAGCCATAGGCCATTATCCAGATGAACATGGTCGCGAATATGGGCCTGACCCGGGACTACTTATGTCGCGGAAGCGGGACTCCAATGGCTTGTTAATCAATGAAGCTTACCGTGAACAGCCTCCACTTGAGGATTTGTCTGGTAGAATGAACATCATTGAAATTGATGATGGCAGGTATCACTTCCCCCCCAAAAGGAGCAAGATCGTGGTTCACAACTCCATTGAGAGTTCGCATCCTGAGGGCCACAGAGAAACTTCGGAACTCCTATATCCAGCCGGAGACATGGACACTCATCGAGAGAAAAGCCTTTATGATTCGAAAAGTGCAGCGCAGGGTATTCTGATTAACAAAACACACATTTCTAGCAGCGGATATTCTGATCCACCATTCAATCATAGAGAGCGCCTTGGAGCACAGACGGATCGAAGGTCGACTGGGGAACCACACTTAACGGACATTCCCACTAGAAAGGATCCGCTTACCAGCGATTTCGTTGACCGTGGACATCCCCATAAGGGCCAAGGCCTGAGACATCTTCCTCTTGTTAATCATTCTATTCATGCTGCTACGAACAAACCGTCTGTTGTCAAAGCAGACAGCTCTTTATACGGGGTCAGGGATGACACAGATAATGTCAAACCTAACCAGTTTTCGCAGCTCTCGCGCCCTCGACATGTGCTTCTTGGACCAGAGCCCCGCGAAGGTCGGGAGGTCCAGTTAAAAAGGTCTGGCCACGCCAATTCTGTTGCGATGCAGGTGGATTCACCAAAACGGAGATCCTTTTTATCTAATCAAGATACACGCTCTTCGCGTATCTATTCCCACGACTTTGTTCGTCCTGTAGCTTCGCCGGGAAACAAGGAGCCCTTGAGATACCAACCACATTCCAGACTACATGATGACACAGCAGGTCAAATGGGTCGTCATCCACCAAAATATTTGCAGCAATCTGATCTTTGTGAATATACCTCAGATCGTATGATTGCATATGAAGCCCCCTTAAACCGCTCCCTATCGCCTCCAATTCACCACTTTAGTTCCCGGATTGCCAACCATCGTCCTGCTCATGCACCTCGGCTCTTGCAACAGTTTCCGGTTTCCACCCAGCAAGAAACTTATGATGGTCGTATAGTAGAAGATTCTTACCGTGGTATCCTGCCAGAACAAAAACGGTATGGTTGATATTCTCGGACGTTCTTTTTCAGTGATCGGTCCACTATTGGAATGGACCGCCGCTCTTCGTTTGGTGTGTGGCCGATGCTAACATATGATGTAAAGATATTTCCAACAAGAGCTGGAAACCCGTCCACCAAATTACCGCGAGCCAAGTGTTCGAAGGGAAGCTGTTGAAGACAAGCGTCCTCACACCAGACACGTTGTACTGCGAGACCCTGTGCTTATTCGGGGGAACTGAAAATAGCCATCAGCGGCGCTGATCCCGATACAGCCATGTGATATTTCTTTATTCTTTTTTGTTAATAAGATTTCGCAAAGGCAGACGAGGGCGGCGAAAGGTCATTTTGTATAGGGTCCTTGACCGTCTGGAAGTCTGGTTGAAATGTATTTGCTGTACATACTATTGACAGACGACTTATGTCTGTGAATTTCTGGATACCCCCAATACTACAGCTAGTTACACATTTCGCTTTTATTCTGTAGCCAGGTGGCTAGATATCGGCAGAAACATATTACATACAACGAGATTAGTCAAGCTATAAATATTTCTCCTTTCGTTTTTAGAAGCCAAACTGTATCTACAGACTGGTTGATACGTCATTGCTTTCCCCGCCTGGCAAAGTGGTGGTCACTTCGGTGCGACAGACAACAGCACATCGGCAGTGTTCCAACAGCCCTAAGTTGGAAAAAATAACTATGGAATTTCTACTGCCAGTTCGGAAAATGGCAGGCTCTAGACAGCCATCTCCGTCCCATCTGCCTCGCCTTTAATCACAGTTTTACCAGTCTTCTTGATCGTGTTGAGAACGGTGTCATACTCCAGGGTCGGTTCGGCGACGACAGTTGCCGTTTGCGATTCAAGGTTTACATCGAAGGATTTAACGCCTGGACACACAGCTCTCAGTTAGTACGGAGTATGCCGGCTGAAAATCCTCGTGGTTCAAGTTGCGACGGGTTATTGATAATCGCACCTTCAAGCTTCTTGAGAACTCGCTCGACTGCTCCCGAGCAACCGCCACAGCTCATCGTGACATTAAATTTATATTGGTGTTCTGACATGGTGGCTTGGTGTTATCGGTTCGATAGGGGCTTGCAATGCCTGAATTGCGGGGTAGTCAGCGAACTCATCAATGGAAATTTTCTCTTAATTCTTTGATCAGCAACGGTTTAACTAACTTGACTGAGAATTTAACCACTCTATACTCTATAGTCAACCAGTTAATCACTTCTTAATAGAAGAGGCACCCCGTGAAATTGATGGGAGAAGTAAATAGTTGTTCAAAGTAGTACAAGGAGGCAGTTTTGGGATTCAGCGTTTTGAATGTAACCACGGTTTATTCGTAACTTTTCTGGTTAGTACTTCTCCAAATGTAGTCAGTTTTGACAAAGGGAGAAGCGTGTTTTTATAACAGGTCTGTGGACGGTTGTCGGTGTGAGCAGATGACAGAATGCGCGAAAACAACTCAAATATTATAAATCAGCAAATGCTTTTATTCTACAACTCCACAGTTAGTTAGCTACTTGCCGTCTGAAAACCGGTCCAGCAATAATATCTGCAACAACCTGGAACACCTTCCATGCAAGCTAACAGCGCAATTCGCCTTTTCGCGCGAAAACACCTCAGCCCTGAAGAAGTTCGGTCACCCCTTCGCTGGCTATCGATTCGGGGCTCTTTGATGTAGCCAAAGGATATCGGCGCATAAAAATTCCTCATTTCTCTCGAAAGCGAGAAACATGGATACAGGTCAGAAACCACCGACTGACTTCTGTTGGCGGCCCATGGTAGGCGAAATAAATCCAAGTTAAAGGCCCAATATACGTACCTAGCCAAGGTCCCTCGTGCTCAGAGTTGAACCGGATGGACACATACATAGTTCGACTAGCCTGGAAGTTATTTTCAAAATGATGGGCACAGAAAGGAAGATAGGGCCACGCGGCTTATATACCCCCAGACATGCCTTTGCTTTCCACCAGTGGTCTTGGGCCATGGTTACCCCAAATGGCCCCATCTATGCGTGTTCGAAATCTATCTTGTTCAGATAACTAAGTTTTGGTTCTCCGCACGACCCCAAATGTAGCCGACGGGCCGACAGGTCTCTGCTCCCCAGAGAAGTCTCTAACAAGACTGTTTGAAACAAGAGTGCCGAGGTTGGAAATGGGAACAGATGGGGATAAGGGCAATATCTGCCTTATGAATGGAGGCATAATTAAAGATGGATTCATACGTCACATATACAGTCTTTTCATCTTTATCCCTACACCAAATTGTGCCAATACCTGGGGATCTAGGGACCGAAAATGGCACAAAGCAGCAACCTTAGATGGGCCTGCAAAGGGCAGCGCCCCGTGAGAATTGCAAATTGTTCAGGGGCTCGAGGTAATATTCAGGCGGTGGGATTTTGATTGGTCTTTAACTGATATGTTCGACTTCTAGGCGATCCAGGATATCAGATGTTGCGTCAGGTAACGCAAGGAGATGTTGATTTTGTAACTGGAGATTATCTTGCAGGCATGAGGGTCCTTTCTCTAGTGACAACATTTGCAGACTAACATTACAATAGAGATGAATCTTGCAGAACATGCGGAAGCTGTGATAGCAGGAAAGCATCCAGGTTATGACCCTTATGCACTTGATGGCATCGAAAAATCAATTGATGCAATATGGGAGAAGCAAATCAAGCTCATATTGAATGCCGGAGCCCTTAATCCGAGGGGTTTGGCGAAAGAAGTATCAGATCTGGTGAGAACATAGCTTTGATATATCTCCCCTTTGTTTCTTTCACTGAGCTCTTTGAAGATTCGGTCACGGGGATATGATTTAAAAGTAGCGTATGTTGCCGGCGATAATCTTCTTGAAGAAGTGCGAAAGAGCCTGGAGATAACGGGTCAATTACCCGCCCACCTTGATTCCAACAATGACCAAGTCCAATTACAAGCGCATGCTACAGATTTGTTGGATACACATAAAAAGCCGGTTGTTTCTGCAAATGCATACCTAGGAGCTAGGGCAATTGTGAAAGGATTGGAGCAAGGCGCGGATATCATCATCTGCGGCCGTGTAGCTGATGCCTCGCCTGTGATTGGAGCCGCATGGTTCTGGCACGGTTGGAGTGACACTGACTACGACGCTTTAGCAGGCGGATTGGTAGCAGGCCATCTGATCGAATGTTCCGCATATGTCACGGGGTCCAACTTTTCTGGGTTTACGGAGTTCGATACGGATATGTTCCTTGATCTACCGTTTGGCATTGCTGAAGTGGCCGAAGACGGAACGACTGTGGTCACGAAGCACGAGAATACCAAAGGCCTGGTCAATGCAGATGTGGTCAAATGCCAGTTCTTATATGAATTGCAAGGAGATGTTTATTTGAACAGTACGGAAATGTATCCTTACTCTACGTGGAACGCAGTCTCGAATACTCACTACATACTAAGGCGATGTTAAAGCATATACTCGAGACATTGTGATCGAGAACATCGGTAAAGATCGGTGGGTCATTCTTGAAAACGACTGCAGTCAACCGTTCCTTTTTAATTGACGTGGTCCCTTTCTTGCGAATAGAGTTAAGGTCTCCGGGGTAAAGGGGGCACCGCCGCCTCCAACCACGAAGCTTGCAATTTTTTATCGAGGAGGATACGAGGGCCAACTCCTTGTAAATGCAACAGGATACGGAACTGATAAAAAATGGGAGCTGTTCGAGAAGCAGGTGAGGTTTGGGCTCCAAAAAAGTGGCTATGGAGACAAATTTCAATTCCTGGAATTTCAAATGTGAGTAAAAGAGCACCGAGAACTTGGCTTTTGCATTTCCAAACGGCTGTGTAACTGATTTTTGAGGGAAGTTGTGGTACTCCTGCGGTTAATCCGTCAAGCCAATTGCAGAGTACGACTTATTGCCGCGTTGTCTCACAGGCAGACGAAGCTGATAGCATCATGGCGGTTCCAAAAGCAATGCAGGAATTTACGATGCAACATTTTTCTGGTATGTCAAATTTCCTGTAGCGCAGAAGACTCTAGACTTGAGGACAAGTTGAACGAACGGCGAATCACAGGGTTCCATCTTTCACTGGACATGCGAACCGCAATACCTCGGCCATATTTGGCCTTCTATCCTGCTCTCTACCCCCAACAGGCACTGAATGAGACGGTGACTTTCTTGAACCCCAGCGGAGCGGATGACTTTAGCATTGCAGCAGGACATCCTTCGCGGTACGAGCCACTTGAGGCTCGATGTAATTATGAAACAAATGGCCCATGCGACCTTTGCTCCTTCGGACCTATGAAGACTGTCCGTTTGGGCGATATCGCCCTCGGGCGGTCCGGAGATAAGGGGGCGAATATTAACATCGGGCTGTTTGTTCGATCGGTAGCCTCATGGGACTGGTTTCGTACCTTTATGACGCGTGAAAGAATCCGCGAGCTACTGGGCCAGGACGATCGGGGATATTTTATTGAAAGGGTCGAGTTTCCCAATCTCCTGGCTGTACACTTTGTGATCTATGGGATTCTTGGGCGCGGAGTTAGCAGTTCGACGAAACTTGATTGCCTGGGAAAAGGATTTGCAGATTATCTTCGGGATAAATGGGTTGAGGTCCCCACACAGTTTTTGGAAGCTTCTGCGAATCTCTAGACCGTATCATTAACTAGTTTCTGATCGAGTGATCCTGGCATCTTCATACTCGGCCCTTCTAAGCTGGGGGTCTTCACCGCCTCCTTTGTAGGTTTACCAACTTTTTATATGCCGTACCCGGGCGGGGTCAATTTTTGCCACTCTCCTCATTATCGCCCTTTCACGCTCTGACCTCCGTATTTTCTTTGCTGGTAACTCTCTCTTATGGCTTGAGGCAAGCTGCTCTGTCCTGCAGGCAGGCTGATCAGTGACATCACCTGTCGTCGGGGCCAGCCTAGTTTAGCGACAAAAAATCTCCTAGAAAGTTCTCGCCAACCACATGTTTGATTACATAAGCCAACCGCATGACTGTGTTTTAACTAGGCAGAAGAGACCTTCGATGGACATTCCTGAAGGCTGAAACCAAGCGGCCCGCCTTGGTACCTAGCCCGTACCCCTCGTCGGTCTCGCTCTGCAGCTGCTCGTCGTCCAGAAAATCCCACACCGTCAAACGCCCTTCTGTGGCTCTTCTCTTCCTTTTCTCATCGCTTCTAGATCTTCGAGGATACGCCTCTTTTTCTTCTACCCCTTTACCTGATAAGTGTAGCATAGTTGATAATCTTCCTTTGCTGCTTCATCAGTTATTACACACGGATCCTTGTTTCCCGCTCGCTCATTTTCTGCTTCTATTCTTGGGGTTACGCCGTCTACACCTGAAACGGCGATCGACGGCGAAAGCAACCAGCCGGTTCCTTGACATGCCTCATTATTAATTTCACCTTTTTATCAACTTATTATTGTTTCTGCGCTTTTTCATTTCATTTTCATTTTCATTTTTTCTTTCCTTTTCTCTTCTCTTCACCCGCACGGCTCGCCCCCATCCCGTGGAACGAGAGGGACTCTTTCATGAATCCCCTTAAAAGCCCCCGACCATAATGATTCGGCGCAACTCTGACGTCGAATTCTCCCTTCCAAACTCCGGTGTGGATGGTCGGGTCACGCCGACGAACGTTCCTAACGAAGGGGATGTCGAAATGATTTCAGAGGATACCCCTTCGCCTCTCACGCTCCCTCCGCACCTAATCGCCCGCCTTTACCCAATTCCCAAGGACCGTAGACGACCGTCTGCTTCGTCTTCTCGCCGCAGCTCCATCTCGTCCCTTCACTCTGTCGTGTCCACTCATGGAAGCTCGCATAGCGATCATATGGCGCAACATCTGCGCCGCGCTTCCATAATCGAATCTCGCAAGGCGCGTCTTGCGGATAGGGCGGCGCACGTCGAGAAAGTTAGGTTACGCGCAGCCCTTGCGAAAAATGCGACAAAAAATGCATTGAAGGAGGAGCGGGCCCTGGCAGCGCAGCAGGCGAGGGAAAAACTGTTAGCTGACATCGCTGCCAAATGCGAGGAAGAGGTGCGTAGGGCTAAGAAAAAGGCAGAAGACATAAAAGAGCGAAAGGCTGCAGAACACGCAAGACTCCGGGTCGAGATGGCGGAGAAGTTTGCGGAAGTCGAGCGAAGGAGGCTGCTCTATCAGCAGACTCTCCGTCGGCCTCGAAGGACAAGCTCTGTGGAGGGGAAGCCTCCCAAGCAAATGCCAGTGAAGAAGCTCAGCCAGAATGCGGCTGTGTGTATTATTCAGAAGGCATGGCGCAATCATCGCGCTCGCACCACGATCAATTTGTTTAGGTCCTTGGATCTGTCTTTGGAAAGAATCCGCAATCTCAGCTTTGAGGAGGTTGGGGCGCTGCTTTCCGAGGAGAATGTGCTTAATGTGACCACCAAAGTGCTCCGTTTGTGTGGGCTGCAAGATTTGGGAGAGAGTTCCATGAGCGGGAGAGGTGCTGTGCGAGTCTTCCTGAGCAGTTATCTGATCCTGTCCCATCCTGCACAAGCTTTGAGCAGCAATGGAGAGCAAGAGCAGGATTTAATTACAAAGGCGCAAGATTTGCTTGTCATCTTCGAACAAGTCATTACCCAGCTTTCATCAATTGGAGTTTCCCCAGTGTCCTTATCCAGCGACCTCCAAACGCTGTCGCAATCTTACAATACTTTCTTCTCTGCCTTCCACGCTTGGAAAACCCACGATTCAACGGTGCTGATCGAGATTATGCTGGCCCAGTTTGTTGAACTGGAGCTTATATGGCAAACGGTCAAAGATGATCGCGATGGAGGAGTTGCTGACGATTACCAGAAGGGTATCCGTCACAACCAGATTCTACTATTAGCACGTTTGAAGAGACTTGCTGGCCGAGACAAGGCCATGGAGATGGTTAAACAGGCACTGAAAAAAGCAAAGCGAGAAAAGCGTCGAAACGGAGCCTCCAGCGAGGCTATACCCCGTGCCGTAACTGACCAACCCTCAGCCGCCAATAGACCCCCAGAGGACGTTCACTCCCCTCTTGGTGAAGTGTTTTCAGCTGATACCGAGCGTTGGCCGCAAGACTCCCTTGAAAATCAGTTGAGTCCACAGGATCGATTCGTTAAGCTCCTGACGGCTTTACCAGATAACAGAACTCTTGTTCATGAACTGTTAATCAACCGCGAATATAAGATTGACCAGGGATCATATACAGAAGTCCGAGGACGAGTTATGAAGCATATGTGCGAGTCGATGAGGAGAGACGCCGAAGTTGGCCTTGGCACCAGCTTGACCGTTGCCATGGCCACTGTCATCCAGGACCGACTTCTGCGCTCGTTGAAGCCCGGAAATTCACTCCATAACTTAATAAGCGAGGTGTTAGATCCAATTCACATCGCAAATCAGTGCAAAGCCGGAAAATTCTCCTACGATGCATTTTTCGACTTCATGAGTACCATTCTTCCTAAGCTGTGTGCTCCCTTCCGTGACCCAGACGTGAAAGCCTTCGCGGAGGACACGTCCGGAGATGCAATTGACCGCTTGGCTAGATTGATGGGCATAATCGACCTCCTATCCTTGGACCATACTAATTTCATGTTGCAAATGGCTGCCCCTCAGCTAATTCGAGAGGGGCCTGGGTACGAACAGCGAGCGTTTAGCAAGGAGCTGGAAAACGGAACGATCACGCTGGAGAAGACAAGGCGGTTTTGGCGGTCTAACCGTGACTCAATCATTGAGGAACTTAAAAAACGAGACCCTGGAAGTTCGGAGGTTACACCTCCCGTCGCAAAGATATATGCGCAGGGATTGGTTAATCTTGTCTTGAGCAATGGAAGGCTATGTCATGATCAAGTTCCGGAAACGCTGAGCCTGGATCACTCTCGACTGGAGGCCCTCCGATCTCAATCGTTCAAAATCGCGGCAACAGCCGCTATTCTTCTCAGCGCGAAGAACTTGTTGAAGCGGGATGTTCGGTGCCAATGGAAGGGAGAAGCAGAGCGTATTCTGTCTCTTGATTTTGGTGAAATTAAACCGGAACGTGTTCAATCTATTCTTGACTCGACACATCCCATGCCAGCAGCAACAAGATCACAGCTTTTTGCTACAATCAAACGGGTTTTGATGCCAGCTTCTGCGGCATCTGCGACGGCTTCGTCTTCATCGGCACCGGGCGTTATCGCGACAAGTGGACCAGCTGCATCGTCTTTCATCCAATCTTCAAATGCACCCTCCGAAATAGCCACATGTGCGCGATACTTTACAGATCCGGTTGCAAAGTTGATGTTGTCTCGGCTTCGGGCACACGTCCTGGCGCGCCTCAGCGCCGCCAGTGCGAAGGAGCGGGTTCGCACTACCAGCACTGCTAGTCAAAGTCTTGCAGCAGCGGGTATGCCGGAATTTGTCAACGAGGTGGGCAAGCTTGTGGATAGCTTGAATCGAATCCGGGAAGTAGACTGGATGTGCCATGGTATGACGTATGAGAATATCTGGAGCGAGGATGCTGATGAATAGAGAAGACGAGCTGTGATCCCTCCGGCTTCATGTTTGCTTTGTGCCCATTGTGTGTTTGTTATTCTGACATGTATACTTTGTATTCTGTTTTATCGTTATTGCTACTGCTATACTCTTTGGATGGAATGGGAACCAATGCCTATGCATCCTTGAAAGAATTTTTGGTGTTCCATGTGTCGACTTGCCTTTGCTTGTTTGTCGAGAACATGATCATGCCTCTCATTCTGATGTATTGGTCCTGCTTCATCGACGAGGCCTCCATAGGGACCGTAAAGGACTATAGTCACGTAACCAAGCCATTGACATTCTGAGATCAACTTGCTGCTGGCTCATTTGAACACCTAGCTACACAACCTGATCAGACCTTTCGGCTCTATGGACATGAAATCTACTGTATGCTTTGCAAGATTGCATACGCTTGAAACACGTTTGTAGCCCCATCAATGCTCATCAAGTTGACCCCGAAGCCAGCATGCGAGCGGAAAGAAGAAGCCGAAGGTCGCAAAACAGCAAAATCGCTCCTATATCGGATGGCCAGACTCGAAGTCTCGGCCGGCGGTGAGCGCACGTGAAGAGTGGAATTGCGCAACTCGGAAAAGGCTGAACACTTCCCACGTGGTTGGCATGTTCCGCAACGATGGTTTCCAGTCTTCTTGAATAACTTCTAAGCCGAAGTGGAGCCTTCCGAGCGGCGAGTGTTGGAGACTGAAACTGGTTTGTCCTCGAGATTCATGATTCCGTGATATTCTTCTTATCGTGGATTTTCTTGATGAGTACGGAGCACTCCGTACCTTCTTGCTCGACTAAGCCAATGATGGCTCCCTGGGTACGGGTTTTCGACAAGGTCAGTTGAGCGAAGGATGAAGCTGTCGAATACGATGCCCTAACAGCGGAGCACTCGCACTCCACGCTCAAGGTCGCGGCGATCTGTCTTCTGCTTTTACGATTATCCTTGCCAAAATAAATTTTCTGTGGATGTGGGAAATGGCCCTGGGTGGCTGGCTGGATGTACACAGCGTGCCTGGAAGGTAATTGGTTGTTTGCCTCTTTCAGAGTTCTCTGTGATCTCAATTATATGTACGGAGTACTCCGATATGTAGTTTATTCAGAGGATGGCGTTTGATGTCGTCCTGCTCCAATCAAATGATTTCCAACTCTTGTTTACTCCGTTCACTTCCAAGACATTGCATGGATAAATCGAAAAGGGAACTGCTAAAGTTAGCTTACCCCTATGGAGTGACGAGCACGTAGCGTCCCACAAGCTCAGGTGCCCTGTGCGTTAAGTCGCATTGAAGCGCAATAGTTATTTTTCATCCGAACCCTAGCAAGCCACAAAGGGCACCCTCTTCCAGAAATATATGCCTGTTCGGCACAGCGAGAGCAGCATGCCTGAATGCGGATGCAACTCTGGTACAGGGGACGAAAATAGCCGGATATTACTTCGGATCTTCATTTTTTTCACCGCTAACACCAGGAATTTGTCACCCCCTCAAAGTCAGGTGGGCTGCTCCGTGGTCTGTCGCTAGTTACCGAGCGACAACGTTAGGACACTTCTTTTTTAATTTTCGCTATGTCCAGAGAGACCCGGCAGGGCCGAGCATCCGAGATTTTGCTCGATTCCGCCGTGATGGCGTTGTTCCCATTCTTCGGGTGGGATCCTCGGGCAGGGTGAAACACGCTGTGAGTGGGCGAGCGAAGGGTGCCACCGGAGATCTTCGCCTTAAAAGTCCCTCTCGGGGATAGCGCGATCGAGGGTGGGTGAATCAGTGGAGTCATGTTCAGATTCTCTTTCGCGACTATCGAGCTGACACAATTCTCCGTTCTCAAAGCTCAGCATCCTTCCTCCCTCTCGACACCAGCAGTTGAAGAGGTACCCACAACGTCCTGAAATGACGCTAGCTAGAAAGTTGCTGCTTCAGCTCAGTCCAAGGATGGCGAGGAATGGCTTGGGCGAGCTTCTGCGCACCCCTTGTCCTTTTCCTCCACGCCCTGGCCAATCACGGCAGGTCTCAAGCAAGCCCGAGTACGGAGTATGCAGCGAGCGAAAGGTGGGAATTCTGGCCTGCAGTTGTGTGGGATGCCGAGCCAGGTAGTCTTGACTCGCTATCGCCAGGGTTCTTGGTGGAAGCCTGCCTCCCCTCGCTTCGCTTCAACGAGTCCAAGTCTTTGATGATACCCTCCCCATTAGCCGTTGCTTTAATAGCTGAGAAAGGAGGAGGATGTGCGCAACTTCTATGATTGAACGTCCTCCCATGCTGAACCTGGAGACCCGTTTACCTTAATTTTCTCCTTTATGCTTAAGTTCTTATGCGTCTAGTGTCTCCTAGAGTGTTCCCTGTCCCTTTCCTCCGTGGGGAATGCATTTTTAGCCCTGCCAACTGTCAAATCATCTCCAGAGTATGCCCAAGTTAAAAAAGCCCGAAACAAACAAGCTCAGTCTATAAGTTCCAGTGTCTCCGGATCTTGGCCCCGAGGCTTTTCTTATATCTCCTTTATCCCAACTAAAGTTTGTGCTCGCTGCTCAGGCATTTTTGAAGGCTTTCCCCGGTTCTGGCTGCTCAAGGTCCTTGACAATGAACTACATGCATCTTCACTTTTCCAGGTAGTATCATTGTAATTCATCCCTTGGGATTTTCACAATGAGCCGCGCCCACTTGGCTTTCTGCTGTATTGCGAGAGAGCGCCACCTCTGATAGCCTATGTTGTTTTATCCATCCATACGGCACTCGATAATAATGGCGAGTGAACGGGAATCTGGGATAAATGATTTTGTTCCCGTATCATACAGTGCGGGCTTTATCGTCCTCTCATACCTTGTTAGCCTAGCTGGATGTGCAACCTGTTTAGAATTGCTTCATCGGCGGACGTCTCGATTCGGCCTATATAATTGGTAAGACTCCAACACTTCTCACACTTCTAATCGCAGCCGACTTAACTGACTCGAATAGGTATCTTCTAATTAGTGCGGCAGTGTGTATGGGGGGTATTGGAATCTGGTGTATGCACTTCATCGGAAACCGGGCAACCATCCTTCACCATGGCACCGATCACCAAATCTCTTATAGCTCCGCCTTCACCGCAGTGTCATTCCTCTTACCGATTGTCGTTCTTATGATCGCATTTTACTTCATTGGAATAAGCGAGAACACAGAAATATATTATATCGTTCTCACGGGAATTTTAACCGGTGCTGCTGTTTGTGGTATGCATTATGTCGGCCAACTGGGAATAGCGAATTATTACTGCAGTTACAAGCTTGCCAATATTATCGGTGCGGCAATCATTGCAATTTCTGCAAGTATTACTGCCCTGGGGGTGTTTTTCCGATTGCGTGCTTCTTGGACACACAGCTGGTGGAAGCGACTGCTCTGCGCTTCCATTCTAGCTGTCGCAGTATCGGGGATGCACTGGACGGCATCGGTGGGCACTTCATACCGAGTTAAAAGGATATTCCTGGACAACGGAGGCCAGCTATCGTCCAGCCAGACTGTGATTGTTTGCACTACATTAGTATGTTTGAAACCGGACCAGATTTAATTTTGGTATTGCTGGCTAATTATCTTTTGGCAGTCTTGCGCAGCATGCGCGTTTCTTATATTCCTTGCGATTTTCACCAAGCGACAATACAACCGTTCGGCCCATCGCGTTGGACAGCTAGTGTTGGCATCCGCATTTTTTGATCCCTCAGGTGGAGTTATGGTCTCACCAGAAGGCCTCCTACCGACCCAAAAGATCACGAATCAATATATTGATAGGGTACGAGATACTTAGGGCTTTTTATCCCTACTTTCCTTCGTGGATAACTAACAAGCTATATAAATAGACTTTTGCCGACGAGGAATTCGGTAGAAACCACCCGGCATTTATTTGGGCATTCCGTGCGAGTCACAACTGGTCCATCTTTAGGAAACTCATTCCTGGAATGAAGTATCATCTTCTCTCTGACACAGCCACGAAGCGGTTTTATCCCGGCAATAGTACAGAGGCGTATGGTGGTGTTGATGTGGATATGAATTTCGAATCCGTTTTCAAAGAACTTTTCTGCGTGGCAGCTCAAGAGCTTGCGGACAAGCTCCACCAGCCTCTCGATAAGATGGGGGTGTTGTATGATGATGTGATGATCACAGGGACTCAGCCCGGGAAATTGGAGCTTGATTCAGAAACCGATCCTGAGTCGCTATGCCCGCCTCAGAGGGTTCTAGGGAAGGGCCAATTTTTGTTCGCTGTGCGTCATCTGAATAGAGAAGAAGCTGTACAACTTTCTGCGAGTGGATGGCGGTTCGCTGCTGGGCCACAGATAGCTCCAATGATAGCACGGGCTATGCAAATACCTCCCGATGAGATGCTGATAAACTTGGAGAATCTACGAAGCTACGGTCCCACGCAGGAGATGATGGAACCCGGTGTTTATTTGATCTGTTTCTCTCTTTATCCTTCGGTCAGAAAAGGATTTGATGTCCTTGTGCGCAAAGATGCACCGAATCTTCTTCCTCATGTGCGGTTACCGATTACATCCATCTCACAATGGCAGCTTGATATTTTATCTCGAATGGATGAATGGCCATTGAATCTTTGCCTAAAGTGGCTCAAACAACATGGCGACAGGCCTACTAAGCCTGAAATGCAATTGTTTTGCCAGCAGATGTACAATGCAACATCTGACCTTGCGGACTTAACTGAGAGCTCTGCTTTTGGGATGGCTAAATTTTCTGCTCGAAAGATCATGATTCCCTGCCGCTTACCCGGGCAGCCTGGAGGGTCAGGCAAATGCACTGCTTTTTCGTTCCGTTTCATTACTGGTTTACAGTCCAGCATTCCCCCTCATCCCCTTTGTCTTACCCCTCTCCGTCTCTTCACTGCCCAACAGCAGGTGTACCCGGGCATTGTGGACAACGCCAATTTCCAACAATCCGTTCTCGAAGAATTCGGCCATTGTGCGGCACACCCAACCCCCAAAAAAGGATCCCAAGCGTCGTCTTTGGTCGGTTCATCCACCCAAAATTCCCACGGCATACGGCCAAGCCGAAAGAGCGACCTTTCTAAAACCACCATTTCCGAAATCGACGATGGTCAATCGAACAAGAAACCTCCTTGGGGAGGTATCATGGTCAGCAATCAAGTAACCGTGGATGTCACAGAACGTCCAGCATCTTTCTGTAGCACTGGTGATTTTGAGATGCAGGACCTCGGTGTCATGGCTGAAGCCAGCTACGCTGGCGCGTACGAGACGTTCGTGGACGAACTCTGCGCCATATGTCGAGAGACAGCCGACGTTCAGTGGGATCTCTAATGGATGATAATGTGAATAGTATTAATACAGCTTTAATGGGAACGGTTTTTTTCGATGTTCGATGATCTTCTTGTTGCTTGGTGATATCGCTGCTGGCTCTTGTTTCCTTTTTTTTTTTTTTTTTTTTTTTTTTTGGTTTTGGGTTTTCCCTCAGGATCTTCTCTGTCTTGCTTGTTGTGGCTCAATTCCAAAAGTTATTATAGCTAACTAGGACCATGTTAGCAACCAGGCGCATACGGGATAAATATTGTATCATAGAAACCAAGATTCGGATACACATGTGAATATTCCAGCTACGTTTTAATCCTCTATAATAGCGAACTCTATCTGGTGCTATGAGAATCAATTGCTTGCTTCGCCCTTATCAGCTTGGTACCAATTCAAGCTTCGAGAAAATATCCCACGACCATCATAATCGTCAATCTCTCATCGAAGTAGTAGATAATCACAAACAGAGCGGCTGATATGCTTGAACATGATCAATTAACTAGTTAGTCTTCCAGGGTGGCTCCACTCTTGCAGTCACTCAAGACGCTTTCTCATTTATCATCACTGCCTCCATCCCGAGGACGAAAACCACAAGAGAGAGTCGCAGCCAGTCCGCCACGGAATTTCGCACAATTCTCACTTGTCCCGCTCTCCTTTCCAGCTACCATGCCGTCGTCGACACCCGAGGGATCTCTCAAGCACCTCTCTGACCTTACCCCGCCTTCTCAGGACCGCACCTGGCTCACCTCCCCGCACCCGCGCCTCCCCATAGCTGCAACATGCTGCGCTGATAAATCAGTTCGAGTCTACTCCCTCGTGAACTTTACCCTCTTATCTACCATATCTGGCGGCCACAAACGCTCGGTGCGGTCGTGCGCTTGGAAACCCCACGTAAAAGGCGAAAGCGTGCTCGCCACAGCTAGCTTCGATGCTACAGTTGGAGTCTGGAGACGATGGGATGGATTTGGGAGAGCAGAACGGGACATGCTAGGACTTGCAGGTGGATTAGCGGAGGCGGACCGCCAGGAGGGGGATGATACGGATGGTGATGAAGAGGATGAAGATGAGGAGTGGGGTTTCGCCGTGCTGTTGGACGGGCATGATAGCGAGGTGAAATCAGTGTCTTGGTCTTCTGGCGGGTCACTACTAGCAACGTGCTCGCGTGATAAGTCGATTTGGATATGGGAAGATCTAGAGGATGGGGATAATAATTTTGAAACGGTGGCCGTGTTGCAGGAGCATTCAGGTGACGTGAAGTGGGTGGCATGGCATCCGGAGGAGGAATGTCTCGCTTCGGGGAGCTATGATGATACCATTCGGCTCTGGAGAGAGGATGTGGACGATTGGGGACAGGTAGCTTGTCTAAGAGGTCACGAAGGCACTGTTTGGTGTGTCGAATGGGAGGCTCCTACGTCAATCGCTGGTGACAACGGCGATGGCGCTCCTACTACTATGCCAATTGATCCCGAAAACGGGAAACTGGCACCATGCGAACGAAAGAAATGGATAGAAGAGCGTTCTATGTCTGGTCCACGGCTTGTTTCCTGCTCAGATGACAAGACCATCCGAATATGGCGAAAACAACCCCAAGAAAAGCCACCTCCGGTTCAGTATTCATCAATACCGAGTACAATTCGTCCTGCTACTATTGATGAAACCTGGATCGAAGAATGCCAGTTACCTGCCATGCATGACCTGTCTATATACTCCGTAGCATGGAGCAAGAAGACAGGTCTAATCGCTTCCACGGGCGCAGATGGACGGATTGTCATCTATCAAGAACGTTTCACATCCAAACCTCCGGCGCACACCACATCAGAACAAGATAAACCAGATTCAGCACGAGAGACCCAGAAAGCCAACGGAGGGAGAACCGCACCATCTACAGCATGGGAAGTTGTAGCATGTGTGGATGCCGCTCACGAGATTTATGAGGTCAATCATGTCTGCTGGGCGAAACGAGCGGATCAGCGCAAGTCTCAGCAACAAAATTTAGACAATTCGGAAATGGACCATGCTAATGAAGAAGAGGTCCTTTTAAGTACTGGAGATGATGGTGTTGTCAGAGCCTGGACGTTAGAGCGATAATTCCCCTCGACGCCGTGCTTCGATTTTGAGGAATCTCTGTTCCATTACTGCGTACATTTAAGCCCGGAAATGAGAAAGCTTTCGGACATTGCTCTTATCACCTTTGATTCTCCCCAGCTTCGGGGCAATATAAACGACTGAATGTTCAAAAGATATCTAATGTGGTCTCGAAAAATGTATAACAAATCATTCACATGACAATCAATGTCTAGCCAGCGCGCCAGACTCCTTCCAACACGTATATGCAGATTAATCAGATTTTGGAACGGTGAAAGAGGAGAACAGTAGAAAACACAGAGCTTATGAGCTGGATGATGAAGGCATATTGCTAGGATGGTACGATTCCTTCTGTGCACCGAACTTTTCATCCTCATCCTCGCTATCTCCTCCTACACTGCCGTGACCATTCGCACCCCGGGACCTATCGTCCGTACCGCGTAAAGTGTCCAATTCGGAAGCGTCAAAATCTGCAGCGGCCTCTATATCATCATGGGACGAGCGTTTATTTCGGAATCCGGAAAAAGATCCGGAGCTTAGGCCGTTGAGATTTGGGTAAATACCACGGTATCCACTCCCTTGTCGCTGGCGACGAGAGCGCCAAATAAAGAATCCCCAGACAGCTGCAGCAATGGCAACAACAACAAGGGCAACTTCTCCCGATTTATAGTAAGCTGCCCAAGTTGCAGCTTTGAGTTTCTCCTTCTCGCGCTGCTCGGCAGTAGTGCTGTTGGGGTGATTACCAACAGAAGTGAGAGCTCCTTTTTCACCATCGATGCGAGAATCCGCAGGATTTCCTCCAATGCTAGTGATATCAACACCCAAAAATCTGTCAAGCATGTCACGCGACCGTCTCCCGAAGTCAAATGGTACCATATGGCTGGCGTTGTAAAATAATACATATGTTAGATTCCGCGCTTCTTGATAATAGCCTGCGGCCTCTCCTTCAAAAGTCCAGTCGTGTCGTGGTGCCCAGACTCCGGGCGAAAGCTCGAAGCCCGTTCCGCCAGACCATTGCATGTTGTGGATAAACTGTTCAGTGCCAATATGATTGCAGATAAAATCTTTGGCCCCGCTGAACAAGGTAATAGGGATTCCAGACTCGAGAATTTCTGGCAACAATTGCACTGACGGCTTGGAATTGCGCGCATTAAAGTTGCTCGACACTGCTCCTGTGCATTCCCGCCAGCCAGTTCTTTTGTCATCGTTGACATGTAAAGCACTGATAACATCGTCCCGACGGAGGTATGGGGTTATATGCTTTAAATCTGGCGGCCAGTTCATCCCACATGAAGGGAATTCGTCCCTAAGTCTGATGTCATACATGTTTATACATTTGCCATTTTCTCTTGTCACCTCAAGAACTGCAGAGAGAACCTTTTCACAAGCGCCAGCGTGAATCCGGTCCTTACCACCGCTATCGAGCTCGGATATACATTCCGAATGTGCCCTTTCAACCCGTTTAGCAGCATCGGTGCCGCTTTGTATAAGGTTCTCCTTGTAGGCATAGGTTAGATAGGCCTGATATTGTTCCACAGGGGAGATCCACCCGTTGCCAATAAGCAGGCCTTTGAGGTTCCAGAGTCGACTTTGTGCCTGGGTTGTGGTATTTTTGTTACGATCTAAAATCGCTTTAGCAATATAAGGTATATACTGGCCGGCATAGGATTCGCCGGCGAAATATAGCTGCGACCAAAGGTTAGCACGGATTAACAGAGGCCAAGGTTGTGGAACAGGTAGGGTAACTTACATCATCATGCTCATACTCAGGGAACAACTCAAACCACTTTTCCAGGAACGTGACGAAATGGCTTGCCATCTCGTCCAGTTCGTGGATATAGCTATTGGTATTGACATAACTGAATCCTGTGCCAACAGGCTGGTCCACGAACAAGATATTCGCAAATTCGTCCCAAGATCCTTCATTATATATCAAGGTGTGATCGTCCTTTAATCGATACGGTCCAATCTCCATCAAAGCGCCATCCATAGAGCTGCACCCGGGCCCTCCATTTAGCCAAATAACAGTTCGTTGACGATTAGCGATATGACGATTCTGAAAATGCCAGAAGAAAAGGTTCCCATTGTTTTTGTGGTCAACTTCGACATGTCTATCAAGAAAATAACGTTAGCACAAATAGCCCCAGAGGCGAAGATAATCAATAAAAAATTGACTGGGGGGCGGAATTCCCGCCACGGCTCGCCTCACCCAGCATGCATCTTCAGTAGGGGACCGTCCGGCTGTCCTGGGAGCGAACGAACGTAGTAATTCGAAGCACACTTCTTTTCAGCAACAACCGAGCTTCCCAATACCCCCCATACTAAAAGCCATCTCGCCAATGTATGTAGCAGGAACGCCGGCGTTCGAGTAAAGGTGGATGTCGAGCGCATGGTGGGCAGCGATGACCGCTCCGGCAGAACAAGTCCCCACGCCTGAATGGAACTCTTCACTCAACTAACTATTGCAAACGATACTTAGAAATCATGTATGAAATGGTGGTCTTTGCCTCTGGAAAAAGACGCCTGTTCCGTGAGGATTTGGATGTTCTTTTGGTTGAAACAATGGGCCTATCGATGCGGGTTGCGGAATTGCCGCAGGAACATGGAGCTTCCCTTGACGAAGAAACCGAAGAAAGCGAGAGAAAATAGAGAGGTTAAGAGCCCAAGAGAGACAAATAGCATTGCATACCTGTCAAAATGGCGAGAGGATCCAGGCTGTGTTGCAAGTTCAAGGGGCGGGCGGTTATGAGGTGGTATCGCCGTTCTTGTTAATGTTGGCGAGATGGCCACATCTCCCAGAACACCCGAGCTAGTGTGCAACCCGACCCACCGCTGACAACGCCAATGTAAATCCTCGGTATCCAGTCCCGGATATGCAGCCGCATCTACGTATCCTGTATACCAAGTGGAGCAACACACTATTTTAAGCTTGCGCTAGCTGTTACCGAGCAACTGTTTTAGTGCGGTGATGATAACGTTCTATCTGGACTGCAGCGGGCGGAAGTACGGAGCGGTCAAAACCGGAAATTCTAGTAGAAGAAGTTGAGAATGAACTGCGAAAGATACAAGGATGATTTCCTTTTACCGGCATCGCGAATCAAAGTGACTTCTAACTTTTAATCTCTTGGGAAGCCCGTGAATTGCATTAATTCAACATGGAGTATGTAACGAGTCCCAAACAGGGATCTGCTGATCCGCTGATCCTTTCTGCGCAATGGGCCTTTCTCCAGAGTATGCCCCGTCAGATTCCACGGAATATTTAGCAAGTTCGTCATAGCAAATCCTCTAGCCCTTTATCCGCATCCTTTTTAATGAGCTCAATCATCCCCTGCAGGAGACTCGTCAGCGCAAACTCGGCAAAGGGGTCCAGCTCTAGGCATCAGCCGGCTCACCTCGGGCATCACGGGCTCCCCTTCTCGACCTTTCACATATCTAAATGGCATTTCCGTAGTTTCGTGCTTGTCGAGTCGTAACTCCGGATAATCTACCCATTCAATCTGGTCCAGAGGAGCTGTATCCATGCCCTGTAAGCATGAACGGAATGCGAATGGAGCTGGGAAGTTACCTTTGTCCTCGACGACCATGCGAGTTACCCTGACTGCAGTATCGGTTGTCATCTGCTTAGGCCCTAGTCTTCTACCCGCATAACCCTTCTTGCGCAATTCTGATGTCCTATCTATAGACAAAAACCGCGTTAATGTGCTTGCCATCAGGCATTGGGTATGCTTAAAGAGAAAGCTAGCAGACAACCGTACCTCGCGGAGGGTCATCTCCTAAAGCAAGCAGGTACCCAATTAGTAGCTGATCCAAAAATGCTTCTGGCATTGTACGAAAACAAAGTCATTTGTGCCAGCGTCTTTATCGGGTCATACCAAGGATGCCCCCATAAAGAAAGATATCGAACGCATCTCCATCCGCCGGGGATAATTCTGATGTAGCGGCTGGATCTAGTAAGCAGACCCTGGGCTTCTGACTGGAAAAAATCTCTTCGACACCTCGGTGCTCCACATGTAAGCTGTCCAAAGCAGCCAGTTCAGGCGGCAATTGCAGCGACTCTGGAACGGAGGTGAGCATGAATTTAGCGCCTGCTGCGCAGGATTCCTTTGCGATAGATCCGTACTCGAGAGCAGACCATGGGCCTAACTCCGGATCCAGATGCTCAACAACATAGGTTTTGGTGGTCGTTCGTGGTATCTCGCCCATTGTATTTTATCCCGTTGATATCAAACTCCGTCTTGCGCTTTTTCTGACGAGGTGAGTACCAATTTCAGGTTCGCCAGTGCCCGAAACCTAGAGTGCTTCAGCTACCTCAAATCTTGTGCAGAGTCCTCAATCGAGAGATTTGTCGATAGGTGCACCTCCTGTTTGTCTGTAACTCGGTCTTTGCGGGCTGGCCGCTGCTAATCGTCATCAGCAGAAAATTCTAGAACTCGAGAAAATGTAGCGCGCGGCAAACAAACCACTTTTTCGCTTTTCTATACTATACAAAAATTCTGGAAAAATTCTTGTAGTTAACTAACTACCCATGGGCCCGAGATCCAGAGATGGGGTACGAAAATCGATGCAGTGGGCCTGCATCCAGCACAGAAAATTTCCCAATGCGCCGCAGTTGGGCCGTGCATACAATGAAAACAAGTAAAACTACATTCATTATGCATTTACACATTGGTTGTTCGCCTGAACAGGCAGCTAGGTATTTACTACTGAATCCGATGTTTACAAGCAAATGGTCGAGTTGCAAGTGTCTACTCTTGCGCTGTATCACCATAGAATTTTACAATTCCTCCACATGTCACACGAATTAGACTTGGAAGGATAGGCTATAATATTGAGAGCACAACGTAATTCCTTCGGGGAGCTAAGACATTGAAAACACCGGCTATAATGGTCTAGTCATATCAAGCCTACGTCACTTTCATGCGGAACCAGGATGCTCCTAACGAATGTGTCCGGAGCCTGGCCCATTCCATTCCTCGAACGCTTTGATATGCATGCGGGGGAACCAGTGGCCCGCTTGACACTGAGTTTGTCCATTTGAATAATATGTGACAGAAAATCCCATATCCTGGAACTACCCTGCTCGGAAGACTTCAATCCGAATTCCCATCTTAAACCCGCTATGTTGGCTAGTAGTTAAGTACTGGAACTACCGCATGAACTCACAGCAAAAGGTTGCTGACGGTCGTTGAGGAACTCTGTATCCCAGAATTTCTCGAGGCAGGTGTCTAACATAATGGGGTTATGTTGGTGACACGCTGCAGCATCCAAGGTTATACATGTAGGTGAGATTGGATGCAAGCAGATGGCAACTGCGGGCGTCCTTGGAGCGGAACGCATTACCATGGAAAAAGATATGTTGGAACGTACGTTTACTCACGACATGCCGACGGAGGTGGCTATTCATAATGGATGTTCGCCGTTTGCAGCGGAAATATCACATACTTTGACGTCCCAAGAAATCGATAGAGAGTGCGATAAAGGGTAGAAGGTATCAACTATTGCTGAAAATGCCAATCCTAATCCGTAGTTGACTCCTAAGCCAGATCATCTCATTACCAGAGCAATTTAACTTCTTGTTGTGAAGCATAATCCGTTGAAGTCGATACGGCTGCCAGCAATGCTCGTACATATTGACTGGATCCGGTCAATACAGATTCAATGATGATGATGGTCCTCTCTCCAGCTGAGAACGGGCAGCTGAGGGAAACAGTCGCCAGAGATCACAATTCATCCTCAGCAGCGATCGCGCAAACAACCTCGCTAGTTTTCAGACCCTCTTCGATTAAGGTCGAGATGTGCAAGCTATCGGCCAACAAGTGTCCCTCCTGGGTTCTTCTTATCAAGGTGTTGCCGCTTCGACGCCCAGACTCTGACGCTGCCGACATTGGCGCGATAGCTGAGGGGAAAAAAAAAGAAAAAAAAAAGAGAGGCGGGAAAAGAAAATGCAAGGGGAAGGACAATGTCACCCGCTCCCTTTGCAAAACGGTGAGGGAGAGTTCTGGGGGTGGGCAGACCACAGGCGTAGTAAGGGCCAGTGTGCATCCTGGAGCAAGCTTGATGGCCGGATAACTACAAGATGAGATAAGTACGCTGGGCTTTTGAAGCGGGACATGACGCTGTTAGAAAGGCCGGAGCAAGAGAAGACGTGGAGGACAGTTTGTCTTCTGTGGATGATTAACTAACTGGTTTATGAGAAGAATGGCTTGAGATCTGAGTTTGGTGTGGGAGAGGTGATTCATGTTGTTTGCGGAAACACAATGACTTCTGGAGAGCCTTTGAAGCCAAAATGAAGAATTTCACGTCCCTATTCCTAGCCCATAAGAATGGCGATATTATCACAGAGCCTGGCAAGATTGAAGTGTTGATCCTTGTCAAGCAAGTTGAACCGTGAAACGGAAGAAACGGCTTTCCACGACCCCTCTTCACCCACAAGAGAGTTTGGCTAGTTCGGTCGTGAGCTCCCAGCTGATCACCTTATCGATAACCACCCAACCCAGTTGAATAACATCGAGTTCAAGTCGTCAGCACTCGCTCGCCAACCCTTCTCTCGCCCCCATTCTGCTCTTCAACGTGCCTCTCTACCAGCTCTTGTTTCCCTTATGCAGTAGCAATTATTTACTTTTTCATCCATTGGGATTGCTGCCAAACCCACCTATGCTATCCTGGCCCGCCTGAAACCTTACCTCCTCCTCGTTAACATCATCATCACTGCACTGGACGTCTCTGCTCACGACCACAGCTGGCTGCTCAAAGTTGACCGAATTTTGCCTTCACGGTGCCATACGCCCAAACCACAGCCATGAACCCTCATCAGCAGAATAAGATCGACATCAATGTAATTTCCACCCCCATCCTTTCTACCTAGACTCAAGTTCACACATTCCCCGCTAACCCAATCCTTTGTCTGCTCCTAGTCTCTGAGCCCCGATGAACAGCGTCTTTTGCGGCTGTATGGGAAAATTCCAAACAAGAAAGACCTGCTCCAAAATAAGCTGAAGGTTGATCCGTCCATTTGTTTCAATCCGGGCCTCTCCTTGGAAGCCCCTCATCATGTCTATTCTGATGCTAATAGCCCCCATATAGGAACGAAAATATTTTGACTCGGGCGACTATGCTCTTAGCAAAGCCGGCAAAGCATCCGACGTTGGAGTTACCAGCATCGGTTCCCGTCATCCTGTCCCGGAAAATATCCCTCACCTGACTGCAACCTCACCTCCCCAAGCAAGCCCCATTCCCGGACATTTCAATGGTCATTCCCCAACCCAGACTGGCGGAGCCCATAACGGGTTACCCGTCGGGATGAGCCGTAGTCCGATCCGAGAAAGTAACTTCCCACACCGAAAGTCGAGTCTGGGAGATAGCGGGCTCGGGGAGGAGGGCCAGAAAGAGAGGTCCAAAGACGCTGGTGAGGGTCTTACTAGTGCTGAAGCGCGCAATCGTGACACCAAAGAAGGGAGCATAAGTCCTCCACGAGTCACAGGCGGTTTGCCAATTCGGAGATAGTCTTGAAGTTCCCCCGGCGTAAAGTGAAAGGGGAGAGAATTTGGCTACAATCTTGAAGTTGGTGGTATGATTTGCTTATTGAGATGGCAACCGTTAAACAGTTCTTTGCACTGGGTGATTCATATGGAGTACCGAATGGGTATGGATATATCGTGGGTGTCTGCTTGTGGAATGCTGAGTGGTCAGTGAGCTTTCCAGGGCTGTGAGCCTGGAATCTCGTTGTGGAGCTCGTTTGCCTTTTATCCTTACTGTTACTTCTCCCTTCCTTATCCCATATCTAAAAGACCCTCGCATGTCCTCAACAAGCTGTCCAACTAGTCTGGACTTTACGTTGCTTCCCAGCTCCTTTGACCACAACTTCTCTTCTTCTCCTTCACTCTCTAAAACCAGCCTACTCATGCCTCCCCAATACTTCCCTCTCCCCTTCTCCTTGAGCAGCCCGTGACATCCCTTCTGTCTCTCTGCGTATCTGTTTTTGGGATTAATGGGGCTTTATCTGTCACCCTGTGTTTCCTCTCATGACCAAGTAACTCTGCATTTGTTATGAAAGCATTCTGCCTCTATATCCAAATCAACACCACTACTTTTCCACGCCTCTAGTTATTTCCTCTTGACCTTTTTCTTTACCTGCGGTGTCCCTTTTCCTATGCTTTTTCGCCTGTTTTTCCCCCTTTTTCTAAAATTTTCTGACATGAAATGTGTTTTCCTTGTGTTGTCATGCTTCAGGCTGAGAAGAAGCGTTTATCATTTGCAACTGCTCTGCTGATTTACTAAATCAAGTCCAAGTATATTTATTTTCTAAATGACGGCGATGATATTCAATTCAATGCTTTCAAATTATCAATTTCCTTAACCCGAGTGATATATTGTACACACATAACTTTGCAATTTCCCCCCCTTTGCTCAGCATGCATCGTTATAATCAAAACAGATAAAGAAACAAGTTAGAAGAAAATGCTGAGGGAGCGCAAGGCAGGGACTTTCTGTTGGATTTGCGGTGGTTTGTTAGTAGCTTTGCATTGTGTGAATCTGGCAGTGATGATAGGTGACTAAAGGAACAGGGATAAAATACAGTGGATGAAGGGCAAGGGCGATGGGATTCTTCATTTGGGATGTTTATCTCTTGATACAGCAACGCCTGGATATCCTACTCTTCTCTCGTCTTCGCCCTAAGACTTGGTGATCATACCACCAGGATTCGGTCGAGCCCGGCCGCACGGCAGGTCGCAGTTAGGGTTCTCGGGTACGTTTAAGAGGGACTTGGACGCTTAGCAAGAATGGGCAGGAGTTAGACGACGTAATGTCCTCCAAATCCGGCCCAAAAAATGGATCAGGTCCGAAGATCGACCGCGGAACGAAGGACTCTTAAGCGAATGTGTTCGCAAGCGTAATTTCCGATAATCAAGATATCATAAGAGCGTTCGGAAGCGTCCGAGTCTAGGGGGATATAACTCGGATTGCGAGAATAAAATGCATCGCAATTTACACGCTGCGAACCGGTAAGCAGCTTCTTGGAGACTGACTAAACAGCCACGCTGGACATATGGCCTCCGACTTCATCATCTCATGTCAGGTATCCAACTGTGTCGAAATAATCCAAATAAAACGCTTGCTTGAGTGGATGGCAAAATATTGCTTCCGATGGTAGTCATGTGTCGATATTCTTTCAGAGCTCCAGTTCACGTTTCAGTCTGTCTTCCAATGTCCAGTCAAGCCACCATCAATATCGTCCTGCTTGCCCAACCACAACTCGACCGCGTAAAGCCCCATCGTGCATCCCAGGTTGACCCATCTCCAAAAGTTCCCGCCCATGGCTCCAGCACTCTTCCACCATTCCCCATTTGCTCCCGTGGATTGGGCAGCAAAATGTTGCATCAGCAAGCTGGTGTAAACGGCAATGAGAATGGATGGTGAAAACCAGCTCAAGAAACCCAAAAATTGACCAGCACCGTCGGAATCATCAAGAGACGCTTCCTGGGATAGAGCTCTTGCTCCAGATTCCCGAACTGCAGGGATAATCCTTGTCGATGCATAGAGCACAAACAAACGATACAGCAAAGATATCAGGACGGAAGGGCTGATGGCACTGAAAGCGGCGCTCACGATATTAAAAGCGGTGTGGATGATGGACGGCAAGGCAGACAGCGTATGCATAAGCGTTGTGTACGAGGCCATGATGATGGGTGGAAGCGGAGGAAAGTCGGGTTGCGAGGACACGGATGGTGTCTCTAAGGGCGTCGAGGGTTGATAGTCGGTGAATATCTGATAGATGCAGAGAACGATGTAGGCAAACAATAGGGAGCTCTCCACCGGATTTCCTCGACCGCTCCCAATGCCCCATGCGCAAAGGAACACAGCACATGTGATTGCAACCCCGATTAAAGCGGAATCAACGCTGCTGATCTCTGGAAACCGTAGCACACGCCATAGAAAGTAAATCGAGCTCGAGATAACCGAGGCGGACATAACAAGGAGGCTGATCTAAGCAGGAGTTAGGTCGGGGGATCTTTGGGGGCGTAGACACGAAACATAGCTTACCATCCAGCTGTCACTTCTTCCACCTCTATTAACTAGCCATCTTGTGATTTGACCGGCAGCCTGAATGACTAGCAGACTGCAAAACCCCTCAGCCAACTGGAAGACTGGAGTAGACCATTGGAGAAGCTTGTCCCAGCTCCCTAGCGACACTGTTTCGATCAAGCCGTTGGCACCGAATATCCATTCATGGATTGAAGTATCTTGTGCTCTCTTCCCATTGAACGTCCTCTCTACCCAGCCGCTGGAGTTATCGGAGTCGACAGAAAATTTATTTAGGGACCAGATCAGGAGTATAGGTGCAACTATCCATTGTGTTGACCTGGCGAGGATGATCAAGGCATAACGAACTCGCGAGTTATCCGGGGTGGTGAGCTTGAGCACGGAGAGTAAAAAGTAGAACGTTGCCAGAGACAGGGAATATGCCAGGCCGCAGGTTCTCCCACCGACATCGAACGCGAGGGGAATGGACAGAACGATGGCGGTGAGGAAGAAAGCGGACGAAATGAGACGTACGATCCACATCGATAGTGGAAGCTAGCTGTACGCACGTTGAAGCTATTCGAGTGGAATCGGGAAGCAAAGACTGCCTGACTGTGCGGTGCGAACAATCTCGGAAGAGGCCCTTTTAGACGATCTGCAGTCTGGTGCTGTCTTTTGGGTGTTCCCTCGTGCCTGTCTCCAAGATAACGACTTGGCTGTAGGCTTTCCTGTGTCGAGATGTCCCGGTCAGACGCAGCCGAACCGATGCTCGAAGGTAGAAAAATTTCAAGCGTTGTTTTGGTAGAGGGACGCCGGCTAGCTTCGTGGGAACTGGGGAATAGCCAAAAGCAGCAAGCGATTTGGTGACGGCGACGATGACGATGACGATGATGATGCCAGAGTGTCCAGAGGCTAAATTTTAATATATTTAATCCACAACAATTACATGTAACTCTGATGATAGTGATGATAGAAAGAGAATTCAGGAGGAGACGAGGAGGAAGAAGAAAAAGAAAGAAATAAGCCAGAGCGTCTTCTCCGTTCTTTTATTTATCACAATTAAATTTGATTTTCCTTTTGGCTTAATTTTTGCTTCCCCCTAAAATCGCGGCCAACACATGCTCGTAGTGTAGGGTCGCGTGCAAGCGAGAAGCAGAGCTAGAATGAGCTTTTTAAGCAATTACTCCCGTACTCTAACATTAAATACATATCAAGATGTGTAATGCCTGCTAGGAAACACTGTGCTTCCCCCGGGGTAACCTCTCGCCGGCTATTAAGACTTGGTTCATCAATCCTAGCTGTGCTAAGATGCATTCTCACGTCATAGGCGAATGGTTAACTAGTTGAAACAACTAGCTAGCTAACTCGTTCACCCACTCAACCACCCGGCGCGCCATTTGCTTGTCGCTGCAAGTTCTTACGATCCCCTCGGAAACCACCTTCTTTCCGCAGCGATTTATGAGTCGCGTTTATTCTCGACTGCTCAGGATGGCACAGGAATCAGCTTCGAAGAAACTCAAGGCAGCTGGTCCTCTGATCGGCACCCACAAGTAATTATGTCTGCTTGAAATTTTTGTCAGAGAAAGCATGTTGACATAATTCTAGTGGGCATTTCCACGCAGACGAGGCCCTAGCCGTGTATCTTCTTCGGATGCTGCCAACGTATTCTTCCTCGCCCCTCATTCGCACCAGAGATGCAGAGCAGCTGGCCGCCTGCCACACCGTTGTTGATGTTGGTGGGGAATACGACCCGGCAAGGAATCGCTATGATCACCATCAACGCACTTTTCAAAACACCTTTCCAAACCATCAGACGAGACTATCGTCTGCTGGCCTAGTATACTTGCACTTTGGGAAGGCAATTGTCGCCCAACACATGTCTAAGCCAATTGACCACGAAGATGTTCAGCTTGTCTACGAAAAGTTGTACACCGATTTCATTGAGGCCCTGGACGCAAATGATAATGGCATATCCGTCTATGAGCCCCAAGCGCTTGCTGCTTCAGGCTTGCAGAAGCGCTTTCGCGATGGAGGAATCAATATTGGCTCCCTAATCGGCGATATGAATCTGCCAGATCCCATCGAAAACCTCGACGAGGATGGCCTCTTCGCCAAGGCAAGCAAATTCATCGGAGAGACATTTGTCAGGAAGCTCCGTGCTGCATCTGGCTCCTGGTTACCTGCCCGAGAAACTGTGCGAGCCGCTTATGAAGCCCGGTTTGACGTTCATCCCTCTGGCAGAATCATCTTGCTCCCAAAAGGTGGGGTGCCGTGGAAGGAGCACCTATATAACTTGGAGGTAAACGCTCCGGGAGCATCCACTATCGCTCCATCCGACGACCCAAGGCTTGGAAAAGAAGCATTCTATGTCCTCTATCCGGAGTCCACAGATCCAGGTGCCAAGTGGCGGATACAGTGTGTCCCCGTTGACGAATCGAGCTTCGAATCTAGGAAGCCGCTTCCCGCGCCCTGGCGTGGAGTCCGAGATTCAGACCTTGACGGTGTCATAGCTGCTGAAACCAAGAGTAAGAATCTCGCCCCGATCCCCGAGGGAGCCATATTTACTCATGCGAGCGGCTTCATTGGCGGTCACAAGACGAGGGAAGGGGTACTCGCAATGGCAGTTAGAAGCTTGCAGTACAGCGACTGAAAAACATCCTGTGTAATTGCACTGTTTATCAACGCGGAAAATATCCATCGACGGCGTATTGGTCTACATGGTAGCATGGTTTCTATATCTAGTTACCTATCTCTATACAAACCCCTAAGTTACCAGATTGCCCGTTATAGCAATCTTTCAACCGGTACTGTCGCGGGCATGATTCTCGCAACAGTATCATCAGCCACTTAACAACCGGTCAGAGAGTTGCCCATAGTGCTATATTTCCCGAGACTCGAACCCCTCCACTTCTTCAGGAGTAAGAATTCCCGTAATTTTCCGAATTCCGTTTCCGTATATGCTTGTTTGCCACAGGTGGAATATGCATATACGCATGCACATTCCCGGGCAGAAATGCTTTAGTGGCCTTGCGGCTGCGCATACTTCCCTCGAAGAGCATAATGGTAGGTCCATTCGTAATTCTAGCCAGCCGGTTAAGTGTGTCTTCCACTTTGCATCCAAGCGACGTCTTAAGAGCAGACCCGGAAGGCCGGCAAAGGTTGCAAGGGCACTCGTGAATAAAGATTGGCGAAAAGGAGACTCAGTCTTCTTGTATTATTCTCGGCGGAAGCGCTCCAATATCCTCAATGTTATCAGATCCGACACCCTGCCTCGCGTGCCCCAAACTTGTACTCGTTTCCCCCAGTAGCTTCTCTATAATTTTGGCTTTGGCAGTTGCTTTTTTCAGCCTTTCGTCGAATTCAGCGACCGCTTCTTCTGCATTTTCCATCGAAAGCGTCAAAGGATCCACCAGGGAAAGAAACGCCGCGAGATGCTTCTCTAGTCGGGGGTTGGGAGGTAGGTCAGGGAGGTGGACATCATCACGATCAGGGGTATTCGTGGAGACTGCTTCAGCGCCCTCAGCAGCGCCATTCAAGCTCTTGGAAGCGTGTAACAAGCCATGATTCCCGGGTAATCGCTTCGCCCAAATTATTCCCTTGCCGTATAGTCTTCCCATCTCTTGAAATTTTTCAAATCCATTTTCAACCGCGAATACGCATCCTTCGTTGTAGCCGGCGACTTCTCCGTCTTTAAATCCGAGCTCGTACCCCTCGGCGTAGAAGGTCTCCTCCAAGTCAAGTAAGCTGTCAATGTCCATGCTTGATGTTGGCGCGTCGTAATATAAGGAAGTTTTTGCTTGCGGGGGAATATCTCTCAAATCAAGGAACATGGAAAGAAAGTTGTGTCACTTCGGCGTGTGGATGACTCAATAGCTTTCCTCTCCCGCTCCGGCTCCGAAATTTATTTTTTTTCTTGTCTCCCCGCCCCCGCCATTTCAGAAAACACCCCCCCCGTTCCCCCTGTCTGCAACAACTAACTCCCCATCGAACAAGCAATATGGGCTCCCAAGAGAAAATCCTGCCCCAGAAGGGCCAACGGAATATTCTCGTTACCAGCGCCTTGCCTTACGTAAATAACGTTCCCCATCTCGGAAACATTGTGGGCTCCGTTCTTAGTGCCGATGTCTTTGCTAGGTTGGTCCAAGTGCCCCGATGAATCCTTGCAGCGAAACTAAGCAGACCGGAGCAGATATCACAAAGCCTGTGGCAGACCGACTCTATACGTCTGCGGAACCGACGAATATGGCACGGCGACGGAAACCAAGGCGCTCGAAGAAGGTGTGACGCCCGAGGAGCTATGCGCCAAATACAACAAAATTCACCAGGAAGTTTATGAATGGTTCGAGATCGGGTTTGACTTTTTCGGCCGGACTCCAACGCAAAAGCATACCGAAATATCGCAGAGCATTTTTAAGCGACTCTACAAGAATGGATACCTGGAGGAGAAGACCGCGGAACAGCCATTTTGCGAAAAGCACCAATCCTTTTTAGCAGACCGATATGTGGAGGGCGAATGCCCCCGGTGCCACTACGATGATGCCAGAGGAGACCAGTGCGATAAATGCGGCTCTCTCCTGGATCCTTTCGATTTGATTAATCCCCGTTGTAAGGTCGACGGCGCGACACCAGTTAGCCGTCCAACGAAACATATTCATCTTCTATTGGATAAACTTCAGCCGCAGATTGAAGATTGGGTTCGCCCTGCTATAGAGAAAGGAGACTGGCCGAAAAACAGTCGAGTCATTACTGAATCATGGCTGAAGGAGGGCCTCAAAGATCGTGGCATTACGCGAGATTTAAAATGGGGTGTACCGGTTCCTCTCGAAGGCTATGACAACAAAGTTCTTTACGTCTGGTTCGAGGCTTGTATTGGATATCCTTCCATAACGGCCAACTACACCGATGATTGGGAGCTCTGGTGGAGAAATCCAGAGGACGTCCGATTATACCAGTTCCTCGGAAAAGATAATGTACCCTTCCACGCTGTCATTTTTCCCGGCTGCCAGTTAGGAACAAAGGACAATTGGACCATGTTGCACCACCTTAGCACCACCGAATATCTTAACTATGAGAACGGCAAGTTCAGCAAATCCCGCGGTATCGGTGTCTTTGGAAACAATGCCAAGGACACTGGCATTCCCCCAGATGTGTGGAGATACTACCTTCTCAAGAACCGACCAGAAACTGGCGATACCCAATTTGAATGGCGTTCCTTCATCGATGCCAACAATGGAGAGCTTCTTGCGAAACTGGGAAACCTCGTAAATCGAGTTGTCAAACTGATAGCGAGTCCCAAAGCTTACAGCAGCGTTGTGCCTGATTTTACCATTCCGGAATCATTCAACCCCATTCTAGATGATGTAACAGCCATTCTCCGCCAGTACATTGAAGAAATGGAAGGGGTTCACCTTCGTGCTGGGCTCATCACCGCTATGAGGGTCGCTGAAGCCGGCAACAACCTCATTCAATCAAACAAACTCGACAATTCTCTCATTGCCAACGAGCCAGAACGGGCTGCCACCGTGGTCGGCATAGTGACTAACTTAATTCACCTTTGTGCCAGCGTCTTCTCTCCGTACCTCCCCGCAACATCAAAGTCCATTCTCGAACAACTAAATGCTCCATTCAAAAATATCCCATCCCTAGAAGACCTCAAGGACGGTTGGAAGCCCACTGCCATCAAGGCTGGCCATAAGATTGGCAAAGCAAAGTATCTCTTCTCTAACATCGACGTCAAGAAGGCTGATGAATGGCGGGAAATGTTTGGTGGTTCCCAGGCCGAAAGGCGAAAGAAGGAGGAAGAAGCTGCCAAAGTGGCTGCCAAAAAGGCCGCAAACAAGGCTAAAAAGAAGGAGAAGAAGAAGCAGCCCAAGGGAGATAAAGAGGATGTACGCGTGGGAAAGAGTGTGGAGACCTCTGCAAAGGGAGGTGCAGAAGCTGTTTCTGCAACAGCAGAAGACAAGAAGGGTGAAGCGGTGGAGAAGATTACTGATGGCGTTGCCCAGGTCACGATTCCCACATCTTAATACTTGTCAATGGCGATGAAAGAGTATTTTTTTTTTCCGTGGGTTATCTCTTATGATATGATGTGATTATCTTTTCTGATGCTCTCTGACACATTGGGGAAATACTTTTCTATTCCCTTCAGTTTTTATGTCGCCCTTTTTCCTTTAGAGAAAACATAGATGGATATACATTATGTATACCATGGGTTCTAGACATAAATGATAAGACTGGTATCTGCGCAATAGTTGCCTGATTATTGGGAGAGGTGTAGAAGTATTCTATACTCTTAACCCCCTCCTGCGTGGTGAAGTTTGTCATACCTATTCTATTTGAGGACTAGAAAGAAACTCGTAGACTGACCAGAGGCAACGAAGGGAATCATACTCAAATGGGAGATAACAGCAGCCAGAATACCATGTCCAAACATCGCGGTCATTCCAGAATAATCAAAATCAGAGGTGGAAAGGACACGAATGGTCAATGCGTTTGTGGTACAGCTTTTAGGGTAAAGGAGTCGGCGGGAAGGAAAGGCATAGCAAACAGCACATGCTCAGGGAACAGCCATCATGCACTGTTATGGAAATGGTATATTATTCAATCGTGGCCGGCCTGCTTCGACGTGTGCTAACGTATAGGAGTAAACGGCACTTTCTAGATCCTAAGACGCAGGGCTTCTGTGGATGCATGTTGGTGGTCCTTGGTTATTGTATTAGAACTAATCGGGTGCACGATATCGCATCATCTGGTCCTGCGTGCGTTTGAAGGGCGAGGTCGGACTTCTTCTGCGGCGACAGGATGCATCATGACCTTATTCGGAGTTTGTGGAGTATTGCCAGTATATCCCTTGCTCCAGTCATAGCTCACTGCATAGGCAAAAATGTTCCCGTTACGGTTGAAGGTGGAACAGGAAATCGTCCCTCCGACATTGGGAAATCCCTTAAGTCTGTGCTTGGCATCTTTATCCCAAAAATGGAACGTTCCGTCGCTGCCTGCCGTACTGAATGTGCCGTGTGTGGGGTGGAAGGCGATGGAATTGACCGAATAGACGTTGCTGACGGTTGTGGAGCCACTGGGGCTTTCGCGGTGACACTTGAAACTGAAGTTCGAGCTAGAATCCTTGTCTTCAACATACTGAATCGCACAGCGACCCTCAATGCTGCCAACTGCGAATCCTGTAGCATCCGTGAAGCAGCTGACAACTCTTGTTTGCCACTTGAGGGGCGATTGCATGGTCTTGTAGAACTTTGTAGGTTGGTCCAGATTCACAATATTAATATATCGATCTGCTGTGCCGATGACGAGAAGCTTGTTCCTAACGTCCATTGTGTATACCCGTTCTTGACAATCGAGAGACGCAATGGGCGTAGACTGTCGCAAATCCCAGTACTTTACAGTTTTATCCCACGAGCCGGTGACGAGCAAAGGCTGACTTGAATTTGCTGGATTTGAAATCATGCGGCAGCATCGAATAGGCGCGTCATGCGCTGCGACTTGAACAGGATTGCTGGGGTTGCCAGCTAAGTCGAGCATACGGGCGGCTTTATCTGCACCGACACCGACAACCTTGGTCCCATCCTACAATGTAAAACACATGTCAGGACCTGAGTAGGAGAAACGACAGCAGGCTGAATTCGAATACGTACAGGCGACCAACAACAGTTCAGAACAGGACCCTGGTGCTCAAACAGCGCTTTCCCTTCACTCATTCCTTGTTCGTTGATCTCGTAGATACGGACTTTCTTATCCCATGATGCCACTGCAAGGTGGTCGCTAACACTTGAAAATGCGAGATCGGAGATGCTATCCTCCGGGGGCGAGGACAGGGCAACATCCTTAGAGAGATCGCCTGTCGTGCTGGTGGTGGAGCCAAAGAGGGCTGACGACATTTTGGTAGTCGTGGATTCCGCGTCGCTTCAACGTCCTGATATGAAAGAAAGAAACCGGTACACCAGATAGCATGCAAATCAACCCTGTAATATAAAAACGGGGCAAAAGGAACAGAAAGAAAGCTGAATCAAGGATGGAGGTTGAGCGTGCGATTCGTCGAGTTCAGGAATCTTTCGCTGATGGTCAGAGGATGCAAACGTGTCAAACAAGCTTCTATGATGACTAACCTCACTGAACTGTTAGTCACGAGGTTTTGGAACCTTTTTATATTGGTCACGTGAGAGGCGAGCTTACCTGCAGTTGTACGGAGTACTCAGTACGCCGTACCTCCTTCAGCAAGCCAGAAGCCCCCGCTGGAGGCATACATACATAATGCATATCACACCCTGTACTTCGTATCAGCCCGTGGATAACCACTCTGTGGTTGTTGCCAGGTGGTTAGATAATAAACTTGGGTATGGAGTAATTACAAGTACAACTCAACCATAGGCTTCAGGAAGGAATTTCGACTTGGCGGTGTTGGGTACTCCGTAGTGCGGAGGAGTCATTTGCGGATTTGTGACGTTCCTCAACGGTCCCGGCCCACAGATCAGAGCGCAGCAACCCGCTTTTAACTGCCGGACCGCTTAGAATGCTGTCGCCGGCAAAGCAGTGTGAACGCGTTCTCAAATCGCTCATCCACCAGGTACCAGAACTTAGTTACTATTGACAACTAGACCGATCCCCCCACCACGGGGAAACTATGAACTGATAACCCGAAAACATTACTAATTATCCCATCATGACGAGAATTCCGATCAAAATTTAAGAGTGAGACTCTGTACAAGTTGAAGGCCCTCGGGATTCAATTGCAATTCCAATTTAGCTGGCTAGGAATATATCTTCGGCTGCAGGAATATCCTTCTTTGCTCTTCGTCACCTAGTTACAACAATGGCCGCAACAAATCTCCCCGCATTCCTTCAGGAATCCATCAAGTCCACCAAGGTTGATTATCGAAAATTGGGTCGTAGCGGCTTGAAAGTTTCCGTCCCAATCCTTGGAGCTATGAGTTTCGGCTCGACCTCATGGGCTCCATGGGTGATCGAGGAAGACAAGGTATCATGCCCTACGGTCAAGTCTGCGAGGATTCGTTAGATCTTGCTCACACCAAGGGTCAAACCATAGGCCCTTCCTCTCTTGAAAGCTGCGTACGACAGGGGTTTAAATACTGTATTGCTGCCCTTCCAATGTAAACCGTGAGATGACATCCAGAGAAGCTAATATAGCCCCCAGTGGGATACGGCCAATGTGTATTCAAATGGCATCTCAGAAGAAATTATCGCCAAAGCCATTGAAAAGTACAGCATTCCCCGCGAAAAACTGGTGATCATGACCAAATGCTGGGCCGTTGTCAGCGAGCACGACAATGTTATGGCATTTGGACAAAACAAGGTGTATGCTCGTAGCAAAGATTATGTCAATCAACTTGGTTTGCTGCTCCGCATCGAAATACTCAGAATGATTATGCTGATAGTTGTGTATAGGGCTCTCGCGCCAGGCAATTTTCTCTGCAGCGAACGCCTCTTTGAAGAGGCTCAAGACGGATTATATCGATCTGCTCCAGATTCATCGATTCGACGATGAAACTCCTATTGAAGAGACCATGGAGGCACTCCACGATTTGGTGAAATCAGGAAAGGTCCGATACATTGGGGCAAGCTCGATGTGCACATATCAATTTGCGATGATGCAATTCTGTGCGGAGAAGCGCGGCTGGACCAAATTCATTTCCATGCAAAACAAGTACAATCTCCTATACCGAGAAGAAGAGCGGGAAATGAACAGATTCTGCAGGGAAACAGGTGTAGGACTCATTCCGGTGCGGCATCCATTCTTCAACACTGAACTGCTGAGGAGTAGAAACTTATATATGTGTGATCATAGTGGTCTCCGCTGGAACGAGGTTTCCTTGCCCGCCCGCCTTCCGTCGAACCTGTCACGCCTCGAGCTGAGTTGTACCTAAAGACTAACAATCTTACCGAGGAGGACCTTGAAATTATCCGCAGAGTGGAAGAGATCTCCAAGAAGAAAGGGAGGAAAATGAGTGAGATCGCTATAGCTTGGATTAAGAGTAGGGTCACCAGTCCTATCATCGGATTCAGCTCTATTGAACGGATTGATGAGGCTTTAACAGCAAGAGAAGTGAGTTTGACAGAGGAGGAAGAGAAATATTTGGAAGAGCCGTACAGGCCCAAAAAGGTAGTCGGTCATTCTTAGATGACAGAAGGGAAGAAGACCGTCTTTTTGGTTGCTTGGATTTCAAAGCGTCTGCTTATTTTCGGCTAGCGTCATACCAAGACAATTACGCAGAACTATCCAGCGAGCATCCCATAGGTCCTTCAAGGCTTGCGCTGTAATCCCTTGATAGTGAGGCGACTTCGGAGAAGGCGATTCCGAGTGCCGAAAGGCAGGCTATTGATCACGTAACTGTCCATCCACAACAACAGTTATTGTTTATCAGAATAGTCTGGCTTATCGGGCTCATTGTTTTGGTTCCTGAACAGAAGCCAACTCCTGTCTTGCGATGCCTCTTCGTTGGAAGAAAAGAGTGAAGGGCACAAGACGCGCAGCCGGCGGGTTGGCTTGTTGGCTCCGTCCTCACGCTACTCCGGATTTGGCCTAGTGCTGTGGATTCACAGCGTGGCGAAAATGCGGGGTACATTAGCTAAGCCGGCAGATCCCATGATGTTGATGGGCCGAAGTGGAGCCGATGATGTCGCGGTACTCTAGAAGTACCTCCAGAACACTGCTCCAGAGCTGGCTCAGCGGTGGTTGATGTTCGTCTGTATGGCCGCGCAGTCGAAGGGCTTATGAGGCCATTGTGCCAACCCGCACTTCGTTTGGCAAGGCCGGCCCATGCCCAGTGGACGGTTTGAGAGCAAGCCACCCCGGGCGGACACCATGGTTAACGGGCATTCCCAGGGTTGGTCACGAGACCGCCAGCCACGCTTGGAGCTGCCGCGCCGGATGGTGGCGGCCAGTAGATATATCTCATGGATACCTCCTGTGTGTCTTGGATAATGGCGTGAGTTCATGGTCACTCGGATGTCACGCATGGTATCCTTCCCCCTTTCGGCTGGGCCAAAACCCCGCTTTCGACGGCTAGGATTCCTCCGTCCTCTCTCCTCTCTCCCCATCACTTGACTCCCATTTACCCCGTCGTCGCACTCTCTCTGTCTCTCGCACAGCACACACATACACTACACTCTTCACCACCCATCTAATCCCTCTCCCGATTCAATCCGTCTTCCAAGACAGCCCATCTATACAGCTTCTCCCAAGCTCCAAGGTAAGCTACCTCCCAAGCTTGATACCTACGTCCTCTCCCAACCGCCACCCACCTCGTCTTATCTTTCGTTTCAAACCATTGATCCTTTAATACCTTTAACTGACAGATTGCTCAATCTCAGCATATTCTCGACTCATAAACATGTCCGAACCACTCACCAAGGTCGACTCTGCCGTTGCAGGTCTCTCAACCTCCCCATCAGAGGGCAAAAAGGCCTCAAAACGTGTCACACAGGACAACGGTGTCATGAACATTAACGACCTAGGTATGCTTACTTCCTGATGCTTTTTCCTATTGAGGGGTTTGTGCTCCCAACTGCCTGCTAACATCGTAACCTTTCTCACAGAGAAGGAAGGAATTGAACTACAAATTGCACCAGAGACTCAGAAGTTAAACTGGTAAGAGGCAGCTATATGTTATTACCTCATCAACTTCAAGGTTGTTTTGTCTGTTCAATGGCTGATAGCATGCGATAGGAAACTCAACACGTCACCTGCAAGCCTGGATGAGAAAGACACTCTCAAGAAGCTCCTCACAACGCCTCCTGTTAAGAAAATTGACCTTCACTTCCCTCTCGGACTCCAAGTCACTGCCCGAAATCTAAAAGGTGTTACAATCAAAGATGCCTTGGACGCGATATACAAGCAATTTAAGAAGAAGGCATGTGTTGTGCACCAATCTTTTGTATAAGTCTCAGGTGGCCTGTATATGCTTAATACGGACCGATTGCTGACAACCTTTGCGTACAGGCAGATGATGAGCTTGACAATCCCATCCTCGCTGGTTTCGAGTGGGATAAGGAAGAATCCTGGACAAGATTGATCGTACATCAGAAGAAGGAAGGCGCTCCGGTAAGCAAAAAGGCAAAGAAGAAGGGCGAAGCCTAGTGATATCATGCTGCGTTTTAGCGAATCGCACTTGGCAGATAGACCCGACTCAGTGTAAGTATGGTTAGAATCTTTTGGTTCTGCATCGCCGGCACAGAACGTTATGATAGGTATGGGCGTGGAAGGTTGCAATGGCATGTACACGATGTATCTGTATCTACTATGGACTCATATCCATTCAGCTCAAGGAATACTGATGGATCAGATGCTCATCCACCACCGTGCTGTGTCCATTTGTAATAGATATATAAAGTAGACTCTTAAGGATTGTCGGCCACCAACAAGAACCAGTCGTCCGTCCTGCTTGCACCCGTGAAAAAGGGCATTGTATCATATCAATTAAACTGTTATGGTATCTCGTACATTTAATTACAGACGCATGGAGAGAGGCTATTTATCACCAAAAAATGAAGAGAAAGGGATATGCAATTAACTAGCATCACACCTGACTTGGGGAGCGGGAACTAAGTTTTAAGTGGCCTGCCGCTAAGCTAGGATGTCCGACCGTGCACGTCTGATTCACGAGCGCCTTCGAACGAGGGAGAGACAAAATCTAGAGAGAATGGTAGCTAGCCACGAGATTCTCACTCTCATTCTCATCTCCCGCTTCCAAGCAACACCTCAACGATCTCATCTAGGATCTCGTACGCTAGGTGCAGATTTAATCTTCGATTGTTCGTCGTGGCAAATATTCTCCTCGCAGCCGCCTGGGCATTAGCTCTACCCACAACACTCCCTGCCAAATCCGGAATGAGTGTTGCTAACACCACACTGGCGTCGGTACGGCTTTTCATCTTCTCCGCAAGGGTGCGTGGCTTGTTTTCACGGAGCTTTCCACCAGGCCACATTGTGTCCTTGATCAAGGAGATGTAGCGGAGCAACGCAGTATCTTGCACTAGGGATTTGGCGTTTTCGCGAATCTTCCGCTCGATGGTGCCACCAAGGAGCTGGTGCAGGACCACGACTACGGCGCGGCCTCGTAGCCAATTGTTTCCTTTGTTGAGTTCGAAGATTTCGAGGAAAATGTCACAAATTGGTTTGACGAAGGGCTCGAGCTCGCGATCTTCGAACGCACTGAGTTCAGCTTCGGCTTCGGCCGCCGTAAGGCTATCTTCGGGGGTGATAAGCCCCGGTTGTGGGGTGAGGCTACGCTGGGTCGTTGCGGCGGATATGAGGTTTTGTCCGGCGGCAGATAGTTGGTCAAAGACGGGTATACTACCAAGAATATCGTCCACAGAATCGGTAACGGAGTTGTAGATACGGGTCACAAGGTCGCGGCCCTCGCCTTCCCGTGGAGTGCCGGAAGAATGAGTGGCAGGGAGGATTGCACGCTGGGATAAGAACGCACGAAGTTCTCTACTTCGACAGACGTCCGGGAGGAGTAGAAGCTGTTGCAGATAGGCTTCAAGACCTAAACGGCGTTTATGTAAGAAGTCTTTTTGAAGTTTCATTACCACCCTTCTGCGTGGAAACTCGAGAGGTCGGACAGCCGGGTATCGTGTTCGAAGTTGGTGATGGAGTTCGTGAAATTCGCTATATCGACGGGGAACAGCCCACGAAGCAGCTGGCATTTGTTCGCCAGCTTTGCGAGTTACCTCGATGAGATCTAAGACCGCGTCAATACGTATTTAAAATGAAATTAACGAAGTAGATATGCTTACAGAGAGCGTATTCACGGCCATCTTCCTCTTTGCCAACTATAATAGACTTGATCTGGACCGTAGAGCGGCCGTAAAGGCTGTTGTCACTCTCCTGTAAGATATACTGTTGTCTTTGCATCTCCTTTCGACGTATCTCTCGTTGTAAACTGGACCTGGACTTTCCCAATATTCGCAACTCTGCGGTATTGTTCGTCAACTCAGCTTTTCGAGTCAAAGCGCCGACGATTGCTTCTTGTGACATGAGTTTTTCTATATCCGCACTTAGAGCAGAAATAGCTTCCGTCAAACCAAGGTCACCCGGAGCAGCTTCATGTATCTCATCTTCAGATGATTGAGTTTCGTCCATGACATCATCTGCATACTCGTCTTCAATGAATTTTTTTTGGTCTGGAAATAGATCGTCATCTGTGAAAACACCAATTCGGGAAGAAGTATTAACAAGACCCAATGAAGCTATACTGGGTTTCGGCTTCTCTGGAAGGTTCCCATGTGGGCGAGTCGAGTCAAAAGAACTTCTCGCGGAATCTCCATCTCTGACAGGGTACGGCAACGAGAATGGTGATCCAAAGCCGCTTTTTGACTCCTCCGGTTTGATTTCATGAGGCTCATTGCTCATTATGTCGTTTAATGCAGCTTCCATATTCGCTATTATGCGACTATCTTGCATCTCTCCATCTCCATTGTGAGATCCCTGGCCAAGGCTGTATGTCGACGACTCCATTGGGTCAGGCTCTATTTCATCACTAAATAAAGGTGCGCGAGGCGAGTCCAACAAGGACCGCCTCTCTGTCGGCAAGGCATCAGTTAAAAGGGACAATTTAGGTGCTTCACTGGCGGGAAAGGGTTTTCGCATGTCGCGGGATTGACAGCTGGACTGAGAACCAGTTCTTTGTAATGCGGCAGGAAACATATCGGATGCTGGCGACCGGTTCAGCACTTTTCTCTCTAACGGAGCAGAGGAAACTGTAGCTGCCTCATCAAAGGCTAAGTATTTGTAATACAGATCCGATTTCTGGAATCCCGGATAGTATTTGTTTTGCATTTCTTCCAACACCATTGACTGCGTAGTTAGTATTGCTGTTCTAGCCCTACGGTATTGTTCGGGGGTGGCCCGTTTGCCGGCGCTAATAAACTCCTTGACGGCTTTTCGTGACTCTTCGGGGACACGAAGTTCGGGCTTTGATAAATGGTTTTCGCTGATCAGTATCATGTCATTTCGGTCCGTTGCCGTCCAAGTGACGGATCTTGTCGGGGTATCATCTCCAAAATCATCCTCTAAGGGATTCCTAAATCCATCAACAACGATCCAGAACTGTACTAAGGACATAAGACGGTGCCGATCCATGTATTCCATAAAGTACGACAGACCCGAGGCATTATGCATAATATCCACCAAAGAAACTTCGTGCGGTTTAGATATGTAGCTGTAACGTAGGTCGGCGTTGGCTTGGGGGCTAGAGTGGCCGCCAAGCGCTGAGAGTTTTGCAACTTTCTGATCAAGCACTCTTTTCCCTGTCTCAAGGCGTCTTAAATAAACTTGGTCCTGACCGTCGATCATATTTTCACGTTTCAATTGACTCGCTATGTGACTCCTAAATTTTCTAGCGTCGGACAAATTGTTACATCGTCGTATAGCTCTCACGAAACGTTCGAAGTCCCTTTCTGAATCGTTGGGGGCAAGCTTAGGAAATTGCTGCGACCGCTTTGACCTCGGAATCGCAGAGGCATGCTGATCCAGAGCGGCGCGAAGCTTTCGAACAGTCTTTCGGTCCTGAATGGTTGCTTGGCCATAGGCCTCCACAAGCTGGTTCCATGAATCCGGGTCCGCTAGGAGGTCCATCAAAGGGAAGAGAATGGCGCAAGCTATAATTTCCCTGATCAATATTGATACTGCCCGGCTATCGAGTAAAGTTGACGGTACCAAACCAGGAAGTAGAGAGACAACGATTTTCCGCAGGTGATTTTGCTGAGCATTATTTTTATCGGGAAAGGAGGGTGATGTGGCGGGGTGTAGATTGCCATCTCTGTACCTGGATGCAATAGCGATATCTAGCTCTTCAGACTCCGTGACATTATGCGTAAGATTCTTCCCTCTCACGGCTCTCTCGGCCTTATCGAATTCTTTAAAATGCGCAGTCAAGATGGGTACAATTCGAGACACCAAAATTTCCACGAGATCTTCACTTTCCAGTCTCGCCCGCAGATTGTGAATCGCCGTTCTTATTGCACGATCAATCTCGTTCGCAAATTTGAGATTGCTGCTAATATTTCCATACCATGACCGGATGAAGTCTCTTATGGCGAACTGGAGTAGCTCATCGAGAGCAGCGGAGACGATGAATGACTGTGGGTAGAGCGGCTCCGGCTGATATTTCACATCGACTCGGTAGCTCCCGCAGTGCTCCTCCCAGTTCTGAGGGGAAAGAAAGGCAATGGACGTGCCAGCCAGGCTGACCGGCCTTGCTCGATGGTCGAACCCATCACGAACGGTGAGTACAACCAGGGCTCCAATAGTAAGAGCCGTGAGAGCAGCTCCGAAAGCAAAGGAATATCCGAGAAATCGAAGGACAGGTAGCCATTCAACGAGCAGACCCCAAGCAAGGAGGCCACCAAAGCTAGCGATGAGTATATCGCGGCGACCTAAGGCCATTCTTTCAGAAGCGATATTCGGGTCGACCCCATGACTGCTAGCTCAAAAGCGGCATAGATTAGAAAACTGCTCGCTTCGCACTCCTTCGCTGCGTCGTCCTTCAATGAGTGAATGCCATCCAATGCAGACCAGCTTGATGGGCCGCCCGCGACGATAAGGATCACGTGGCAGAGCTGTTCCGGGTTTACAAATTTCCGGGTAATGCTCGCCAGATCTTACGTCATATGGTCTTGGCGCTGCGGGAGAAAAAAGTAAACAATCCCAACAACCAATTCACACAAGGTAACTTGTCCCGTTCAACTCCCCTCAATTGCACCAACGACATTGAAAACATGCCATCCTTGACGGATTTTGTCGATTTCAACCAGCCTAGCTTCAAAGGTATGGCGATACCCTTGCTCCACTTGCAGTGTCGCCTGTTTCCTGTCTATTCAAAAGCGAAGGTACTCTCGAGTACTTTAGACGAAAGTGGGTGCTGACAGTCATGATGCGAACAGTTGCTGCGGCTGCCATTGCTTTTAATCCAATTTTCTGGAAGTAAGCCACTGGCTATATTTATTGATTCCTCCACATTGACCAGGCTAACAAATTCGATAGTGTGGTTGCTCGACAAGGTACGCTGCTAACGAAGCTGATCTCGTTGCACCCTGCCACTGCAAGTACTTATTTGTCCAAACGCAACCACAGAATACCGAAACCACTTCTTAACTCGCATCTTTGGTAGTCCCTATTATGGCTGCTATTTCCTTGCTGTAGTCATTTTCTCGCTAGGGATATTCCGTGATAATCTCTACAATGAAGCCCTCAAGGATCAACCATATTTTGCGCCTGTCCACCAACCTTACGTTGCCTACGGCCTTTTTGCCGTGGGAAATACCCTGGTAGTTTCCAGCATGTGGGCATTGGGCCTTACCGGGACCTATCTAGGTGACTACTTCGGGATTTTGATGGACGCGCCTGTCACTGGGTTTCCGTTCAACGTTTCAGGCGCACCGATGTATTGGGGCAGCACCATGAGCTTTTTAGCTGTCGCGCTCTACTATGGGAAGGTGGCAGGACTCGTGTTAACCGCGGAAGTGTTTATTGTGTATTGGTTGGCCCTGAAATGGGAGGAGTATGTCGTTCACTCGGTTTACGATCGCTATATTTACTCAATCGTTAAACTAACACATCGCTCTCGCATAGCCCTTTCACAGCCGAAATTTACGCGAAGCGCAATCGAGACAGGGCAAAGTCCGGGAAAAACAGCAAGCGGGCTTAGCGGGTCTTACCGCACGTCGAATTATTCGCCTGGAAACGGGGGCAGATCAACTCCCTCGAACTGGTCATTTCCACGAGACTTCAACAGTGATCTCGGCTATCATATGGCCAGTGATGGCAAAGGCAAATAGGTTATCTGGCAGAGCAAGAAGCTGGAACAACCGACCATTGAGCTATGCATTCGAGCCAAACTCTCGTGCATCCTCAACGATCGACCGAAATAGAACTCCCAGCACCACGGTGGAAAACATCGGCAGGAAGACACTATTATTACTGCCCCAACAAACAAGTAGATTTGTCGCAATTTTATAGCGCCAGTTGCTTCACAGTAGCAAAGAGTGCGATAAAAATAATGCTAATTTATAACCTCCACTATTTTGTACAAAGGTACCCTTTTAACTTTTGACCCTTCGAGGGCTAGAGGCAAAATTAGAGCTACGCTGTCCAATCAAATCTCACTTTTTACAATTAGAGAGGACGCTGATCGAACTGTTGGTCACATTGCTCCGTTGTCAAGAGTCAGGGGAAATACCAACATGAATAAATACTACTGCGAGCTTCTATGGCACAGATCTTTTTGGAGGAATTTGACCCGGCGCTCGCATCATCAACAAATAGCATCGATATAATAAAACCGCAAGCAGCCCATTGCCTCAGAAATACGCCTGATAATGCAAAATCCGGTGGTAGGCGAAACGCGCCCCAGAGAAATCCGGCAACAAGATTCAAGCCATGGAAAGGGATTGAAACACCCGTCGCTATGAGTAGAAGGGAATTTAGTATGTAGTCATCTCCCTTATCCCCTCCGTCGTCCTCTCTTGCCTGTTGCACGGCCCTCCTCCACCTCCGCCTCCTCTTCATCGGCACCCTTTTTTAAGTCCTCCCCCTCCGGCAACCCCCACTTCTCTTTGTCATACCAATCCTCCCCATCGCTCATTTCGCCGACATGGCCCTCTGCCTTACACCATTCGAACACGTCTTCCTTCAGTCGGTATGCTTTACGCAGCATCTCTAAAATGTCCGCGAACAAGCGGACTGTCTCACTCTGTTTCTGAATATAGGCCCAGAGTAAATGACGTGCTTCTTCCGCTTCGAATGGTGCAAGGCCGCAGTTGCGGTCTATTTTTATAGATGGGAATTCGTATAGTGGGTGAGGTACTGCATCGTCGTCTTCAACATCGGTAGCATCTGTTGCTTCCCCGAAAGACTTTGGTGATGTGGCTCGACTTGCATCTGACGGCTGGGGCAGTTGATTTGCCTGTGCACGCGTAGTCATTCGGCGTGGAGGTTCGGGTAACTCGTCGCCATCAATGGCACTCCCGTCGAGCTCGTTATCAGCCTCCATTCCAGTTTTCGAGGTGTCCTGTTGCACAGATTCTTCCTTTTCTTTTACGTTGTCCTCGCTTGCTGAATTGAATCCTGCACCATCTGGGTCTTTGTTACTTTGCTTTTCTAGCATCAATTCGGCGTGGCTTTCCCTGTGTTCTGGTCCCGACCCCTTCTGTTGTTCCGCTACGTTCTTACCAGCATTGTCTGTCTGCAGGGAGACATCCTCCATTTGAGCATCCGTGATTTTGTCCTCGTCAACCGGGGCATCCACCATTTCGGTATCTAGGCCAGATGGTGCATTCGGAGCGGAAACGTTTTCAACGGACGCACGGGAATTTAGCTCGACAACCTCTGGAGGATTCTGCTCTAGAGTAGTGGGTCGGGCTTCGGAGGAACGGCGAATGGAAGATGTGGTGTATTCGGGGACATTGGTGACGAGCGGCTGGAGATCTGGTGGTAGGAGGAACGCGGGTTCAAAAACTGCTCTATCTTGGGGTTTCTCTACGGCTCCGCAAGGAATCCAAGGAGCATCCCCCAGTAATTGTCGGTGAACCTTTTTCGCCTGCCAGAGCGCATATCGCTCCTGTCTCAGCCTTTTATCTATGAGATTAACCATGTGTAATATGGCCTTTTTCTTGTAGGGTTCTGCCATCGACGGATGGTCCGGAAGTTCTGAAGGGTGTCTTATTGGAGCAAGGAGGGCTATAACGATTGATTCACTCGGATTAGCTCTTTGAATATTTGGGTAACATTTACTCAGGCGCTAGACACCGGGGTTGGGGCTAGACTCACTCTCAAGAGCTATGCCAGAATATGGATTCTCCTCTGCGGCTTCTGCGTCGGCTGTCGCATCAGAATCATCATCATCAAGCTCATCACCTTCAAAATCATATCGCGGAGGGTTGTATTGCAAGATATGTCGCGTGTATCCTGCGTGGTCAACTTTCTGTGCAAACATAAAAGCATGTCAGACGTGGTCAAGACATCCAAAAGCAGTTCACTCAAAGTGCAAGTGTCTCCAACAATTAGCATACCATTCGGTAATAATCCTGGCCGTTCATGATTCCAAGTGAGCCTTCATGGACGTATTTAGAATTCAGTCTGGTTTTATTGCCGCGATTTGTTGGCTGAGTGATTGGCTCGTCGTACGCATCCTGGCCTTTATGGAACGAGGGTCAGCATCTTCCCAAAACTGCACTTGTTTTCGATGGGGCAAAGAATGAGCCAACCTAATCTCTCTCGAGCGAGGGCTCTCTTTAAACCAACAATCGTCTCCTCGATCATAGCTAGTTGGGAAGCCATTCTTTCGTTCGTGCAAAGGCCAAAGGTCAATCAGGAAACGCACAGAATCGGTGTGCTTTCCACAAATATATAGTGACAGCGAACGCGGTAGAGATAAATTCTTATCTTGCAATGACGTTTCAGGGTTTGTTGCGAAGGAAGGGATGCTCCGTGAACAAGTGAGGAACCGCTGGAAGAATTCGAAGGAGTCGGAACTTGGGCTGAGAGCTGGCTAAGACGAGGACGAGGTATATGTTGCACAAGTCATACCCAACGGATCAGGGGGTCAAGAAGAGAAAGGAACAGGAAGTGTTGAGCTTTCGCTGTGGCTGCTTCAACCATCCTGCTTCAGTGACTTCACGATCGTGGAAGCAACCTTCTTGACCGCTTTCGATGGCAGAATCATCGGTCCGGATTAAAGTTAATTTACTGCCGGGCAACGCTGCGCAAGGTTACTTATCCACAATAGGGCTAGCGCCGGGATGCACGAGAAGATGTTCTAATTTTAGCCCCTAATGCCGTCCCCCTGATCAAAGGAAAAGGTACGGAGTATACGGAGTACAGATGTTTTTCGGATCAGTGTTATTTGTTGTTATTATTTAATAAACTTGATTCTCCCTATCAAGGCGCGATTCCCAATTGTAAAGAGCATCGACCTCGGAAGATTACTTACAGCCCGCAGTTAAATTGTTTTTCCAGCACAGGGATGAAACCAGTTCGTAAGGCGAGTAAGCTGGAAACCATGGGATTTTCCTGGATTGAAGTTTTCGTAGGTATCAATCCGGTGTCCTTCATATGACGCCATTCGAGTGGAAAAGAGGAGGGGGGAGAAATCCTTCCTTGCGGAGGTGACGTCTGGTTTCAACGGCCGCTCGAGCGGCGGAGCACAGCACATGGCTTTAGGATTAAAGCCTCCAACTGGCAGAAACCAACGTCTTGATGTTTCCATCTGCCACTGCCATCCAGTGCCTCTATATCGGGAAACAAAAGCCATTGACTGTCGCAACCAACGCTAGAAATTTCCACGAGCTTGAGATGACCAAACCATGCCCTACGCCCCTGCTTGAGGACCCAAAAGGAATTTATGGCGGCCGGATCCAAGAACTGGGACCCGTAGTGAACCAAAGCCAATCCTGACACAGGACTCGCATGATTTTAGAATTCGGCATTCCTATCATCGATCATCCAGCAGGCCATTCCATCTAGACAACCAAAGCCCTTCAAGGAAGCACATGTCATGAGTCTAGCGAGCAAACGCAGGCTCCCACATTGAGCTTGGTTTCTAGAGCGACTGTATGGCTTTCCCAGAGTATGCCCGATGCAGAGTATTCGGAAGGCCTAAACGCGCGAAGGAAGCGTACGCATCGATACAAAACCCGTTGGCGTCCTTTCTCGTTCATTGCTTGCTGCAGTCGTTTTGAACAAGAGGCGTAAACGATGCGCCACCTCGGGGATACTGTATCTAGATCACATCGACAGGTGAAGGCGAGAGCAAGTACCAGGTCCGTTCCCACAAGTCCTCAAACTGTTTAGCCCGCAGCTCCCCCTCGCCATATCCGCAAGGCCTCACACGAAGCATAGGCAACGTTGCATTGGCAAATGATCTCGCCTTCCAACGGGATATTATACTTTCAAAGAAGTCGCCAGGAACCCGGTTGCGCAGCAACTTGTCATGCTTCCGCCGAGCCACAACCCATGAAAAGCCGAGCCATTGCTGATGCGCAGTCTCTCCATCGGGACGCTGCAAACGCACGTCGATGGGAGACCGTTGGAGCGGGTCCCCCGAAGCCAGAGGAGTATCGAGGTGACATCCCTATCCCGATCCTTCGTTAGGGCGTGCCGCTTCCTCGACCCAGTAGCAAGGAGTGATGAAAGGCCCACAACACACATATGGTAAGTGGTGAAAAGGTGTCGCAACACACCCCTGGCGAGGATGCCACTGTTGCCAATAGCAAGATTCGCTTCGTATGCCGCTGGCGGCTAAGGAGGAGGAGGAGTACCGCTTGTGAAGGAAGCTCTCCAAAAAGAGCTTTCAGAGGCCGATTGCGCGGGCCCAACGCAACTCTCCTACGAAGTCTTCACTTTAGGAAAACATGCTCTATCAAATTTATCATGGGGAGGCCTGCAGGCTGGTATTTATGCTTCGAGAGACCGTTCAGCCTGGGCGTAGTTGAATAGCCCGCAAATCACTGCCGGTTCCGTAATTTGATCCTTTGAAGCAATGTAGACGGTGTCGGCGGACTCAACAAAGGATCCTGCATCATGGACGCATGAAAGCCCTCAATGCTCGGGAATCTGGGCGTAAATACCAAGAAGAATGAAAGAAACACAATACCAATTTTCCGCTTGGAATCCGAACCGGGTATTTGTAGTACCACAAAAATGCGTAACGTCGAGAGAGAGCACTGTAGAAGAATTATTGGCTGCTGCGTACGCCGTAGATGATACTAATGCAGCAAAAATTTGATGCCCCAAAGCCCTCAAAACCAAGGCTCACTTCCGAATCTGTTGATGCAAAAGTATGCATTACACAATAAAACCATACCCCTTGAATAATTCCCCAGCCAGGCCTTCTGCTCCATCGCAATAAGCTACCAGGTGAGCAAATTGTTATCCAGTTTCTTCGTCAATTCTTGAAAAGCTCTTTCTAGCTCCACTTCAAGCACACAGCGAACTTTCAACGAACTCATTGACGGCCACACCCCCCGTTCTCCCTTCAAGACCCAGTGTTTAAGGGTATCCCTAGTTGGTTTATTAAAGACCTTTGTCAAATCCTGAACCGAAATCTGCGGTAAAAGCACAATGCATGAACCTGGAATGTTCTCTTCAATAAGGATTGAACGGAGCAAATTAGGCAAGCAATAAAAGCTATCTAGTTGTCTCAGGCGGCAGCGGATCTCCACCTTTGAAAGCGTATATAGAAGGTGGAATATCTTCCACCTTCTAGCCAGAACTTTGGCGCCAGGACGATGAGTGGCCTCACCAAAAATAGGAATAATGAAGGGTCGCGCTTGTGAAATAATGAAATGATTGACATTCAGAAGCTCCGGTAGGCGGCGTAGAGGCGATTCCTTAGAACGACAACGGAACGTATGCCACGAATGAAGATTGAGATTATCAACTGGTTTCCATGGCACGATCTTCCCTGTCTCGCTTTTACACCAGATTGTGACTTCTTCCTCGGCAGCAAAGGACACATTGGAAGCCAAACAAGCGGACCAGATGAGCTAACAGTCCTATTAGTCCAAGGATATTTGAAGAAGTACGGGGATCAGGAGTCCACCTACCACATGGGGCGTCGTGATGTAATTTAGAAGATTTGGAGCGCCTCCTATTGTCGACATTGCAAGAGTTATATTCAGAACACGTTTAGTCCTGCTGTAGGCTTCTTCAAAAGTAATATCTCTTAAAGCAGCTCGCACATGATTTTGCAATGTGATGTGATCCCGAAAGTAGTGCTCATTTAAGCAGCGTATAATTCTGCGGAGGAGACTCTGGAACCAACCATATCCGTCTTCGTGAGAAAATATATGGAACCAGTCGAGGCTATGATATGCTCTCGGTTCTTCGAAAGCCATTATGTCAAGATACTCTCCCTCAAAGAACCGCTCTAGTTCATTGTCCGTTCTAATGCATAATAGAGCTGCGACGAAAGCTCCTGTGGCCGTCCCAGTTATCACGCGAGGGAGTAATCCTTCACGATATAGAGCCCTCGCAACACCGATGTGACAGGCGCCAAAGATAGAGCCTCCTTGAAACAGCAAAGTTGACCTACCCAAGCCTTGCCTTGCACCACGTATAAAATCAAGCTTGGCTTGAGTATTGAAGCCAGTGTGATGTGGTGGGCTTGTCTGTAGCTGCATCACATAACGCAGGGATATCACTTGTTGCGCTGCGTAGCTTTCGATCAAGTCCTTTGTCCCCGCAAAAGCTTTATTGTATAGTTCTGGCACCGCGATATTGACCATGTTCCGAATTAATCCTGTCCGGATGGTATTGCATACTACTCGAGGATCATCTATATCCTTTGCCCTGCGTAGCTTATCCAGTCGTTCTGTGATGTTCCGATAATTATACAAGGTACTTTCCGGCTCCCGGCGCCTAAAGCAAAAGTTGCGACACTGGTAAGCTAATGGAAGTGCATTGGATTCAATATCCAAGGGATATGACACTGTCTCGGAGAGGAAGCCGTTGGACCACGTACCATGCACTCAATCCAAAAATATCATCCAAAGCAGCCGCAACGTCTCGCCACTCTTCAAATGTCCTCGCTTGCTCAAGCCTGCGGAAGAGCATGAATTTTCGAGGATAGCTCCCGATCAGGAATGTCAATTGCAGAAATTTCTGGGAAAATAGGGTCACAACTAATGTAACCAACCCAACTGGGTGAAGGTAAGGGTAAAGAACATAAGGGAGTGAGCGTATAAAACGCGACAAGAGCATCACTGTTAAATTAATCAAGGACAACATTATGAGGAAAATTAGCTCGAAAAAATCTAGAAATGTTTCGCGGCGAGCCATGGTGATTGCTCTGACATCTGTAGAAATCAGCTATCTAGGCGATCGAGACAGGGTGTGCATCGTTTTCGTGTCTCCTTCTTTCCCTTCTTTACTTGTGAAAGACTGATGTATAGGTCCTGACTTACTGCGGAGGACGAACTTTGCAGCCATCCTATTTGTGATAGTCTGTAGGTAGGTGTCGGCTCCTAGTCATAGCTGAATTTGCAAGAGATCAATTTGAACGACCCTGGAACTACGAAGCATAAGTCGAGGCCTGAGTCAGTACGGCGAATGGAGTTGTGTAGGAATATCAGGTTAAGGATAGCAGAGACCGGTATGTTTGGAGCTTCCAAGTTATATATGAAGTCATAACTCAGTCAGAAGGTTTAAATAGCCACCCACTCTACTTTGTATACTCCATAACAACTCTGTTGGTTGAAACAAAGTTCCCCTCGACAAAGGTGTAAGTGAATTGTAACTATATGAAAACCCATCAGATGTGCACATGCAAAATATAGATTTGGGGCTTATAAGCGAAACTAGACATCTACTAACTTGATAGTCATAAAATGTTTGTTGAGAATTGTTATGAAACTATCAGCTCAACCCCAGCGATAATCATAACAGATGCGCCGCCATCAGCCCAGCCATAGGAAACAAAGCACTGCAATCGTTTTCGAAACAAGGGAGGGCGAAATAAAGTAGGAAGACGGGTCCCGTTGAAGATACACGTAAGTTTCATTTTCTCAGCGTATGCATATAGAACATTAAGAAAAGAGGATTCCATTGTTCCCGTTGGTTGGGCACCTTGCTATGAGAATATTCTAGCTTTTTTTTCCCATCACCAATTCAAGGTCATCCCGGATTCCTTCTGACGAAAAATGGCGCCAAACCGTTGCTCCCTTATTCCTCAATGATGTTGCCCTTCTCCGAGACGTATATACCGTCCAAGAACTGTGTAGATTGTTAGTACCATGCTTGCGTAACCCTAAATGACAATAGGGATATTGATTTTGGTATGTGGCTAAAGAAATGGCGATTCTCACTTTTCGGATATCCTTGTTTCTCACACGACAGACTTGGTTGATATCTGCACAGGTCTGTGAGACACCCTCAATGGAGTTTCCGGACAATTGAATCTCATCCTTAACATTCTGGGAAATGACAACTTCAACACCAGGTTGGCAGACAACGCGACGGACAATTTGCTCGCCAAGGAAGTTTCTGTAGGCAATAGATGTTAGCGCAACCATTTCATCACAGCAATCGCCGCACAACCCAAGATCCCCCGACGCAAAATCCAGGCCGCCCCATGCCAAAATTTTTCACATAACATTGCTTCCTTCCCTCCTTGTGAAACCTCTTAATCATTTCACTTTCCATATCCTTCAATTCAAACCATGTCGAGGCGACCAAAAAGGACAGCGCAACAATGTCAATGGGGATATCCATACCGGATCTCAACGGTAATCAATCCAGTCTCCTTGTTGGTATCAAGGTTGACGTTGATGGGAAAGTGAGCATAGACATAACGCATCTTGTATTTGAAGCCGCGGGTAACACCAATGATCAAGTTGTTAATGATCGTTCTGACGGTGCGGAGGGTGGCGACGGCTTTGCGTTCTCCGTGGTGGATTTCGATCGACAGAACGTTCTTCTTTGGACGAGAGAAAGAGACCGCAAGGTGCGACAGATCCTTAACCAGCTTGCCTGCAGTGAGAGATATATGTAAGTGTACATGCCATCGTTACCGGCGAGAACGTGTCGGGACGGGAGGATTCATGGGTTTCTCGAAATGTCGGAGAGTGATCGAATCATACCTCGTGGTCCTTCAACAGTCACAACCCGCGAGCGGATGTGAACGCTCACTAAAATATATCAAAACCTGTTAGCATTTGACTCTATAACAACAGCCAAAGCTTTCCTCCCAGGCGCATTCCTCCCCGGCTTCTTTGCAACAGAGAATGTGGTCCAAATATTCCAGCAGGACATCCGATTCCCGAATCCACCACCACTACCAGCGCCGAGTCCATGCCGTCACGAATCAAGGGGTGAAAGCTCACCATTTTCGGGGATTGTCAAAGTCTCCTCGGAATGTATGTAGCGCATCTTGACGGCGTCTGTCTAATTACCTCCGACGGGAGTTGGAGGAGAAATATAAGAAGGACAGAGGAGAATATGTGGTCGTGTCGTTGGCCGTCGTCGTCGTCGACAAGTCGAAATTCCCAAAACCCACACACGGAAGCAATTCAATGGGGCTTCACAACTGTGTGCGTCGCTTAGGGCACGTTTGCGGTTTAGCGCGATGCAAACCACAAGGCTGCCGTGACGCGCCAAAAATGCAATTCGACTATTCCTAAAGCGGTAAAGAGCTTTGCTTCGGGGCTGCGGAGACAAGTTCTTCCGTGCAAGACTGTTGTTCTCGCCCACCCAACCACTTGGCAGGGCCTTGCTATCATGTAAGTGCGCACGGGAGTAGCATGGAGGGAATGCTACGCAGTAAAGAGATGGCTACGGAGTACATACATCTTCGATGGATCATTGTTTTTACGAGAAATACGAAATCCTAAAGAGGGAAAAAAGGACACAGAAGGAAAATAATAAAAGGTCCCAAATTTTTTGCCGAAAGGCTTTCAGTGAAGAAAACGCCAGGCATCCGGGCGGGGCGACCAGGGAATTATATATTTGCCCTTTCCAACAATCAAATGCCGTCCACAGCAGTATGACCCCAGATAAATATTAATCGTGGTCAAATTACCCATCCTGTATTCAAACCATCGAGCACTTGCCACGGATTCCAAAGGCATTCGAGCCACCCTGAATCCCCAAATGGATGGCGCGTTCAGAATAAAACAATTATCCTTATATCCAGCAGGTATCACATATGCCCAGTTATCTCTTGCGTAGTAGTTCCAAGTCATCGATCTCTCCAGGGACAACTTTACTGGTGGTAAATCTTAGACCGGCTTATCATCAATCCGTTTTGCCTCCACCAATCTTCTTCCAACCATCTGCTTTATTTTCGGGGCTAGTTCCCTCGAGATATCAAGTGCTTCAATATCGTCCCCACCACCGATACTCTTGCCGTTGATGAGGACATTTGGAACAGTCCTGCGCCCAGTATTGCTCGACAGCAAGGCCTGTAGCTCCTGCCCGAGCGGGTGCTCGTCTAATTCGACAACGAAGGGCGCAGGGACAATGCTATACTTTTCGAGGAGAATATATTTTGCTTTGCGGCTGTAGGGACAGTAGGACTTTGAGAATATAATGACTGAGTAACGAAGACAGACTGTCAGCGTGATCGTGCACGATCTACGTTGGACTTGGGAGGAACCTACTTGGCGATCTCTTCAGTATGGAATTGAATTCCACCTCAATTTCCACTTCTTTCGAATCGCTTTCCTGCTTTGGCACATCTTTTCCCTTCTCGTCCGACGGGGGCACCTTCACCCGCCCCGCCACAGATCCGCCACCATGCTCCCCTTCAGAGTCGCCTTTCGGCGCCACCGGGCTTTCATATCGCTGTCTGTCAACGGCGATAGCCTGTTTATCCTCTGGCTTTAATTTTCCCGGCTTCAATTTTTGGAACATCACTCCATCGTCTTCCTGCTGCCCGACTTTCCGAGCATGTTTGGCATCGAGCGCTTCGACAGTTTTTTGGTAAATCCTCTGATTTTGTATTCGACGTTGATCGGCCTAGCAATATATGGCCCGTGATCGTTAGTTATTTGAATAAATGCAGATCCCTCTCGGGGACCACACGCGAGGAGCCGGGTAGAATATTTACCGTCAGGTACAGAATTAATAAAACGATCAAGAAAACTGAGATCAGCAACAGCTTTATTCGACGATAGGGCGACATTTTGCCCGTTGCCCACTTATGGGCAGGTCATCAGCTTGCCTTCTGTTTCCAAACGCGTTGCTGGGCCTAGATATCCAAAGAACTTCAGGTGCGCAGGTTCTCTCGCGGAATATAAAGGCAGCCTGCTCGCGAAGTTCAAATATGATTGATATGGCTTATTGGATCGTTAAAGAATGGAAAATGATTGGGTCTGGCTTCTTCAACCGCGATTAATATTTGCTTGCCGATCGGTGACACCAGAGGTGTTCTCGGCCCGTTTGTCCAGGACGACCTGGAATACTCCGCAGCCTTGCCCCTTAAAACGAACGAACCTTGCTCTTAAGGTTTAACAGGTCATCCAAATCTCGAAGCTTGATTCACTCAGTCATAATAATTGCGAGCAAATTATTGAAAGTACTCCGTACGGAGGACTTTTTTAATATTTTTGGCAGAGAAACCAGATTATTGGCACTGGGTCGTGGCTGAATTCGCTAGTCGGCGGGGAACTTTGGAACAACTGGAGCCGGCTTCGCTCTGAGGTCTCATTTGCGCACTGTCGACGGAGCATGTCTCTAAAATACGATATATATAGCCCTACGTGTGAAGCTTCATAGATTTTATACGACGCTGGAACTTTCTGGTCCGTAGGGAGTGCTTCGAACCTCTACCGAAATCCAGGATTTTGGTATCTTGCGCCCTCAATCTCCGGCGACCTGATCGTTGGAATTCCGGTGACGGCTGTACGGAGTCAGTCAAAATCGTAGCCATTAGGTATCTCCCATGGTAGTTGACCGCCAAAACCCACAGGCCAGCACGGTGGCCTCACGGCTGTATTGATTTCAATGCTCCGTAGGCCAGCGCGCCCTCATGCAGACCTTCGTTCGTACTGCCCTATCTTCATATTTCTCATCGCGTACTACCCCCATTAAGCATTCCCAACGGAATAATCCGTACCGCTCGCAGCGTCACAATTTCCTACCGTCCAGGCTAGCACTCACTAACAACCTCACGCTAAACCATCGTTAGTGACATAGTTAGAACATTCCCTGTTAGCTCCCGGGTGGAAACGCCGGGAATCAAACTTCCTCTAAAGTACCATGCCACGTTGATGCGATGGCTACGGAGTAGTTTCATTTAATGGTTATAAACATGGCATTGGGCGCGCATTTTTGGAAAACCGACAAGGCTAAGGAAGCGATTGATATCAACTTGCTGCCTCTATTGAAGTTGGTTATAGTTACGAAAGCTTGTTATAAGTACGCCAGAAACGCATGCGATAACTCCAGCTATAGGCCATTTTTCAACACTGACGAGGTTAGCAGTACATGTTGGTCTAGCAAAGGGTCAAGAGGCAGAAATTAATAGGAACAGGCAGTTGAATTTATGTAAATAGGGAACTATCTAGCCATCGAGGAGTGAAAGGAAGATCCATGCATACATGAAAAAGCCATCTGACGGATGGGCTAGGAGGTATCTCAAAAAAAAATAAAATGGAGGCACAGTTGGATGCTCTGCACAAAAGCAAGAAATCAATCTCGCATAGCACAAAAGGCCGCAAAAAGAAGTAGGGGTAGAATGAAGGGAAGAATTGTACATCAAGAAACTGAATATCAATCAAATCACAAATACACAGCTTTGGCCATGGTGGCTCTTAAGCCCAAGATTACAAATTAGTGGTAAAGGGGTCATAAATATGGAATGAGTGCGGTGCAATTGGGTGGGCATGTAGCCATACACATGGGGCTTTTGCAAAACGTGATTCAACTTGGGAATTCCGTCCGATTCTTCTCCCACAAGGCCGTCGCAATCTATGTTAGTACAGTAAAGCAAGAAGGTTATTGGGACAATACCAGTGGAGAATGAAATAAATGTGGGTATAAAATATCTGTGGATCTAACGTGCGGTCACCGTGGCTCTTCTATCTCGTCGTCCTTGAACAACAGTCGTCCAATCTTCCCATTCTTTTGCCATTTCCATGAGCACATTCCCCATAACTGTGGCGGAAGCCATAAGGCCATGGCCTTCACCTTCGAGGACACGGACCTCGCACCGTCTCATAGTTTTTCCAAGCCATCTGACATTATCGACGGGCACTCGAGTGTCTTTAGAGCCGTGGTGTATGACAACAGAACGTGTGATATCATTATACCTAAATCCAATAGTTTGTCGGCGCTCGAGGCAGATCAGTAGGTCAACGGCTGGATTCGCATTGGTCGTGGCTAGTTCCCAGATAGCATGGGTTAAGCGGTTATCGTAATCGCTTTGTCGTTCACGATCTTCTCTTGCAGCGGCAGCAGCAAGGATGGCAGATTCAGCGTTTGGACCAGAAGGATCAGAAGTTGCGCGTGACACAATATCTTGCGACTGGCGGTGAACTGAGGTTCGAGGCACAGTTGTTGAACCGTTTCCGGCGTCCGTTCCGGCAGTGGTTGCGGCCTGCACGGGCGCGGGGAGTTCTTTATCTTTTGCGAGTGCATTAAGTCGTTTATTTTTGCGGGATGTCTTTGGCAGACTGCTTGTGACACTCGCACTGGTCGTAGTCATGAAACGAGAATTCGCGACTTTCAAAATTGGCGTTGGTAAAGCCCGGAGAATGCGTTGGGAGTAAGGAAGTGCGTTAGCCGGGAGAGGGTCCTTATGAGACCCCATTCCGGACATCTGTGAAGGTGGAATCCATGGTGCGAGCAAATGAAGTCGTCCTCGGATGTGCTGAGGCATGCGCAAGGCGGTTGCAAGGGCATATATTGCACCAGCAGAATGCGCTAGGATCGAAAACTTTGTAATCTTTAAGTGATTACAAATGGTTGCCAAGTCATCTATTTGCTTGTTAGTTTATGATGCTTTCTAGTATAGCCCGGTAGAAAAGAATACGCGAACTATCTAATTGAGCTCGAAAATCGCTCTGGAAAACTAAATGAATTAAGGAACATACCGGGCCAGCTAAGAGGTCCTGAGCCATCGGCACAAGGTTCACTTTCACCAACTCCAGGGCGGTCAGGTGTAATCAGCCGCAGCTTGAGGGTTCTTGCGAGTTCATCATAAAATGCAGTAAGGTATCTTGTGAGACCCATTCCCACACAGCAAAACACTACATGCCCCCCAGGGTCGCCCACTTCAGAGAATGCTATTGTCCGGCCCGTTTGTGGGTGTCGCACTTTTTGGGTTAACCTTGCAGCCATCATGTAAGCTCGTACAGCATCGTCCACTGAATCCGCGCTCGATGGTCGTTCGTCTGCACCTGTCGGTGTTTGCGGAACTGGTGAAGGCACGCCGGAAGAAACCCTCCGGTGACTTCTGGTATCGGAATTTGCACCATTAGAACGTCGCTTTCCAGCTTTATGCAAGGGCTCATGTCTTTCTTGTTTCCCCATCATTGGCTGTATATTTGTCGTTTTAGACGCAAGCGGGCCACTGTTTCTCTTTTTAACTGATGTGGTTCGGCGGGTTTGAACGGTGGGTGAAGGTGCGCTTTCTTCAAGGTCGAAACTCAGCTCGAGTCGGGTGAATCGGGTCTGTTCTAGAGAAGTGGAATCTCGTCGTTTAAACGTGCCAGATGGAGTGACATGCTTCACAGATGATTGTGGACTTATTTTAGGGGTGGAAGGGTATTGTCCTGCTGGCTTATCGTTGGCATGTGAGCTATCTTTGTGATTTTGCTGCTGATTGTTGGTCTCCGTAAACCCCTTCGGCGTTCGGTCATTCTCCCCATTCACTTCTGCAATGTCGCGGTCAATGGTAAAGTCTCTGCTAGAGTATATACTGTGACGGGTGGATCGTCTTTTTTTCGAAGCTCCGCCATTTTTATAGCGTAGAGATGACTCTCGCGCAGGAATAAATCTGCCACTTCCAATGCCTCCAGGGCTTAAAGTAACAAAGTCAGTTGCAGTGTGAGAGGAATTTAGAGAAGGCGCCGAATCCCGCCGTGGAGTAGAATCCTCAGGAGGCTGTAAGTGCTCTGCATCACCGCTTCCCTCCTCCGCCAAATCGGCCATCGAAGGGGTCGAGCGCAGACTTAACCGGCTTCTCGAGCTGCTGAGACGGTTCCCGTCCGCCACACTTAAGCGATCAGCATCCTTGTCCTTGAAGAATTCCCGCGACGACCTTTTTAGGATACTCAACGGAGTTTTCAGGCTCTTTCTACCCCCACTGCTGGACGATGCAATACTTGTCATGGACAGCCGGGGACCGGGTTCCAAACTGACTATCCCAAAGCTAGAGAATTCGTCCTTCCCATTTCGCGAAGACGCGTACGACGCCCGAGATCCAGATCGGATCAGCGATGATTCACGTTTGGTGCTTCGAGAGGAGCGGCGGGATCGCGATCGCGCAGGGGGTTTAGACATGCGGACGATCGGTGATATGGCAGCATCGTCCGGGTGTAAGAAATCGGAAATAGAATCATCGAGTGGTGTTCTGTATGCCCCATAATCCATCCCAAACCCAGGACTGGGGGGCGGCGCTAGATCATCTTGCGGAAATTCTGATTGCAAGCAATTTGGTGAGGAAGGAGCAGTATGGGACCCAATTTTTGGAAGACTGTCGAAATGATTCCGCGCGGGGCTCGAGATGGTGGAAAGGGAGGAAATGAGGGAGGAAATGACCTCTGGAGATGCGGGTTGGATATGTACATGGTCAGTGGACGACGGTTCCGACGCTGCCAGTGAACGGGCTGGCAGGGATTGGCGTCGCTGAGAAGAGCCTTGTTGAGTCCGGTGCATTCGACGACGCGGAGGGATAGGTATGGCGGACG